CCACCACCGGCACCAGAAGCGGGAGCAGCACCATTGCTAGAATCAGCAGGGCCAGCAGCGGTAGCGCCACCACCACGAGCAGCACCAGTAGGAGCAGAAGCCGCAGCACTCGCAGCAGTGGCAGCGGCACCACCACTAGCAGCACCAGCACCACTAGCACCAGCAGGAGCAGAAGTCGCAGCATTCGCAGCAGCAGTGGCAGCGGCACGACCAGTAGCAGCCCCAAGGCATGGTTTACGACGGTTGATCCAGCCAGTAGCCGTCAGGGGCGCTGGGGCAGCTGCATCACTCCCCCCCAGTAGCATGTCTGCGAGGGAGTCTAGAAAAGGATCAGTGGCAGGAGCGGTATGATTTTTAGCCTTGCCACCATCGTCAGCAGCAGCAGTAGTAGCAGCAGCAGCACCAGCAGCACCAGCAGCAGCAGCAGCAGCAGCAGCAGCAGCAGCAGCAGCAGCAGCACCACCACCACCACCACCACCGCCGCCGCCGCCGCCGCCGCCGCCAGCAGCAGCAGGCAGGGGTGCTGTTCCAGCAGCATCACTCTTCCCCAGCAGCATCTCTGCAAGAGAGCCTATAAACAAGTCTGTGGCAGGAGTATACGCTCTCGATGCATCTCCCCTTGGGTAATCCACATCCCCTGTTGTCTCTGACGTCCCTGCAAGGTCCCATCGCCTTGTAACCGATGTGGTAACCGTTGCTGTTGCCGTTGCTGCTGTCGTTGCTGGTGCTGTGGCTGTTGCTGTGATTCCTGGTCCGTTTTTTTCTTCCTGTTTGTCACCTTGACCGTTACCAGAAGTATTTCGTGCAGCATCAACACCAGCATCTGCATCCCCTTCCTGCTTCGACCCCTTGACTTGATCGCCAACACCCCCTTCTCTGATGCTTTCTTGAGTCAAAACCAGCCTGCCGAAGCTGCTCTGCCGACCAATCAGCATGAACCCTCCGCTGCCCGAGCCTAATTTCCGAACCGCAGGCCCGTCGGCCTGCCCACCCGCCCGAACCGCCGGCGCAGCTACGGAAGCAGCTGCGGAAGCATCTGGAGCAAGACTCCCCGGAACAGACGCAGACACAGACGCCGAAGCAGCAGCAGCAGTAGCAGCGCCGGTGCTACTCACACTACCTCTGGCACTCAGTCTATCGCAAGCAGCAGCAGACCCGCCAGCCTGCTTTTGCCCATTTGCGCCCTTCCCAGCAGCAGCAGCTGCTGCAGCACCACCACCACCACCAGCACCACCACCACCACCACCAGCACCACCACCACCACCACCACCACCACCACCACCCACCACCACCACCACCATTACCACCACCACCAGCACCATTGCCACCAGCGGAGGAGCTTCTAGGAAGGCCGAACGGCAGCTTCTGCTGCTGCATCGGGCGGCGGAAGGTTTTGGGCGGCAAGGCGCTGTGCCACTTGGAGAACTGGCTCACATTGCTTGTCTTCTTCTCACCCGTGTACGGATGGTTCAAACCCTTCCTCTCTCCGTTGTAAAGGCTTCGTTCACCAATCCCCTTGGCCTGTCCCAATCCCTCTCCGCCTTCTCCTCTCCTATCCTTGAGCTCTGCTTTCAATCCTGCCTTTTCTAATGTCTTCTCCACTTTCCGAGTGTATGGGTCCTTCTCTCCTCCTCCTCCTCCTCCTCCTCCTCCTCCTCCTCCTCCTCCTCCTCCTCCTCCTCCTCCTCCTCCTCCTCCTCCTCCTCCTCCTCCTCCTCCTCCTCCTCCTCCCCCTCCTCCTCCTCCTCCTCCTCCTCCTCCTACTCCTCTCATGCCCAGGCCCCCCTTCTCTCCCCCCTTTCCCTTCCCTCCACCAACCCCCAACCCATGCCTCCTAGCCAGCCAAGCAGCATCCCCCACAACCTCCAACCCCTCTCTTCGCTCCTCTGCCGTCTCCCCCTTCCTCTTCTCCCTCCTCTCCCCCTTCTCTTTTCCCTCCCCTCTCCTACTCCTCCCCACATCCCCCACATACTTCCCACTGCATCTAGGCACCTTTCGCCCTCCCTCCTTTTCCACCCCTTCAGTCTCTCCCAAGGGACCCCGATAGCAGGAGGTAACACAGTCAGCAACATCGTTATTCTTTTCACCATCCCTTCTCCGTCCCCTTCCTCCTCCCTTTCCTCCTTCCCTTCCTCCTTCCCTTCCTCCTTCCCTTCCTCCTCCCTTTCCTCCTTCCCTTCCTCCTTCCCTTCCTCCTCCCTTTCCGCCGTCCCTCTCCCTACCACCATCCGGGCTCTTTCGCTTTTTCGACTCAGGTTGAGCAGAGAACAGCGGACGGGCGAGGGGATGGGAGGAGCGAGGAGGAGGAGGAGCAGGAGGCGGCATAGGTTGATGGGCGGAAGGTTTAGAAAGCCAGTTGGCCGCTTGAACTTGGGTCCCAAGCCTATCCTTTCCCAGGTTTGCAAATGCAGAGGCACCTGCACCAGATACGCCTGCACCAGATACGCCTGCTCCAGTAATCTTTGTGCCAGTGCCGCCAGCAGCAGCAGCTGCTGCAGCTTTCAGAATCCTCGCCGCCCGATTGGTCATACTCGCCACGTCCACAGGGGTGTTACCAGGGGCAGTACGAAGGGCACCGACATGCACTCCTGTACCAGCACTCCCAGCAGCAGCAGCAGCAGCGGCAGCACCACCAGCACTCCCAGCAGCACCAACACTACCAACACCAGCACCAGCAGCAGCGCTATCAGCAGGCACACGGCGGCTGTACAGTCCCATTGGTCCCAGTGACCCGTGAACATTAGGAGCACAGCTACCTGACCTCCTGCTCACACTGCCAATGCACCGCCCACTGTCCCGCACACCCAACCCCCTACCAGAACATTTTCCAGAATACTGGGACGATTTCAGTGATGCTTCAAACGCACTGCCCCGCATACCCATTGCCTGGCCAGAACATTCCCCAGAGTACCCACCAGCATCACTGCATTGCGGCTGCTGCTGGCGGTTCTGTGTGCTTTGACGCGCCTGGGCCTGTGCCTGGGCCTGTGCCTGCGCCTGTGCCTGCTGCCGAATATGCCCATGACTCTCCCCCTGTCGCTTCCCCCAAAGGACAGAGGAATTAGGGTGCTTACTGATTCTTCTCTGCTGCACTGAGCCACAGGCACCAGACCCAGCTATACTCACACTGTGGCTCATGCCTCTGCTTCTCTGCCGTTCACTGGCCTGCTGTCCCAGCCGTACCCTCACTGATACCCCATTGAATGATACCTCTTCTTCTTGCTCCTCTTGCTCCTCGTCCCCCACCTCTCCCTCCTCTGGCTCATCTCCCACTTCTCTCTTCTCCTCTCTCTCCCCTTCCTCTCCCTCCTCTTGCTTCTCATCCCCCACCTCTCCCTCTTCCTCCTCCCCCACCTCTCCCTCCTCCTTTCCCTCCTTTCCCTCCTCTCCTTCTGCAGCCTCTTGCTGCCCCTGCTGCTCCCCCTGCTGCTCCGCCTCCTCCTCCTCCTCCTCCTCCTCCCTCCCTCCCCTCAGCCACAGCATCAAAGGCACGGGACAGATCACGCACAAGCGTGGCGTGCCCAGCAGCATTATCTCCCCCTTCCTGACCAGCACTCCCTTCCGGACCAGCAGCATCCCCACCCGGACCAGCATTCCCACCTGCCTCTGGGGGAGTGACGGCTGTAGCGGGGTCTGGCGCCCCTGGGTAGCAACCAGCTCGTGCTACAGCTGGGGGGGGAGGAGGGCCAGCATTCCCATCTGCCTCCGGGGGATCGACGGCTGTAGCAGGCTCTGGCATCCCTGGGTGGTGGTAACCAGTTCGTGCTACAGCCGGGGACGGAGGCGGGGCGACGAGGGGGCTGCTTTGGAAGCGAAGCTTGGAGAAGAGGAGCGAGAGGAAGTTGGGGAATTTGGTGCGGTACCTGGGGGGTAGGTAGGGTGTAATAAGGGACAGAGTGGGAAACAGTTGTGAGCATGGGGCGGAGGAGGGGCGATGAGGGGACAGCTTTGGAAGCGAAGCTTGGAGAAGAGCAGCGAGAGGAAGTTGGGGAATTTGGTTCGGTACCTGGGGGTTAGGTAGGGTGTAATAAGGGACAGAGAGGGAAACAAAAGTGAGTATGGGGCGGAGGAGGGGCGAGAAGACACGACACGGAAAGATATGTTCTGATATGATACGAACGTACCTGCCACACAGCAGTCGTCGCACATACTCCTCGAGGCTCTCCCCAAACACGCCACCCTCTCGGCTCAGATCCACCATCTCAAGAAGCGTGCGGGTCTGCTTGGCGAATCGCGACACGAGGGGGTGCGATGGGAGGTCGCAGGGCAGCAGCTCCAGACGCAGGAGGATCTGCAGCTCGTGGCTGGGGGGGGGGGGGGGGAGGGTGGGGGAGGGAAGGGTGGGAAGGAAGACGCAGGAGGATTTGAAGTTCGTGGCTGGGGAGACACAGGGGGGAGGGGAAGAGTGGGAAGGAAGGGGCTCAAATCCACCATCTCTAGAAGTGTGCGGGTTTGCTTGGCGAAGCGCGACACAAGGGGGTGCGAGGGGAGGTCACAGGGCAGCAGCTCCAGACGCAGCAGGATCTGCAGCTCGTGGCTGGTGGGGGTTGGAAGGGAAGAGTGGGAAGGAGAAGGGGCGGAACGGGTGGGCGTGGGGTGGGTGTGGGTTGGAAGAAGCCTCATTTACATGCGACACCAGGAGGTGCGAGGGGAGGTCACAGGGGAGCAGCTCCATATGCAGCAGAATCTGCAGCTCGTGACTGGGGGGAAGACAGAGAGGAAAGATGGCAGGGCGGGTGGGGACGAAGGAAGGGGTAAGGATTTCCCATCATCTGCTAATAAGGGGTTGCGAGGGGAGGTCGCAGGGGAGAAAATCCAGACGCAGGAAAATCTGCAGCTCGTGGCAGGGGGGAGCACTCACCATCGGACTCTGTCTCCCAGCGTTGGCGGCCCCGGCTCCCCCTGTCTCGAAATCTCATGTGTGTCAACACAGCGACCCAATGGGAACCAGGCGATGCTCTGCGTACAAACTCACCCTACTGGACTACCACAAGTGCCACTCACCATCGGACTCTGTCTCCCAGCGTTGGCGGCCCCGGCTCCCCCAGTCTCGAGATCTCATGCGAGTCAGCACAGCGACCCAACGGGAATTGTCGCTGCAAATCCGCCTTGCCTAACAGAAGAGCCTCGTGCACCCGCCTTTCCACCTCCTCCTCATCTATCCCCCTCTCAGTCTTCTCCTCTTCTGGGTGCCTCCCAAATTCCCCCTCGTCTGTCCTGTCAGTGCCTGACTTGTTCCCCTCCCCTTCACTTCTCCTCCTCCCTGCCGCTTCTTCTCGGAACAGCCGTCGTGCCTCCCGCACCAATCCTGCGGCAGCACTGTACAGATCCGCTGCCACGTCATGCAACACGTCAGCCATGCGCTCTGCCAGCCTGTCAGCACTCTCAACGGGTCTAAACGTCACGGTGGCATCTTCTTCCCCCAATATTCCCCCCACCGCCTGCCCTGATGTCCCTTCGGCATTCCCCATGCCTTTCCCCACGCCCTTCCCCATGCCCTCCCGCTCGCCCTTGCCCTCCCCTGCACTCTTCCCTCCAGACAGACAACCGTTCTCATTAACACGCCCAGAACCCTCCATCTTCCCAGCCTCTCCACTAGCCCCTTCCCCTTCCCCTTCCTTTCCCCCTTTCCCTCCCTCTCCACCCCACAGCACCATCTGCAACCCTTCTCCACCTGTTGCCCGCCCCTGCGCTCTCTCTAACCCTTGCCCTTCCACCACCACGCCTCTCCTTCCTTCTAACCTGCCCTGCTCCTGCATCTGAGCCTGCTCTGCTTCTTCCGCATCTCCTCTGCTCTTATCCGTTCTTAACCCTCTTCCTGTCCTTCCAGCCGTAACCCCCTGTGCCTTCCACTGTTCCCCCCTCGCTGCTGCCCATGTATGAGTCAGCATGGCTGTAAGCCGCGTCATGTGGTCCCCACCCTCTGCTGCACGCGACAACTCATGCCACGTCATGTGGTCCCCAGATGCCGTTCTCCCGGTCTCCCCGCCACCTGGCTGACTCTCTTGCTGACTCAGCAGGAACGCCAGCTCAGCTTCCTCATACTCCCTCGTTTCATCCCACGCCACGTCATCACCCAACGCAACTCTCCTGCACGAGCCTTCCATTCCCTCGTTACAAGCACCTCCGTCATTGTATCCTGTGCTGCCATTCTCACAAACATCTACACTCCCACCCCCTTCAGCTGCTCGCTCCCTCTCAAATCCATGTCCCCTTTCTGCTTTTCCCAGCCGCTTCTGGGCAAAACTGGACCCTAAGCCCCATTCAGAACCCTCCCATTCATGCACGCTCACCCTCTCCTGTCCGTGACTCCGTTCCCGCACCACCCCCGCCACGGCATGCCGCCCATCCCCCTCCCCTGCAACCTGCGACGCCTGTGTTCCAATAACGAAATCCGTCTCGTTCTCCCCTTCCCCCTCACACTCCCCCGTCGACCCCTCATCCTCCTCCGCCTCCGCCTCCCCCTCCATCCCGCCCGCTCCCCCCTCAAACCCCCCATACCGTCCCTCTGCCTCTCCCCACGTCTCCTGCCTATCCGCTTCTGAGAACACCACTAACTGCAGTCCAGCTTCCCACTCATCCTCCCTGCCGCCTGCCCCATTACCTTCCCTCACCGCTCTCTCACCCCTCCCATCCCTCGCAACCCTATCATTCCTCTCCGGCGCCCTCGACCGCTTTCTCTCCCCCAGTGCACGTCGTTTTTCTCCCTCCTCCCCTTTCCGCGCGCAGCCACTGCCACTCACCATCTCCTTATCATCCTCCTCCTCCCCCTTCCGCAGTTTATGCCGCACCCTCTCTGTACCAGTCCGTCTCCCACTCCCACCTTTCGCATCCGCCCTTCCCTTAACCACCCTGTTCGCCTGTTCGTAACCCTCCTGCTGGTAACTCTGTTGACGCCGTTCCTGGCCCCTCCGCTTCGCACACCCTCGCCCAGACACCGGAAACCCCCGGCTGCGACTCTGCCTAACCCCTTCAGGCTTTCTCAACGGCCTCTCCGGCTTGCGCCGCTGGCGACCCAGCAAGGTGGGGCAATCTCGGATCCGCAACACAGCCACATGCCCTGCGAACGGCGCAATGATCCCCGCACACGACACGCGCTTACTCTTCACATATACATGCGCCTCCAGCCCTTCCTCCTCCAAAAACCTCAGAAGAACCCCGAACAGCTCCCCCTGCGGCTCCTTTGCGGCACCACCGCCTGCGGCAGTGGGCTTTTTTTCCAGAAGAACGTACTGGAGAAACGGCTCATCCTGAGCAGCCCCAGCCCTATCAGAAGCCCTTCTAGTGCTCCCCCCATCCACTACCCCAGCTCCAGCGCTCCCCCCAGCAAGCTCGTCAGCTGCCTGTGTTCGGGAAATTTCTACTCTCTGTTGGATGTCTAACAGAGTGAGCTCCACGTTACCGGAAAGAATCCTACCGGCTCTTGAAACTGTACTCTCCACACCTTCGTATTCGCCTTCGTACTCGCTATAAGCCCCCCTGCTGAAGCCGAAAGAGCCTTTCGCCACGCCTGACGACGCAGCAACGGTATATGCTCGCAAGAAGCATTGCACCTGGGTGTTTGAATGCAGAGTCTCCTGCACCCCACTCAACCTAACCACACTCTTACCTTTACCTTTAACCTCGGGATTACCGGGGCCTATCAATGCGGCCGTTTTGCAGGGCAGAAGCATCCGACAGGCAGCTAATGGCTCCGTTTTCCCTGCTACTCCCTCCCATACCGCGGATATTAAGTGATAGTCCGCTCCTCCCGCTGAACTATACGGCTTTAATCTCAAGAGCGACCAGCCTGCGTTCAGCGCCGCGTTCTTCGCTTCCCTTGCCGCTGCGCTCCCTCCCTGTGTGGCCGATCTGCTCCCTTCGTTACTATCACGCCGCTCCTGCGCGCGCGCATCTGCTCCCGGGACCGCCTGTGGTTCCGCCTGTGGCGCTGCTGCCCCCACTGCCCCAACTGTAGCGCCGACGTCAACCCACGAGACTTGAATTCCCAGTGGTGCGAACATCGTTTGTACTTTCGCCACTCCGCCGGCACCCGCCCACTCCCCTCCGCGCCCCGCCAGCCCCGCGGCTTGCGCACCCGCCGCTTGCGCTGCTGCAGCCGAGTTCTCGCAGATGCTGCTAAACAAGACCACGTGATTCGCACACTTCGGGTTCAAACCCAAGCGGTCTTCTCCGTTATCATCGTCAGTCGCTGTACCCATTTGCCTATGCCGTCCCCCGGAACCAGCAGTGATTATTACAGCGGGAGTGGACCTGGGAGGGCTTCGGGCGTGGTAGTGGCTCCACGTGTACCGGACTTGCACTAAATCGGATAAAGTCCGCCAAATGTTCCCCATATTGTCACCCGGAATTGTGGAACCAAGGGTAATCTGGTTACCAGGACCCCCGCCATTCTCCTGGTCCCTACGAGCCGTTGTTTGGTTCCCTTCTGTTTTGCATGCTCCTGCGGTCAACAACAGAGTATGTTGGCCGGAACCGCCGGTGCCGCTGGGTAAAGTGGTGTCGCTGCGCGCGGCGTGTGCCAGCGTGTGCAATTCGCGTGCCAAGCGGCAAAAATCTTGTTCTCTAGCGGGAACGAAGACTGGCCGATGCGCGCTGTCCTTAGCGACGCGGGTGCGGTTACTCTCCGTGCCTTCGCACGCTCCGTCATACGAGCCGGGGCTATTCTTAAGGAGCCTCTTAATCTTGTTCTCTGATCGCAACGGACTCACGCTGGAATCGAACAGGTGGTAACCCCATCGCAGAGGCGGAGAGGAGGATTGGAAAGCAAGGAGACACTTTAAGATACTGGCTTGAATCGAAACGGCTTTCGCTGGCGTCACCAGAAGCGGGTTGACGTCGATGAGAAACAAGATGTTCCTACTCTCGTCCATGGCGAGGCTATCCATAGCCGTTATAAGCAGATTTGCATACGCGCTATACGTCCACAGACAGTGTCGTCGACTAATGAATTCTTAGAACCACGAATGGCGTAATCCTCGCCGCTACAGGTGACAGAAGCCACTACCACGCCCGAATCATTGGCGTAATCCTTCCACTCTTCAGCTAAGTATTCGTCGCAATGCTTGGAATATTATGATCATCTAGAATCTCGTAAACAGTGTTGGAGGAGAACAGCCGCATAAGATCCCCTAAAGTGGACACTCGAACACCTCCTTCAACATAGTCTCTTCAATACTGGTGTAACCAGTAAGCAGGGGATGGTGGAGGAGAGTTCATGAATGGCTGAATAGCAATCCCGATGGTGATCCCTGGGCCTGACCTCGTGCTTCCATCCATTGCATACTATATCCTACCACCATAATCACCATCAACTTCGCCAGCAAACACCATCAATAAAAGCTGAAGGTACCCTGGAAAACATCGCTACAACCCCTCGATACCGATTAATTTTCCCCGCTCCTTCTGCTCGCCCCTGGGGAATTCCGTGTGGTTCTGCAGTGCGTTGCGCGAGTGTTCAAATTTCGAAATTTCGAAACGTGATGTTTTCAAGGTGCTGGATCTAGGAAGAATGGACGGCTGAGATCTCACAGGTTCACACAAACCAGACCTGTGCCCTCACGAAACTCGCACTGCAAGCCTCTCAAGAAAGCGTCAACGACACGAGAAGTGACACTGTAGCTCTGACATCCCTAAGGCAGTTTCTCATTACTGGAGTGAAGTTCATGTGAACATAGCAAGCCACATAGAATTTTAATACAAAAAAACTGCATTTCAGGAACTTGATCTTTCGTGTGTGGTTTTATTATAATTTACTTCGTCACTTGCGTCAATGTTGCATTCAATACGATATATATGAGGCATTGCCTATTCAAACTCACCCTAGCACCTTCTGAGCTATCTTCCCCAACGCAGGATCAATCCACCCCTCGTTTCTCCGGGCTGCCAACTCCTTCAAAACAATCCGCCCCACTTTTCCTTGTCCAACCCTTGCCGCATGCTTCTCCCCTCCACCTCCTCCCTCTCCGTCACAACCCCTTTCCAACCTATCTGCCACACCTGTACTCTCCTCCCCACTTGCATCCCCTACAACCCCTTCCTCCAGGTTTCCTGCCTCGCCCTCTTTACCCCCAGCCCCATTCTCCTCTCCTCTCCCCTCTTCGCTTCTGCATTCTCCGTCCTCAGTTCCTCCTTCCGCTTCAATCCCCCCCAAACAATCCTTCAAGAACGCACTTGCAGCATGCACCTCTCCCTGCAAAAACCGAATCTCCTCCCCGTTGCCCTCTTGTTGCCCACTACCAGCAGCGGCAACACCAGCAGCAGCAGTGCCAGTGGCAGTCAGAACCCTCTTACAGCAAGCAACAGCTGACAGCAGCGCCATCCACACCATCGCACCACCCTCCCTCCCTGCCACCGCCCCTCCCTCCCCTCCCTCCCCTCCTTCTCTCACACTCTCAGCCTGCCTTCTCAGCAGCGCAAGCGCTACACCACAGCATCTAAGCACCAATGACTGTTGTTCTCTTCTCTCCGCCTCCTTCTTACATTTCCACATAGGGAGGAGCAGGGAAGTGTACGAGGCTGCGAGGACTGCAGTGACGGTGGACAGGAAGGAAGGAGCGACAGCCCAGATCCCACCCCTGCTTGACGTGGACGGTCCAGATTTGCCGGGAGTTTGGCGTGCTTGCGAGATCAGGGTCAGCTTCGCATGGACGGCTGAGATCAGCTCGAGAAGATGATCTGACAACTCAACCTGGGGAATAGACGGGGAAGGAAGGGGATTCGGGGGGCGGGGAAGAATAGGGGAATCGAGAGGAGAAGGTAGAGAGGGAAGGGTGATGACAGGAAACGTGCGAATCTTTGCTTCCGGAACCAAGGAACAACAGAGAGATGAAGGCAGGGGAGCACGTACCAGGCTGGAGCACCCCGTATCATCCGCCTGCCCTCCTTGCTTCTGCGACCTTCGTCCCACTCTTGAGGAAACATGATTCTATGTGAATGAACGTGGGGAGGCACAGCATTAAACCACGTACCAGGCTGAAGCACCCCTCGCCGTCCACCTGCCGCCCTTGCTTTTGTGCCCTTCTTCCCAGCTCCTCCTCCTCGTGCTGCCTCTCATTCCACATCAGCACCAGCAGCTTCACATACCTAGCGACAAGAGGAAAGGAAGTAGAGCACGTACCAGACTGGAGCTCTCTGTGTCGTTCGCCTGCCGTCCTTGCTTCTGTGCCCTCCGTCCCAGCTCCTCCTCCTCGTGCTGCCTCTCATTCCACATCAGCACCAGCAGCTTCACATACACCCGCAGCGCTGCTCCTTCCACCCAATCCGCGGCACCATTACCCTTCACAGCAGCATCCGAGTCCGTCCTTCCACAATCATCCAAACTTCGCTCTGCCGATTCCGGACCAAAGTCAGCAGCGGGAGTAGAATTCGCCGCGTCGATCATCCCGGCCAGTTGCGTGTCGACAGCTGTCCTCAGCAAGCCCAGCAGCCGCCCGGGCACCCCGGGCATGCGCAGTAACTCTGCTCTCGCTTCTGATTGGCCCAGGAGGATTTCCAGGCGGTAGGCCACCACACAGGGAGGCATCACAGGGGCTGCTGCCTCGCTGGCAAGCTCTGATTGGTCAGAATCACTCTCCTCTTCAGCATCCCCGTTATAGACCTCCCTGACACTAGCAGTTCCTCGTTTTCCTCCAAGGCCCTTCTTTCCCCGCCCACTCTTTCCTTGCTCTCGTCTCCCCACGTTTCCTTTCTCTGCCCCTCTCTCCAATCGCCCATTCTTCCCCGTGCCATCCTCAGCACCTGAAGGGTTTCCAGCTAATTGACTTGCTTTTCCCCTGCCTCCTCCCATGCTCCGTGTCACACGTCTGTTTCCTCGCCTCAAAGCTTCCTTCGCCAACATCAGCTTCTTCTCTCCCTCCTCCTCTCCTCTCTCCTCCCCAGCCTCGAACTCCTCCTCCACCTCCTCTTGCTTCACCACCTCTACTACATCTTCCTCTTCTCCCTCCCCCCCTTCCTTCCCCTCCTCCCCCTCCTCCCCTTCCTTCCCGTCCTCCTCCTTCTCCTCCTCTTCCTCATCGTCACTATCATCCAAAAGCACTATCTCTTCCACCTCCTTCTCTTCCTCCTCCTCCTCCTCTTCCTCACCGCCCCCTCCCTCTCTTTCCTCCAAACCGTTTTCTATCATCTCCGAACCACCTCCATTCCCCTCCTTTCCGTTCCCCCTCTGCTCTCTCTTCTCCACCTCCTTCTCAACACCCGCAGCAAGAGACACCTCTAAAGCTTTGACCAACTGACCCAACCCACCCCACGCACGAGTCAGCTCCACCACACCCTCCACCTCCCGCCTCTTCTCCCTCCTCCCTTCCACCCACTCCATCACCTCGCCTATCCTCACACCAGCAAGACTACCAAAGGTTCCCCCAACCGCTTCTTTAATTCTCCCAACTGCTTCTTGAATTCCCTCATGGTTACCCTCTTTCCTCTGCCGCCCCACACTCAGGAGCCCCTCCCTGCACACGTCAGCAAGCTCCTCTACTGACACGGGCGGCAGCAGGGCGGCAATCCGCAGCACTGCAGCCCGTTGACTTGCAGTACGTGCCGAGAGAAGCAACCGTTTGAGAGCAGGAGCATCCAGAGTTTCTGCAATAGCCGCTGCTGCATCTGAGTTTTCACATTCTCCCCTGTTGCCTGCCTTGCATCCCTTTCCTTTTCCTCCTCCTCCACCTCCTCCTCCTCCCCCTTCCACCATTACTCCCTGAACAAACCCCAACACCACGTGATACATCACCTCTCGGCCCTTCTCCTCCTCCTCATTGTATTCCTTTCCCTCCTTGGATCCACCCTCCCCAGTACCAGCCTTCCCACCTCCAACCTTCCCACCCTCCCCACATGTCACCGTTCCATCTGCCACCCCCTCTCCCTCTCCCGCCCTTCCTCGCCTCCTCTTTCCCTTTCTCTTGCACCCTTTACCTCGCCTCCCCTCCCCTTTCTCCTCCCCTCTTCCCTCCCCTCTCCCCTCTCCTCTCCCCTCGTCTCCCTCTCTACCCTCCGTTTCAATCACCAGCAAGTCTACAACAGCCCTCACGGCTTCAATCACAGCTTCGAGTCCCGCACCTTCCTGGAAGCTGCAGCGCGCAAAGGCGGCAGCAGCAGGGAGAGACCGCTGCATGAGGGTGATGAAGCGGCCGGCAGCAGCAACGGGCGGCAGGTGGGGCGGCAGGTAGGTCGGCAGGAGTACGCGGGTGACGTGGCGCGAGACAATTGGGTCGTTGGGTTCCTCCAGAGCCTGTATGAGCTGGCCTGACGTAATAACCTCTTTTAGTCTTATGCTGGTGTTAGTAGCCACCGTTATAAGCACTTCCGCCACTGCCACTCTCACCCCACGCGATCTGTCCCTCAATCCTGCAGCCATTCGCGGCAACATCCCCCGTAACAGCTCATGGCAAACCGGGTTACCCTGTAACAGCTGCCCCACCGCCCGCACTGCCGCCATCCGCACCGCAGGGCTGGCCACGTCAGCGGCCAGCTCGTCAACCATCCGAGTCAGCGCTGACGTGGCGACGCCCGACGGGATGACCTCCCAGAAGACGCAAAGCACCCGTCCTGCCACCTCAGCAGCGGAGGCTCGAACCGCGGGACAGGGATCCATTAAGAGGCGATCGAAGAGGAGAGATAGCTGCCGATTAAGGAGCGACTCGTTCGCCTCTCGCCCTTGTGCCGGGTCGCGGAGAGGGAAGAGCTCGGCCAATAGGAGAAGGGCGTTGCGGCGGACAGCGGGATTGGCGGCCTGATTTTTTTAGTCGCGGGAAGGCCAGGGGGGAAAAGCGGGGAGGGGTTGGGGAAAGGTGAAAATGTGTTCGAAGGTATTTCATGATTCAGCACGCTGTCTCTACTCCTCTCTACCTCTCTCTACCGTTCAGAAGTGCAACTTGCATTCGTGACGACTAGCCAGGTTCAACCGTATAAGAGATTCAGTCTCGATATGTCTACTTGTCACCAGCAGCAACCTACCTGAAGGCTTCGGAATATGATCGGCTCCGATACGCGCAGAAGCAGCTCGTCAACGCCACGTTGCAGCATCTGATTGGAGAATCCGCCCACCACCCGCCGAACCGCCACGCCCAGCTCCGGCGTCCGAGCGAAGACCGCAGCTTCGATCAGCCCCTGCAGAAACCCGTACTCGATTTCCAACAGGCTCGGACCAGGCTCGGCAGATCGCCAGGCTCGGAAAAAGACCTCACCGTACGCTTCTAGTAACGACTTCCTTCCCGACGGAATCTGATTCCTTATAATGAGTATAGACTCTTTAAGGAGCTGGAGGTCTAGAAGTAAGAAGAAGGAAAGAAACCGCCGACCCTCGGTGGTCTTTAAATACACCGGCGCGAAGAGACACCTTAGTAGTAGCCCGCGCGTCCCGGCTATGCTCTCCGCGTCGCCGAAATCGAGCTCCGAAAACGCGTCGCGCATGGCGTACACGCGTCGCACGTCCACTGGTCGAGAGAGCTCGAGCGATCTCGCGAGGAGATACGGAAGTGTCTGCGCGATGAGGGTGTCTTTACCTCGCAGATCCGACTGCCACCAGGATTCGAACACGCGAGCTGCCGCTTCCTGCGCTACTGGGTCGAAACCACTCAAGTCAATGAGAATGTTGTGTATGGACTGGCAGACGCTTAGCAAATCAGCTGGAGGGGTAACCGCGCTCCCGGATCCTGAAAACAACTCCGATAGGAGAAGACGCGTTATTGTAAGAATCCCCCGGAGAACTGCGCGGGCTTCGTCCTCTGATTCGGATTGCGAAGAGGCTCGTGAAGCCGAACCCGTTGCTGCTGCTGCTGCTGCCTCTGCTGCTGCTGCTGCTGCTGCTCCTGAGGCATGAGCGGAGCCGTGTGAGGAGACGTGAGCGGAGACGCTAGCGGAGGCATCAGCGGAGGCATGAGCGGAGCCGTGCGCGGAAACATGAGCGGAGACGTTGGCGGAGGCATGAGCGGAAACGTTAGCAGAGGCAGCAGTAGAGGCGTTGGCGGTGCTTGGAGTCGTGTGCTGCGACGCATTCGCGTCGCGTACTGCTATCAGCTGAAGCACCTTACCGAGCGTGCGAGATGTCAGGTGGAGCAGAGCGGAGCACAGGCGAGGAGTGGTGCTTCTATTGAAGCCTGATACCACGTGTCTTAAGTTCAGCGGATCCTGTTTCGACACGTGGCAAAGCATCAACTCGAGGAAGGCGGTCGGGCTGGGATCTTCTAAAGCCCGAAGCAGCTGCTCTTTACTGCATTCCTTGGTCATTGCTACGTTTCCTAAGGAGCTGGGTGTATCAGAGAGGAATAACAACTCGAAATACGGTTCTAGAACTCGTGTTAATCTTCCAAGCTTCGGCGATCCCGAGGTGCTCACGCATATATAGTCACTAGGAAGGAAACACGGTAAAGCATTTCAGTCACGCAACAATTCTCTGTGTAAGGACCTCCTAATCGCTTCCGACGCTGACTCTCTTCTGTCTAATATGGATTTCTTCTCTGGTCTCAAGGGGGTCATACAGCAACTTCTCGAAGCGCTGCAGTTGGAATGGAGATTGAAATTCCCCGAAGTAAACTGACAATACCTGAGAAATCCCACTGACAGGAGGACCTGCTTTGGGAACTGAAAATACTGACACTCTCTGGGCGGGAAATGTTGGGATGTTCTGGAGGCGCGCGGGATGGCCGAGGCTGATTGGCCGACGGAGAAATTCAAAGCGTGAGATATCGAAACGGGGTTCTGACATCATTAGAGTTGCAGCTACATAAACATATTCATGTTTTGCATTTGTTGTTAGGGAAAAATATGTTATGAACAAGCATGGCATACATCTGGTGGTATGACCTTTCTGGGGCTTCTAATACGGTAGCTATCACATGCAACTACCACTGCTCAGGGCATCTTGAATTGGGTGTATTTACAGTCAGCTTCAAGCAAGCCTGATACCCTATAACTATCCTCCTTACCATCAAAGTTGACGTGCTCCTTACTGTCACCCTCCTTTCCTGTTGATCCTTCCATCCTTGCCAGCCTTGAAGAGTTGCTCTGATCAGTCTTCCCAAGAAGCCCATGCACAAAGCTTGACTCCTTGAAACTCCCTAACCTCACATTCAGCTGCAATAAAAAAAAGTGTTGTGATAGTGAAGTTAGTGACAAACCGTTGAATTGACGAACAACACCAACCAGCATACACACTTACATGGTTTTGGCGCACCCATTTACTGGTATTGCGATTGAACGCTGCTCTTCTGATGTCAACAAACATATCAAATGCACTTGTGACGCGAATCCGCACAGATCTGCTAGTGCGATCCACTCTGAGCCATTTATTGTTCATGGAGACTGTTAAATCAACGTTGGGCAGCTCGGCTCCATTTATATACAGCCCTCCTTGAAAAGCAGCATTCCTTGCACCAGGATGTGAGCGTGCAACCACAACAATCTCCACCAGATTATCCTCTCTGTTGAAAGACCCCTTGTTTCGATAGAGGATGCCAATCTCATCCATGAACTGCAAGAGAAACAAGCTCAGACGAGGACAAACAAGTGTGTCAGTGGCAAATTCAGTGTTTAATGATTTTCTTACCGTTGTGCCGTTATGTGGCCCCGCAACGAGGTGCATGTTGGCGTGTATCTCTGAATCCGAGAGCAAGCAGTAGCTTTCTCCAGGCTTGCCGTGAAAGTCGAATCTCTCCCCATGCTGCCCCACCAAGTGAGGATCTCCTGTCACATTCCCTTGTGTTGCCCCATTATGCCTGTGTACACCAGGGAAAAATAAAAGAAAGATAATGGAAGTCAAGTATCCGAGAGCAAGCAGTAGCTCTCCCCAGCTTGCCGTGAAATTCGAATCTCTCCCCATGCTGCCCCACCAAGTGAGGGTCTCCGGTCACATCACTTCTCGTTGTCCCATTATTGCTGTTGGTCATCAAACAAGGAAATTGACAATCAGAAAGCATTTTGCATGGAATCTCGTTACATGTCATGTTGCGAGCGTGAATAAGTTGGTGTGCGCAAGATAGAACACAGCCCAGGTCCTGCTGGGTGAGAGAGAGTGGGCTTACCTTGGTCGTTGTGGCTCCGAATGAAGCTTCTCTTGCAGGCGACGAGCGCATGGAGGAGGTAAGGCGGGGGTAGGGAGGGAGGTCGGAGGGGTGGAGAGCGGTGGAGCTTCCAGTTGGGGACAGATGCAGGGCAAGGGAGGAGAGGTGGAGGTGGGGGCGGGGAAAGGGGCAGGGGCAGTGGCAGGTGTAGCAGGAGAAGCATGGAGGGAAGGGATGGTGGAGAGGGGTCGAGGGGTGGTAGGAGATAGTGCGGTTGCTGCTGGTGCTGGTGGTAATGCAGAATGGGGAGGGGTTGGTTTGAGGTAGGTGGGAAGGAAGGGGCAAGTGAAGGGTGGGGGGGCGGTGTGCAGGCAATCCGCTGGTGGAGAGGATGGGAGGGGGAAGGGTGGGGGGAGCATTAGAATGGGAAGAAGATTAGGTGTTCTAGAATGGGAAGGGCTACTGCTGCTTCTGGCGGTGCTGGTGCTGGCGCTAAGAGATAGTTCGTTCCGTTACACTTACACTCAGATTGAGTCTCGTTGCCTCTTGCAAGAGTGGTAACTGGAGCAGTGGTGGTGTGGCAGATGACACACAAACCCACGCAGAGAAGGGAGGTGGTGAGGGAGGAGGAATGGAAAGGCAGCTTAAGGTGTATCCATTACACTTACAGTCGGTTACAGTCACGTTGCCTCTGGCACGAGGGGTAACTGGAGCGGGGGTGGTGGTGTGGCATATGACACACGAACCCACGCAGAGAAGGGGGATGGTGGGGGAGGAGGAAGAGGGGAGATGATGGGGATAAGAGGAGGAGGAAGCGGCGGAGGAAGGGTGTGAGGAGGGAGAGGAGGAGGCTGATTGGGTGACCGGGGAGGAACCTTCCTGGAAGCTGCTGTGGTGGATGTGGGCGGAGGCCCATCGCCTCACTGCCACGTCAGCACCGCCTTGAAGGTTTTTCTTCCCAGCAGGCCCAGACTCGCTGACCGCAGGCTCTGTAACAGGGTTACCAGCAGGGTTTCCCGTGTCATTATCGACCAGGTTACTAGCAGTGTTGCTGAGGAACGTTGCATCATAGACAGTGACAGTGCTGCCGGCATGCTCAGGGCGGCCTCCCCCCACGAACAGCGCCCCTCCATCCCTCTGCAGGCGGGCAGGGAAAAGAAGAGGACAGGGTTAGAAGCACTGTTACTAGCAGTGACACTGTGGAAAACTGCATGGTAGATAGTAGCAGTGCTGCCGGCATGCTCGGGGCGGCCTCCCCCCACAAACAGCGCCCCTCCATCCCTCTGCAAGCAGGGAAGACGCAGGTGGGGAGAAGAGGCAGCACGGGGAAGAGCCGGAGGATAGAGTTATCTCATCAGAGCCACCAGCAGGGTTACCAGCAATGCTACTGTGCATCGCTGCATCATAGACAGTGACAGTGCTGCCAGCATCCTCAGGGCGGCCTCCCCCCACGAACAGCGCCCCTGCATCCCTCTGCAGGCAGGCAGGGGGGCAGGCAGGGGGGCGAAGGCAGCCAGAGAAAAGAGGGAGTCATTTTTCACTGCAATGACAGCCCGACTAAACCCCGCAATGTGAGCCATTGGAATCCGACGGTGGAAATCAACGCTCAACTCACCCCGGCAGCATTCTGATCAAATCGGACGGTGGAGAAGGAAGCTCGCCCCCCAAGTCGTCCGTGAGACCCCACAGCCACTGCCCCTCCTTCCACAGCAGCCCTTCTTTTGCTACACAAGGAGTAATTTTGAACGGTGGAGATTGAATCTGAACTCACCCCGGCGGAGTTTTCATTGAAACTGACGGTGGAGAAGGAAGCTTGGCCTCCTAGCCGGCCGTGAGACCCCACAGCAGCTGCCCCACCGTCAATAGTAGCCCTGTTTGCCTCGAAAAGAGCATTGCTCATGTGCAGTGATGCTCCCGGTGTGCTCCCATGATCCTGGTTGGTGTGGTGAGGGGACAGCAGGAAGGAGGAAAGAGAGGCTCTTGGTGCCTTAGCCTGCATAGCAGGAAGGTAGGAGCAGTGCAAACAAACACGGCACCGCCGAGTTGACAGCAAAGGAAAGGGAGAAACTGCGAGTCAAGCACAGTGACACATGGAGGGGTAGACTGACGGGAAAAGGGAGAGCAAGGGGAAGCAAGTGCAACGACACAGTAGCGTGTACCCTATGGGTTGACGACGCGTTGTGGCATGCAGGGTCGCTCCCATCCACCAACATGGCACCGCCGACAGAAGCCGAGTTGGCGGGGAAGAGGGAATCAAGCACCGTGACACAGGGAGAGGGAGGGGGGAGCGAGCAAGGAGGCATTGTTGGCACGGCATAGAAGTGTACCTGGTGGTCTGAGGACGTGTTGTGGCAGGTAGGGTCGCTCCCATCCACGAACACAGCACCGCCGACAGCAGTCAAGTTGGCAAGGGAAGTGGGAATAAAGCACCGTGACACAGGGAGAGGGAGGGGGGATCGAGCCAGGAGGCATTGTTGGCATGGCAGGGTGAGTGTACCTGGTGGTTTGAGGACGTGTTGAGGCATGCAACGTCGCTCCCATCCAGGAACACAGCACCGCCGACAGTGGCAGAGTTGGCGACAAACAGCGAGTCGAGCACAGTCACACAGGGAGAGGAAATGGGAGATGGGAGCGGGAGACAGAGTGGTAGCATGGCCCTGCGTTGTACCTGCGGGGCTGCTGTGGTGTTGAGGCAGGTGGGGTCACTCCCATCCACGAACACAGAACCCCCGACAGCAGCCGAGTTGGCGACGAACAGCAAGTCGAGTTGGCAAGGGAAGAGGGGATCAAGCACAGGGAGAGGGAGGCGGAGAGGAAAAGGGGAGCGTTGGCATGACCCTGAGTTGTACCTGCTGGGTTGGTGTGGTGTTGAGGCAGGTTCGGTCGCTCCCATCCACGAACACAGCACCGCCGACAGCAGCAGAGTTGGCGACAAAGAGCGAGTCGAGCACAGTCACACAGGGAGAGGAAGGGGGAGAGGGGAAGAGGGAGAGGAAGGGGGAGCATGCACCGAAACGGCATAGGTACCTGGTGGTTTGAGGACGTGTTGTGGCAGGTAGGGTCGCTCCCATCCACCAACACGGCACCGCCGATAGCAGCCGAGTTGGTGGGGAAGAGAAAATCAAGCATGGTGACACAGGGAGAGGGAGAGGAAAGGGGAGAAGAGAGGAAAGGGGGAGCGTTGGCGTGACCCTGAGCTGTACCTGCTGGGCTGCTGTTGTGTTGTGGCAGGTAGTGTCGCTCCCATCCACGAACACAGCACCGCCAACAACAGCCGAGTTAGCGACAAACAGCGAGTCGAGCACAGTCACACAGGGAGAGGTGCCGGCACAGCCCATCCCTTGCGAGCTTTCCCGCGCTTTCTGAGAGGCACTCGTGCCCCCCACATGCCCCTGACTGGGCGTTGCTCTGCTTCTGATGCGCCTGTCGGCCTGTGCCCCCAGGTACATGGCGCCTCCCCTGCTCCGGTGCTTGCCAGTGGCGTCCTGCGGGTAGGGAGGGAGAGTAAGGGACAAGCAAGGAGGAGGCTAGGGAGTGACGCTCCGTGCTCTAGCTCTGGCGTTAGATGAGATGCTCATGTCGGACCCCCAGGTACATGGCGCCTCCCCTGCTCCGGTGCTTTCCAGTGGCGTCCTGTGGAGAGGGAGAGTGGGAGGATCCGGGAGAGTGCCTCAGTGAGTGCTCAGCGTGCCCCTGACTGGGGTTTGCTCTGATTTTGATGCTTCTGTCGGCCTGTGCCCCCAGGTACATGGCCCCTCCCCTGCTGCGGTGCTTGCCAGTGGCATCCTGTGGAGAGTGGAGGGCGAAGAAAATGCCACGCTGTCGGGTACTAGAAACGCAGCAATGACACATTGAACAGTGTAAGCCCCATTTTCTCTAAAAATGTCTCCACCCCCTCCCCCCAAAAAAGGCTGTACATTCAACAAGCACGTATACACCGTACGTACCATGAAAACTGAGTTGAAGGCAAAATTGGTGCCATGGAAAAACGCCGCCGCATTGCTCCCTATAGCCACCGCCCCCCCTCCGCTCCCTCCGCTGTTATTAAAGAAACTCGTGCTTATAGCGGAGAGGTAGGCTCCAGGCTGAGCCTCTCCTGGCGAAGGCGGTGAGTCGGGCAGCCCGGAAACGAAAATTGCGCCGCCGAACTTGCCCCGTGGGACGAATCCGTGCACGAGGGCGATGTTTTGGAGCGCCAGGTAGCCGCCTGCCCGAACGGTGAAGATCTGAAGGCCAGTGGTACGCATGGGAGAGGGGCGGTGAAATGGGGTTCAGATGGGTTGGTGTGGGTTGTGAGATGGATTGCAATCCGTACATTGGAGCGATTTTCTGTAGCGCCAGGTAGTCGCCTGCCCGAACGGTGTATATCTCGTGCGCGAAGGGACTCGGGGGGAAGAGTAGGGGAGTGGGAATTTGAAATGGGATTCGAGATGGAGGCTTTGGGTTCAAAATGGGGTGTGAGATGGGACGAACCCGTGCACTGGAGCGATGATTTGGAGCACCAGGTCACCTGGTAACCAGGTAACTGCCTGGCCTGAGACGCTGATAAGTCTGACTGGCTCTCTCTGCCCTCAGTCCCTCAGTCTTACCCTGGACTGCCCCTGGCCGTCGATCATGCACTGATCCGACGAACACAAGCCCGTCACGGCCACAGCGTGTCTGACAGCTGGCAGCTCGCCGTTGGTCAGGTACACGTGGCGCGTGAGGTAGACGGCGGGCGCGCGATCCAGCAGCGCGCCACGCAAGCACGCCTCGCTGTCGCACCACGTGGCAGGCGGGCGGCTCTCCGCGCTCCCCGCGCTCCCCGCGCTCCCCTCACCCTCCCCACCCCCCGTACTCCCTTCTAGTCCCCCTTCCGTGAATGACGGCCATTCGGAGCTTCCTTCCCCGTCTCCTTCCGCTCCCCCTCCGCCGTCCCCTCCGCCGTCCCCTCCGCCGTCCCCTTCACCGTACTCTCCGCCAGTCGAAGTCTGGCGCACCTTCTCGCCGCCATCGTCGCCGCTTCCCCCACGCGCACCTTCATCAGAGGCACCAGCATAGTCTGCCTCACGCGCACCATCTACTTCAGACTCCGGAGCCTCTGCTGCAGTTGGCGCGAGTATCGCCGCGATGTACGCATCCTCGCTAGTAGAAGCTTCGGTATAAGGGGGAGTCTCCTTCAGCAGCAGTTTTCTAACGCCATCGGCGGCGGTCGTGACGGGGTGCTGCGGATTGTTGCCGGGGAGATTTAGCTGGGGAAGGTCGTATCTGTCTGGAACGTGGTGTGACTGGGGAAGGCGGGATCTGACCGACTCTGGGATGCGAATGGGTACGCTCGGAAGCAGAGACGGTACACCGTGTCGCGCTGCGTGAAACGCATGATTTCTGTTGAGTTGGAGGAGAGGATCACCGGAGGAACGAGCCTGAACCGTGCCAAGACAGAAGAGTACGATGCCGACAACGAGAGCCAGGGGACAAACAGAGAAACGCGGACGGGGCAGAGACGTTGACTTTCTTTCCATGATGGCGCGAATTATTTCTGATGAAGTGAAAAAACGTATCGACGCAACGCGCACGGCCGTGAGTGGTAATTACCAGAGTTGATACGCACGGGCGGGATGTCTCACTCCTGAACGAGAAGAGCACGAGATGTGCTCTTCTGTTGACGTGCAGTGGCGGAGGGAGAATGAGCTATGGCAGTGCAAAATGTGGCAGATTTGATTATGAGGCGGGATTGGGAAGAAATGCGGCTCGGAGGTGTTGGACATGGCGGTGCGACAAATTCTTTCCTCACGTACCGCGAGGGCCGTTTGACGATTGACGACTCTCGCGAGTACCCGCTGGTCTTCATCGTCCGGCCTCGTTCGTGCTGACGAATCGGCTGCGAACCTCGCCTTGCGAAAGGAGCACGTTTGCGAGATTATGGACTTGAAAGGCAGATGAAACTTTGTACAATTCTGCAAAACAGGATGTGGAGTGTAGATGTTACAGATGATCTGTAATTCAAATGGCAGCAGAGATTTCGCTGAAGCTCGCGACTGGCAATTGCGACGGGGAAAGTGCGAGCTCCCGCCAGCACAGCACGGGCTTGCCTGCCTAACGGAGCTGATTGGTCGGAACACGTTTCATCCGTCAAGCTGCTTCCAGAAGCACGGACGGGAACGCGATCTTCCAGACAGTCCCGCACGACACGACCGCCAGCCTGGGAGGAATCTGGATCGTCGGATTAGGGCGTGGCACCAACATGCCAATCTGTTCCTTTGAAACGGTGCAATACGATGAGCTGCGATCTGAAGCTGTTCGTCTGTTACAGGCGGCGAGGGCGTGGCAGACAAGTTCGGTGAATACGGTTGAGCACGGTAGATGCGGTCCCTAGAACGGTCAGTTTTCTTCACCGTTCTAAACCATTACTTACCCGTCTAAAATCAGGAGAAGCTCGTCTGCCCAGCCTTGTTTGTTCAGCGTCGGTATCTCCACGTCTCAAATCCATAATGAAATATCTTCCAACTTTTTGCTTCTGGATCGTCATCATATTACGTAGACATGTCAGGCATTTCTCTAGTTTTGAGAATGAAGTCACGTTAGTCTTAGCTCTGTAGACGTCGAAGGTACTAGCGTGTTGGTCACCGGAATTTCGAGGCAACTCAACGTGAAGTTGCTAGTTTGTCATAATCTCTCTTCGTAACCTGCTTTCAGAAACGCGTTGAAGTGAGAAGAACCTCGCGTGAGAATTTTCGCGTTTCAGTGAAACAGAGTCATTCAGTTAAGTCCAAAAATTCCATTTTGTTGTATCCCAGTTTTCCGGATTTCGTGCATTCGGATTAGGCAAAGAAATCGCTCGCCGCCTATCCATGGCGGCGGCTAACGGCGAGCCGGCTGAAGGACAGCACCAGCAAAACGGCAGAGCAAAAAAGAAAGCTAAAAATACGCATCAAGGATCAGGAGGGCTTGTTTGGTTAGCTCTGGCCGCTACAGTCGCCGTCGTGGCTGTAGCGGTGACAGTATCGCGACCGGAATATGTCACGGCTGCTGCTGCGAAAAGCAGCGAGTTTTGTAACCAGTTGCTGCGACAATGGGGCGTGATGCCTGTTGAGGAGGTGTCAGGAACAGGAGATTCTTCACCGCCTGTCGAATCGGCGGCAATCTCTAGGAAACCGTCGGCGTCGTCAGCTTCCGTTACATCTCCACCAGATTCTGGCTGCACATGTCAGGTACGTTCGTTATGTCTCAATCAAGCACCTCACGCGTCAGGCACGTTGCGTTACGTACTCACACGTCTCTGACATAAGTCATACTGCCGCACTCCTCAACGGTCATATTTCTTAGTGTCCTGTTATGGCATCGGTGTCTTTGCTCTTAATCTCTGCGCGAAGAGCCGAGTCGCTTTGCCTCGGTATCTGCATATCTCTTCCAACTCTCCTGTTGCCAAGTGTCACCTGCTCCTGGTCTGGTCCGTGCCACGTGTCACTCGCAGGTGAAGCGGCTGTCAGGTGTGGTGGACGACTGCTGCTGCGAGTACGAGACAGTGGACGATCTCAACTCGCACGTGTTACAGCCGCTGCTGACCCAGCTCGTCAACACCACCTTCTTCAAGTACTTCAAGGTCGGTTAAGTGCGGTGCTGCATGATGCGTAGTGGTTTTAGAGGGGTTGCTCGCACGTGCTGCAGCCGCTGCTGACCCAGCTCGTCAACACCACCTTTTTCAAGAACTTCAAGGTCGGTTTGATGCGGTACTGCAAGGTGGGTAGCGGTTTCAGATGGGTTGCAGAACTCACAAGTACGACACAGTGGACGAACTGAACTCGCACGTGTTACAGCCACTGCTGACCCAGCTCGTCAACACCACCTTCTTCAAGTACTTTAAGGTCGGTTTAGTGCGGTGCTGCAAGGTTCATGGTGGTCCATATACATGTCAGAACACACAACATGTGTACGAGACAGTGGACGAACTAAACTCGCACGTGCTACAGCCGCTGCTGACCCAGCTCGTCAACACCACCTTCTTCAAGTACTTCAAGGCCGGTGAAAGTCTCACCTCGGTTCAGTTCGGTTCTGCAAGGTGCGCAGCAGTTCTAGAGGAGTCGCAGAGCACGTGGGATAGCAGCATACAGTTGGATGAGCTCAACTCGCACGTGCTACAGCCGCTGCTGACCCAGCTCGTCAACACCACCTTCTTCAAGTACTTCAAGGTCGGTTTAGTGCGGTACTGCATGATGCGTAGAGGTTCAGAGGGGTTGCTCGCACGTGCTGCAGCTGCTGCTGACTCAGCGCGTCAACACCACCCCACTCCACTCCACCCCACCCCACCTCCTGCCAGGGTCCCTTCCCTCTTACCCCATCCATCCACACTGCACCTGACCCCACCCATCGCCCTGCTGTCAGGTTCGTCTGTGGTGTGACTGTCCCTTCTAGCCGGACGATGGCATGTGTCACTCAAGAGACTGTTCTGTAGGGGAGTGCAAGGACGATGAGGTCCCTTCCCCCTCTTATCCCATCCAACCGCACTGCACCCCACCCCACTCCACTCAATCCTGTCTCCCTCTCCATCAGGTTCGTCTGTGGTGTGACTGTCCTTTCTGCCCAGGCGACGGCATGTGCCACTCAAGAGACTGCTCTGTAGGGGAGTGCAAGGACGACGAGGTTCCAGCCCCCTTCTTCCTCCCGTTCCATTTCCACCCCACTCGACCTCATCCCACCCCTTCCCTCCCCACCCCACAGGTTCGTCTGTGGTGTGACTGCCCCTTCTGGCCAGACGACGGCATGTGCCACTCAAGGGACTGCTCTGTAGGGGAGTGCAAGGGCCACGAGGTCCCTTTTTTCCCACACCCAACCCCACCCAATTCCACCGCACCCCACCCCTTCCCATCTCGTTTTCTCCCTGTCAGGTTCGTCTGTGGTGTGACTGTCCCTTCTGGCCAGACGACGGCATGTGCCACTCAAGGGACTGCTCTGTAGGGGAGTGCAAGGACGATGAGGTCCCCTCTCACCCCACCTAACCGCACTGCACCGCACCCTGCACCCCACCCCATTCCACCCCGCTCTCTCAGGTTCGTCTGTGGTGTGACTGTCCCTTCTGGCCTGATGACGGCATGTGCCACTCAAGAGACTGCTCTGTAGGGGAATGCACTGATGACGAGGTTCCCCCTTAACCCACCCAGTCCCACCGTACTCCACCCCACTCCACCCACTCCTGTCGTCTCCCCCCCTCGTCAGGTTCGTCTGTGGTGTGACTGTCCCTTCTGGCCAGATGACGGCATGTGCCACTCAAGAGACTGATCTGTAGGGGAGTGTAAGGACGATGAGGTTCCCGCCCCCATTCCACCCAATTCTTCACACTTTCCATCCCTCTCCACCCCACCCGCTTTCACTGCCAGGTTCGTCTGTGGTGTGACTGTCCCTTCTGGCTAGACGACGGCATGTGTCACTCAAGGGACTGTTCTGTAGGGGAGTGCAAGGACGACGAGGTTCCTGCTCCCCTCCGCTGCCCCTCCCCGCCTGCGCCCTCGCTGCTCCCTGCTGACGTGGACGAGCCACGCGATGCTGACCTGGACCCGACTGCGGACGAGTCAGCGTCTGCTGAGTCAGCGGCAGGGTCGGTGGATCGAACGGTGGACCGGAGCGCATTTCAAGCGTGGGTGGAAGCGGATAATCCGTGGACGTCAGATGATGAGTCAGATACCGGTGAGAAGATATGATACAATACAAATTCTATCAGTACAAGGCATTACCAGTTGCATTTGCAGGGGGTGGATCGGAGCGCGTTTCAGGCGTGGGTTGAGGCGGATAACCCGTGGACTTCAGATGATGAGTCAGATACGGGTGAGCAGATATTATGCGATACAGATTCTATCAATACAAGGCAGTTGCATTTGCAGTTTCCGGGGTGGATCGCAGTGCGTTTCAGATGTGGGTGGAGGCGGATAACCCGTGGACTTCAGATGATGAGAGTGACACAGGTGAGATGAAACGGGCACAAAAAGATGAAACGGATACAGGTAAGATGAAACGGATATGCCAAGGTTGCTCGTTTCTTTCCCCACCCCGCACCCCCCTTCCTCTCCCCCTATCCTCTCCCCTCTCCCTCCATTCCCAGCCTCCCAGGTTTTTGTGAACCTAGCTCTTAACCCGGAAAGGTACACAGGGTAGGGGGGCGACTCGGTGCCGTGCATCTGCTCTCCTTCTTTTACTTTTATCTTTTCCCCATTCCTCCCCCCTCTCTCACCTCGCTCCCCTCCCCTCTCCCCCCACCTCACAGCCTCCCAGGTGTATGTCAACCTAGCACTGAACCCTGAGAGGTACACGGGGTATGGGGGGGATTCAGTGCGGCGCATCTGGCAGGCCATCTACCAGGAGAGCAGCTTCCAGGACGGCTGCTGTGTGTAACCCTCGTATCGTCCCTCCCCTCCCCCCACACCGCACAGCCTCCCAGGTGTACGTGAATCTAGCCCTGAACCCAGAGCGCTACACAGGGTACGGAGGGGACTCGGCGCGGAGCATCTGGCAGGCCATCTACCAGGAGAGCAGCTTCCAGGACGGCTGCTGTGTGTAAACCTTGTATCCTCCATCCCCTCTCCCCACACGCACAGCCTACCAGGTGTAGGTGAATCTAGCCCTGAACCCTGAGAGGTACATAGGCTATGAAGGGGATTCAGCTCGGCGCATCTGGCAGGCCATCCACCAGGAGAGCAGCTTCCAGGACGGCTGCTGTGTTGTGTAAACCTCGTATCCTCCCTCCCGTCTCCCCACTCACAGCCTTCCAGGTGTACGTGAATCTTGCTCTCAATCCCGAGAGGTACACTGGGTATGAGGGAGACTCCGCTCACCGCAGCTGGCAGGGGATCTTCCAGGAGAGCTGCTTCTCATGCACCTCGTCCCCTTCCCCCACACCCCACGCCCCTGCCCCCACTCCCAGCCTCCCAGGTGTATGTAAATCTTGCTCTCAATCCAGAGCGCTATACAGGCTATGGGGGGGATTCGGCACGGCGCATCTGGCAGGCCATCTACCAGGAGAGGTGCTTCCAGGACGGACGGCGCCAAGGCTACTCCTACAGCTCACAAGCCCCCTCTTTTCCCCGCATCCCTCTGCCTTACCTGGCACGCACAGCCTCCCAGGTGTATGTTAACCTAGCCCTGAACCCTGAGAGGTACACAGGGTACGGAGGGGACTCGGCACGGCGCATCTGGCAGGCCATCTACCAGGAGAGCTGCTTCCAGGACGGCACCAGGGACACTCCCTGCAGATCAATTGCAGCATATCAACCTCCTCCCCTCCCTCCCCCCTCCCCCCGCGCCCCACGCACAGCCTCCCAGGTGTACGTGAATCTAGCCTTGAACCCGGAAAGGTACACGGGGTACGGAGGGGACTCTGCCCGACGCATCTGGCAGGCCATCTACCAGGAGAGCTGCTTCCAGGACGGCACCAAAGACGAGTGCACGGAGAGGCGCGTGCTGTACCGGCTGATTTCGGGCCTGCACCAGGCGATTTCAGTGCACGTGGCTGCGTCGCAAATATGGGACTCAGCAGCTGGGCAGGTGAGCATCTGGCAGGCCACTTGTCAAGCTGTGGTGTGAAGCTACCAGGAGAGCTGCTTCCAGGACGGCACCAAGGACGAGTGCACTGAGCACCGCGTGCTGTACCGGCTTATATCGGGCCTGCACCAGGCTATATCAGTGCACGTGGCCGCGTCACAAATATGGGACTCAGCAGCTGGGCAGGTGAGCATCTGGCAGGCCATCCACCAGGAGAGCTGCTTCCGGGACAGGTGAGGGAGGGAGGGGGGCTTGGCATGAGGGATTGGAGAGTCGAGTTCTAAGAGCTGCTTCCAGGACAGCACCAAAGACGAGTGCACGGAGCGGCGGGTGCTATATCGACTCATTTTGGGCCTGCACCAGGCGATATCAGTGCACGTGGCTGCTTCCCAGATCTGGGATTCCGCTGCTGGGAAGGTAAGTTTTAAGAGAGGCGCGTGCTGTACCCGCTGATTTCGGGTCTACACCAGGCGATATCAGTGCACTGGCCGCATCGCAAATATGGGACTCAGCAGCTGGGAAGGTGAGTGAGTTGGCAGTGCAGAGTTGCAGAGTGAGGTGTTGGGAAGGTGAGCATCTGGCAGGCCATCTACCAGGAGAGGTGCTTCCAGGACGGGTGAGGGAGGGAGGGGGGCTTGTTGTGGGGGAGCTGGTGCTACCAGAAGAGCCCCCCTGAGGAAACACGGAGAAGAAAGGAGTCCCAGATCTGGGACTCAGCTACTCCCTCGCCCTTGGTGCTGCGCCAACCCTCATCACCAACTTCCCTTTGGCCTTTCCCTTACCGTGTTTTGTCTCCTGTTTCCCACCACACACAGTGGGGGCCCAACATCACCATCTTCCACCACCGCGTGGCCAAGTTCCCTGAGCGCTGGGCACGCACTACTTCACGTTCCTCTATGTGCTGCGCGCGTTTGTAGTGCGTGCTGCCACCCCTTTTCCATGATCTCTCTCCCCTGTCCCCCCCCTCTCCTCTTCCGCACCATACAGTGGGGCCCCAACATCACTGCCTTCCACCATCGCGTTGCCAAGTTCCCTGAGCGCCTCGCCAACCTCTACGTCACATTCCTCCTCTTTGTTCTGCGCCAACCCATTCATCACCACCTCCGCTGTCCCCTTTCCCCCTTTCTGTGTCTTCTCTCCTCTCTCCCCTCTCTTTTTCCACACAGTGGGGTCCCAACATCACCATATTCCATCATCGCGTGGCCAAGTTCCCAGAGCGCCTTGCGAATCTCTACTTCACCTTCCTCTTTGTGCTGCGAGCGGCCACCAAGGTAAGAACACACTCTAGCATTGGTATTTTCTGACTGTTGTCTGGTAGACAGGCGCCTTGGCAACCTCTATTTTACATTCCTCTTCGTGCTGCGTGCTGCCACCAAGCCGGTTGTGGTGCTGCAGGGGTGCGGGATGAGAGGCTGCAGGTTGTGTGAGTGAAGCACCCTTCAACCCACCCCCTTTTTACCTTCCCTTCTCCTCGTCCTTCCCCTCTGCCCTTGCCACAGGCGGCGGATTTCCTATCACGAGCATCATATGACACAGGCAACCCCTTAGAGGATACACAGACGGCAGCACTGGTGCAGCAGGTGGTGCGGAATGAGAGGTTGCAGGCGGCCTGCCCGTTGCCGTTTGACGAGGCGAGGATGTGGCGAGGGGATGAGGGGCCGCAGCTCAAGCAGACGCTGCAGGGGCATTTCAGGAATATAAGGTGAGTGTTTCCAGAAGCATCAGGCAGGTGGTGGGTGGTTCAGAAACTGCAGGTGAGTGCTTCAGGAGCAGCAGGGGGTTTGGAGGAATGAGAGGCTGCAGGCGGCGTGCCCATTGCCGTTTGTCGAGGCGAGGATGTGGCGAGGGGATGAGGGGCCGCAGCTGAAGCAGACGCTGCAGGGGCACTTCAGAAACATCAGGTGAGTGTTTGCGAAGCATCAGGAGTGGGTGCTTCAGGCCGCTGTGTGCCGGTGTGTGCTGCTGTGTGCTGCTGTGTGCTGCTGTGTGCTGCTGTGTGCTGCTGTGTGCTGCTGTGTGCTGCTGTGTGCTGCTGTGTGCTGCTGTGTGCTGCTGTGTGCTGCTGTGTGCTGCTGTGTGCTGCTGTGTGCTGCTGTGTGCTGCTGTGTGCTGCTGTGTGCTGCTGTGTGCTGCTGTGTGCTGCTGTGTGCTGCTGTGTGCTGCTGTGTGCTGCTGTGGGCTCGCCACAGCCCACAAGTTCCTCTTCCCAACCACTCTCCACCACTCCCCATCCCTTCCCACCCCAGCCTGATCATGGACTGTGTGGGGTGCGAGCGCTGCCGCTTGTGGGGCAAGCTGGAGATGCTCGGGCTCGCCACGGCCCTCAAGATCCTCTTCTCTGTTGATGGAAATGGCAATGGCAACGGTGGCAATGGTGAGGAGAAGTTGAGTCTGCAGCGCAACGAGGTGGTGGCGCTTTTTAACACGCTTTGGCGCTTCTCCCATGCGCTCAACACCACTGCCGAGCTTGTCACCCTGCTCGAGATGAACCCTCCCCCAGATGCACCTGCGACCGGAGCAGCTCTGGTAGCGTCTGTCTCTGGTGGTGGTGCTGCTGGAGCAGTGCCACTGCAAAAGGTGTGGGAGAAAAGCCAAGAGAAAAAGAATCATGACTACAAAGCCAGTGCTGCACAGTAGTGCAGTATGAATTGACATCGTATTGTAGTACTGTACAGTTGCAATGTTGACAAATTATACCGCAATGTTGAAATGTCTTGGTAGATGCCAGCAAGGTGTTGTGATGTGCCGCACCTTGTTTTTTTTTTTTGCCATTTTCCGTAGTGCTACGATCTTCTTGCCACTTACTGTCTCTCCTAATGAGAGCCAGAATCATTTGTTTGTTCTCAGTTCAAATAAGGTTCCACTGACAGATTGTTTGTTCAAAGCGGGCTACACTACATTGGAAGTACTTCACGCTTCTGCGAACATCGCCTAGCGTGAGGGCGTGGTTTCGCTGTTCCTCACACTTGGAGGCGTGGTGCCAAAGTACGTGACAGAGTACGTTATCCTACGGTGCCGAGCGGTTAAATTTCGAACTTCAGGTGTCACGCTTTGGACTGGATAGATTTTCACACCGCCATGCATGCATCACCTCACCATCATCACGCCCCTCTTGCCTCCCTTGGAAATTCCGCAAACGCACGCAGACAGGCAAGCAGCCCCATTCGGCAAGCCCAAGAGACTCGCCCCCTCCCTCACCAGCGAGTTCTTGCAAGCCAAGCTTTTTGTCCTTCTGTTGTTGGTGCCAGCTGGCTAGGTTCCCTGTTTCTCTCCAATGCGTTTCTTCCTATGACCGTTGATTCTTCAACCAGAAAAGCATTGCGAGAGCATTCCGTAGCAAGATTGCTTACAAACCTTTCGAACCTAAATTAGGTTGCATCTTAGGATTCATGATAGCGTCTCGCTCGTGAGTTTCCATTGGATTCGTCACGAAAGTGCTGTTTTTTTCCAAAATCGGTTTAGGTGCAGCCGGTGCGATGAGTCCTTTTACTGGAATGGGTCAAAGCTGTTCAACGATCCCATTCACGAGCATATCACAGTCGACAAGGTACGGTAACACCGCTAATTTTGAATTGATAAAGGCGCGGACGAGGTTTAAGATTCAGCCAATTGTTGAGCCCGTCAGCGCAATGTCTTAGCCGGGATTCAGTGTCAATGACAGGAAATGGACACTTAATGTTTACTCCATTGACATAGCTCACTCCATAATAGCGCAAACAGCAATGTTATCAGCGGGCATGGTGTGCAGCTGTGGTGTCCATGAGACGTTCAGCGCTCGTTTATTGACGATTATTTTCCATTTAACCTACAATGTTCACCAATTTGTATCAGCCCAAAACAAATGCTAACACACAGTCATGTTACGTTCAATTCTTCGTGGTCCATTCTACCTTGCTTCTTCCTTTCGTGCAGCAAACAGCGTCTCCGAATTTCGTCAATCTTCACTCCTCATCACGCCTCTCTATCTCTCTCCATCCCTCTCCATCCCTCTCCACCCCACTCCACCCGTTCAACAGACCAGCCTAAGCATCATCGACACGTGCGAATTCCAGCGGCTGAGGCACATCCGCCAGCTAGGCGTCTGCAACTCACCCATCTCTCCCTCTCCACCCCTCTCCACCCCTCTCCACCCCTCGCCACCCCTTCCAACCCTGCTTCTCTCACCCCCCTTCACAGACCAGCCTGAGCATCATCGACACAAGCGAGTTTCAGCGGCTGAGGCACATCCGCCAGCTAGGCGTCTGCTACTACGTGTACCCGTCAGCCAATCACACGCGGCTAGAGCACTCCATAGGGACCTCCCATCTGGCCAATCAGGTGGTGGAATCGCTGCGGCGGCAGCAGCCAGAGCTGGGGATAAATGATGATGACGTCATGGCGGTTACTCTGGCCGGGCTGTGTCATGACATGGGGCATGGGTGCTTCAGCCACATGCTGGATAGCAAAATCTTCTCCCGCTTCTGCCCTGGATCGGATTGGTACGTACTTGGGGCAATCTTTTGCGGCGCCTCAGAACTGGGCAGTAGGGCTGTGCCATGACATGGGGCATGGGACATGGGGCATGGGGCATGGGACATGGGACATGGGGCATAGGGCATGGGGCATGGGGCATGGGGCATGGGGCACATGCTTGATAACGCCATCGTCTTCTGCCCTGGATCAGACTGGTATGTGCTTTGCAATCGGCATCCACTCTTGTTACCACACGGGCATCCATGCACTTATCCCGTACCCCTGCATACCCCGCCGTACCCCTGCATACCCCGCCATACCCCTGCATCTCCCGCCGTACCCCTGTGCCATATGCTTGTGTCGTGGCCTCTTTGCGTTTCAGGCACCACGAGAAACGGTCAGCGGATCTGGTGGAGCGAATGGTTGACAACAACAGCATTGTCATTGGCATTAAGCCCTTGTGTTGTGTCGTTGTATTTGTGTGTTTCAGGCACCACGAGAAACGGTCAGCGGATCTAGTGGAACGAATGGTTGACAACAACAACATTGACATTGACCCATGTGTCTGCACAATCACTCACTTACCTCCACTTATCACCCCCCACCTAATATGTGGTCTGCATTGTCTTAGGCACCATGAGAAACGGTCAGCGGATCTGGTGGAACGAATGGTTGACAACAACAACATTGACATTGTCCCTGATACCATCGCCACCATCCAGGTGAGAGAGAGCATGGGTGTGAGTGAGAGGATGGTAGCATGAGGGTGAAAGCATGTGGGTGGGAGCGCGGAGGAGGTACCATCACTGGATATCTCATAACCTGTACGCGAAAAATATCGCGAAAGTCGCCTTAGATATTTCATTCTTATACTGCTTATCATTGCAAACATTCTTCCAGTGTCAACTCTCTTTCAGCGTTCACTCCAACATTCCGTTGGATCCTTCTGCTCATTCAACCCCCACCTACCCATCCCCATCTTTCCTCTTTCTCCCTTGCTGCCCTTCTCCCCCTGCCCCCACCTCGTTTCCCATTTCCTCAGAGCCTCATTTTACCAGACAAGTCCAAAAGGCACAGGGTAGGTGAATGGGTGGGCGTGGAGGGTGGGGAGGTGGGGGAGGTGGGGGAGGAGAATGGGTGGGTGAGGATGAGGAGGTGGAGGGGATAGAGGATGCTGAGGTGGTGGGGAAAATGGTGGATTTATGGATGGGACGAGGATGGATGGGTATCTACCAACGGGGAGGTGAGTGAGGGCGAGAAGGGATAGGTGGTGTTTTGAGTCGACTCAAAACACTCAAAACATGACTCATTTCACAACGGTGAGGTGAGGGCGAGAAGGGATAGGTGGGCTAGAAAGCCACCTGAAGAAACTCCTGTGAGACTCCCTTCTGTTTGTGGAGCATACACATGACATGACAACCCTGTGTGTGTGTGTGTGTGTGTGTGCGTGCAGGATTACACGGGGAAGGAGTTTCTATGGGATAATGTGGCCGATGATTTTTCAGCACCACACAAATTTTCCGGCTGAGGGTTTTCCCGCCGTGTGTGCGTGGAGTGTGTGTGTGCAGGATTACACGGGGAAGGAGTTTCTATGGGATATTGTGGCCAATGCACGCACGGGACAGGCATTGTGGCAAATGAGTGATTATCTCCCTCCTCCCCTGTATGTGGAGTGAGTGCGTGCAGGATTACACTGGGAAGGAGTTCCTTTGGGACATTGTGGCCAATGCGCGGACGGGAATAGATGTGGACAAGTGAGTGAGCCTTTGCACTTCCCTGATCTTCTTCAGTGCATTTGTTTTGGCCTTAGTAATTTAGTATAGTGACAAGGAGTTTCTTTGGGACATTGTGGCCAATGCGCACATGGGAATAGATGTGGACAAGTGAGTGAGCCTGTGTTCTCTCCAATTCTCCGACAGTTCACCCTATTTTTTTCTAGTTCCGTAGAAAATATATCGCTGCTCTCTCATTATGTGGTGTCCCAATCTGTGCACTGCTGTGTGGTTTGCTGCAGGTTTGACTACCTGGCTCGTGACAGCTACTTCTGCAACATCAAGTCGTGCTTCGACCACAAGAGGTGAGGACGGGGGAGGTGGGAATGATGAGATGAGGACAGTGTGAGTGTAAGGAGGGTGAGCGTAAGGAGGGCGTGAGGGCATGCTGTGTGGTTTGCTGCAGGTTTGACTACTTGGCTCGTGACAGCTACTTCTGCAACATCAAGTCGTGCTTTGACCACAAGAGGTGAGGAGCGGGAGGTGGGGATGGTGTGGTGGGGATGGTGTGGTGGGGATGGTGAGGTGAGGATGGTGTGGTGGGGATGGTGTGGTGGGGATGGTGAGGTGAGGATGGTGTGGTGGGGATGGTGTGGTGGGGATGGTGAGGTGAGGATGGTGTGGTGGGGATGGTGTGGTGGGGATGGTGAGGTGAGGATGGTGTGGTGGGGATGGTGTGGTGGGGATGGTGTGGTGGGGATGGTGTGGTGGGGATGGTGTGGTGGGGATGGTGTGGTGGGGATGGTGTGGTGGGGATGGTGTGGTGGGGATGGTGTGGTGGGGATGGTGTGGTGGGGATGGTGTGGTGGGGATGGTGTGGTGGGGATGGTGTGGTGGGGATGGTGTGGTGGGGATGGTGTGGTGGGGATGGTGTGGTGGGGATGGTGTGGTGGGGATGGTGTGGTGGGGATGGTGTGGTGGGGATGGTGTGGTGGGGATGGTGAGGTGGGGATGATGTGGTGGGGATGGTGTGGTGGGGATGGTGTGGTGGGGATGGTGTGGTGGGGATGGTGTGGTGGGGATGGTGTGGTGGGGATGGTGTGGTGGGGATGGTGTGGTGGGGATGGTGTGGTGGGGATGGTGTGGTGGGGATGGTGTGGTGGGGATGGTGTGGTAGGGATGGTGTGGTGGGGATGGTATGTGTAAGGAGGAGCGTGAGTGAGTGCACTATCTGGTGGCACCATCGCTGGTATGTGGTTTTTACCATTTTTTAGTCGACTCAAAAAGTCTATTTTTAGTGGATTCAAAAAGTGCACTATCTGGTAGCACCATCGCTGGTGTGTGGTTTTTACTTCTATTATCTGGCTCGTGACTCCTACTTCCTCCTTCCGCAACATCAAGTCGTGCTTCCACCACAAGAGTTGAGGAAGCTGTGATTACTTCTACAGATGTTGTGATTGCTATGTTGCAAGATCTGCTTCCACTTATGAGAGTTGACTTTTGAGTCGACTCAAAGGTCATGCTGTAATCGCTACATTTTTAAACCTTCTCCCTGTGCCCCTCGCCCTCCCTGTTGCACCTTTGTTTCTCTTCACAGAATAATCCATATGATGCGAGTGATAGACGACGAGATCTGCTTCAAGTACAGCGAGTGTGAGTGACGGCCTCTCTTGCCCTCTCTCCCTCTCTTCCCGCCCTACCCTGAGGGTCATAGACGATGAGATCTGCTTCAAGTACAGCGAGTGTGAGTGATGCCCTTTCTTGGCCTTCTGCTCCACTCGTGCCCACTTTTACCCTCCGCCCTTTCTTGCTCCCCTCGTGCCCACTTTTACCCTCCGCCCTTTCTTGCTCCCCTCGTGCCCACTTTTACCCTCCGCCCTTTCTTGCTCCCCTCGTGCCCACTTTTACCCTCCGCCCTTTCTTGCTCCCCTCGTGCCCACTTTTACCCTCCGCCCTTTCTTGCTCCCCTCGTGCCCACTTTTACCCTCCGCCCTTTCTTGCTCCCCTCGTGCCCACTCTTACCGTCCGCCCTCTCTTGCTCGCCTTGTGCACTCTCTTGCCTTCTCTTCTCTTCTCATACCCTCCCTTGCTCTTCCCTCCCTCGTGCCCCTCCTCCCCTCTTCCCCTTTCCCTCCCCTCTCGAGTGCAGTGGAGACAGCGAACGAGCTGTTCTGGCTGCGGGCCAAGATGTGCTTGCTGGCACCTCAGATGTTGTAACCCTGTCCTCCCCCCCCCCCGAGTGCAGTGGAGACAGTGAATGAGCTGTTCTGGCTGCGGGCCAAGATGTATCGCAACGTGTACGCGCATAAGACAGTCAAGGCCGTAGAGGCTATGATCCTAGAGGCCCTCACCCACACCAACCACGTGTTTCGCTTCTCCTCTCTCCTCCCTCCCTCCCTCCGTCCTCCCTCCTCCCTCCTCTCCTCCCTCCTCCCCCCTCCCTCCTCCTCGCTCCTCCCTCCTCTCTCCTCCCTCCTCTCCTCTCCCTCCTACCCCTTTCCCTCCTCCCCCCACCAACAGTGGAGACAGTGAATGAGCTGTTCTGGCTGAGGGCCAAGATGTATCGCAACGTGTACGCGCATAAGACAGTCAAGGCCGTAGAGGCCATGATCCTCGAGGCCCTCACGCACGCCAACCACGTGTTTCGCTTCAGCGATATTGTGGAATCGAAAGATCTTGATAGATTCTGCCAGCTGGACGATACGATTCTGCGGGAGATTCTGAGATCTCGGGACCCTAGCCTGGCGAAATTGCAGGAGATTCTGAGGCAGCTGGAGCGGCGACAGCTGTATCAGGTAACTTCTGAGTCCCTGCACCATTCTGCACCGTTCTACACCGTTCTGCATTGCTCCGGACCATTCTGCACCTTTCTGCACCGTTTGGCACCGTCACCTTTTCTCAGCACTCACCTTCCTCCCTGTACGATGTCTGCTCCGTTCTTAACCCCTCATGTCCCCAGATCACTCCCCCACCTTTCCGCCATCTCCCCGCGATTCAGCCCTCCAGTACATGAACGAGTTTGTGGTGCCTGTAGATGCGCTGCACCACTTCAAAAAGCTCTCCTGCTCCTCTCTTATCCCCCGCTTCCTCCATCCTCTTCCCCACCCCCCTTCCCCCCCACCCTCTTCAGTGCATGAACGAGTTTGTTTGTGGTGCCGGTGGATGTGCTGCGCGGCAGCAATCTGGGCACTCACCGGCTCCTCACTTACCCCCCACTTCTCCAATCTCTCCCCTTTTCCGTCCCCCTCTCCTGGCAATACATGAACGAGTTTGTAGTGCCGGTGGATACGTTACGCTGCACCACCATTCCAAGCACTCACCTGCCACCCTGCACCCCCCCGCCCTCAACCCCCCAGAACCCCCCACAACCCACCCCAACCGCCCCCAACCCACCCTCTCTCCAGTACATGAACGAGTTTGTGGTACCAGTGGATGCGCTGCACCACTTAAAAAAGCTCTCCTGCTCCTCTCTTCTCCCCCACTTCCCTCATCCTCTTCCCCCCCAACCCCCCACAACCCCCCTCCCTCCTCCCCCCCCTCCACCCCCACCCTCTCTCCAGTACATGAACGAGTTCGTGGTCCCAGTGGACGCTCTTCACCACTTCAAGAAGCTCACCTCCTCCTCTCTTATCCCCCACTTCCCCCATCCTTTCCCTCCCCTCTCCCCGGCCCCCCTTCCCCGGGCAGTACATGAACGAGTTTTATGTGGTGCCGGTGGACGCTCTGCAGCACTTCAGGAAGCGCACCTGCCTCCTTTCACCCTGCCTGTTCTTGTTTTGACTGACCTCTCCCCTCGTCCCCTTTCCCCATTGGCAGTACATGAACGAGTTTGTGGTGCCGGTGGACGCTCTTCATCACTTCAAGAAGCTCACAGTGGATGAGCTGCTGCGGCATGTGAGTGTGTGAGGGAGGATGTGGGGGGAGTGTATATTGTGTGAGGCTGTAGCACAAGAGTGCAGGCGGTAGTATTTAGCAAGTGAGGCTGTGGTGCCTGTAGATGCGCTGCAGCACTTCAGGAAGCTCACAGTGGACGAGCTGCTGCGGCATGTGAGTGTGTCTTGGGCGTGATTGAGTGTGTGCCGTGCACTGTGTGCGTGTGAATGTGTGAACGTGTGATTGCAGATAGTAATAGGTGAGTGCGTTTGTGGTCCCTGTAGATGCGCTGCACCACTTCAAGAAGCTCACAGTGGACGAGCTGCTGCGGCATGTGAGTGTGGTTGGGGGCATGCGTGAGTGTTTGTCCCGGACACTGTGTGCGTGTAGGGAGTAATGGTTGTGGTGCCTGCATGTGCAATGGGCCAAGTGGGTGCCCTGCACCACTTCAGGACGAGCTGCTGCGGCATGTGAGTGTGTGGGTGTGTGGGGGCGAATGTGCACGTGAGAGTGAGAGTGCGCGGTCATATCAATGCTCCACACCAATTTAAGAGTGGGAACGGGTGGGTGTGTGCCTGCTCTGCACCAGCCCAAGTGGATATCTCTGCATCACGGTGGATACGCTTCAAGAATCTCAGCTCACAGTGGACGAGCTGCTGAGGCAAGTGAGTTTGTGAGGGAGGATGTGGTAGTGAGCATGGCAGGGCACGGGGTCATACCTGAGTGAGGGAGCATGGCGACCCAGTGATAGTAGCTAGCTGTTCGCCTTTCCATATATCCATGTACCCGTATGCTATGTGACAATACACACCATGTGAGTAGTGGGCAATTGATTGTAGCCAGCCATTAACCATACCATTTCCCAGTTCACCTGTGTTCCCTGGTGCGATGGCATGGCAGGGCACGGGGTCATACCTGAGGGAGCATGGCGACCAAGTGATAGTGGACAATATCAAGATTGACTATGGGCAGGACACAGACAACCCCCTCTACAAGTGAGTAAAAAATGAAACTTCGACAATTCATCGTGATGTAGTTCACCCTTTCTCATCCAATCACCTCTCTCTTTCTCCCTCATCTTCCTCCCGTTTGTTTTGTGTGTGCAAAAACCCATGGCGATACAACAACCATGTTGCTACAACGACCACGCGGGGTGTTGCTTCCTCACCTGCCGGACACATGTGATGCACCCATGTGTGCATCACGTCACATCACGTGTGTGGGGCATTTTTGTACTCCAGGGTCCGGTTCTTCGATGTGAGTCATTAGAGCTATGGTTTCAGACATGTCATGATGTCATGTCCACACATACATGCGTGACACCATGGCCACCCTGGTGTCACGCTGATGTTACACATCGCACGCACACGCACATGCACATCATGCTGATTTCGTCTCTGACATGCACACATCACACATACACATGTCCCACATGACTTTTGAGACGTCTCAAAAGTCTCGCATGCGCACATCCCACATACACATGTCCCACATGCTTGCATTGCACTGGCCCTTCCTTTCGCAGCACATGTGGACTCTTGAATTCCCATCATGTGCTCAGGTCACGTACACACCAAGCACTCCTGTCTACCATTCATGCCCATATTCTACTGCTATTCCTTCCTTGTTAATCTATTGTGCAACTGCAGACTCAGGAGCACAGGGACCTGAACGATCCTGCAAAGAAGCTGTCCAAGTTCCCCATCCCATGCCATCGCATGAGCACCATGATGCCTCAGAATTACAAGGACATGACCGTTCGAGTGTACATCAAGACACGCGATCAGCGCCTTGTAAGTTCAATTACTGTAGTGTCCTTTTTTCTCACATTGCACAACCCTACCCACTGTCGCTGTTCATGTATTGCAAGCTGGTTCTGTTTAATTTTCTTTTTTTTTTCTTCTTCTTGTTTTCCAGGAGGATGAGGTGAAGGAGGCGTTTGTCAACTACCAGATGAAGACATTTGGTCGCGAAGTCATGCGCACTCCAAGCCGTAAGAGAATGCGCAGACACCACGAAAATGGTGGAGGGATTACCAATGGGGGTGGAACTGTCACAGAGGAGTTCACGGGGGATGATGATGACGTGGTCTGTTCCCAAACTGCGAGGAAGCTGATGTGACATGGTGTTTCAGACCCTGATAATTGTCAAGCTTCGCCAGTTGTGTTTTCATGGGCATATCAAGTAGGAATCTGTTCTTTCATCTCCTGCGATAAACCATTTTCTCGTTTCATCTCAGGACGCAGTCTTCGGAACAACGCACGTCAACAGCGTGATAGCCGTAAGCTTTTCCCTGTATTCGCGAGATTATGGAACGTACTCACGCAAGCGTCAAGGACAAACTGGTTACAAGCAAAGCTTCACTCATTCTAGCAAAGCACTTATCGGTATGCTTTGATCTAGTTAGCCGTGTCAGCAGAAAATCAAGAATCTTGATGCACTTCCAAAAGGTGGCTATTGAATATCGTGTTAATCTGAATATTGAGCGTACAAAATTGTTCCACTCAAGCCGACCTTCTAAAAGGGCTGTACATGAAACTCAAAATATATTATCTTGCATTTAACGGGGGGACACGGTGATCTGGTCAGCGGACACAATCAGGTCACCCTTCCTGTACTCGGACCAGGCAGCCACGGGCCAGGTAGCACCACGGCCGAGCAGGCTCAGAGCGAGGGGAACATCGATGATGATCTCCTTCTCGGTGGGCTTGGCTCCCTCCTTGGTCTTGATCAGGTAAGAGCGGCCGACCCACCCGATCCAGCCAGCAATGTACAGGAAGACGATGCCGGGGGACACGAACTCGCCCGCGTGCCTGAAGTCACCATCGACGATCAGGTGGGGGAGACCGTCGGTGCCGCACAGCAGGCCGGACTTGCCGTAGAAAGAGAACCGGCGCTCGGTCCTCTCAATGGTGGCCTTGAGAGCCAGAGCGGGGGCGGAGCCGTCCTTGTAGAGCTTGAGGCGGTTCTTCAGCTTCTTGATGGAGTTCTTCTGGCGCTTAGCGAAGGCCTTGGAGTCCTTGCAGGGGGTAAGGCCAGCGACATCGGCGAGTGCGACCTCGGGAACGGCCAAGGCACCGGTGCTGACGACGGCAGCAAGAGCGAGGGCAGAGGCGATCTTGCCTGCCTGCTCGGTAACGTTCTCCTCCTTCTTCTCCGCGGAGCAGACGGTCTTGGCAGACACCTGCTTCACGAAGCAAGACGCCTTGGTGGTGGAGAAGGCAGCCTTGGAGGACAGGCTCTTGGGTGCGACAAGGGGAGCACCAAGACCAACAGCAGCCATGGTGACGGCGGCCATTTTTCCTCCGTAGTTTGGTTACTGGAAGAGGAAGTCTGGCTGCTGAGTCTGGTCTGGAAGGAGATCGCTGCTTGCAGAAACGAAAGCAAACCCCAGAGAGTCTAAAACTGGATGTGAGGTCTCGCTGCTGGAGGTACACCGCTTGGAGGGATTTTCCAGGAGTTCGGGGAAACCCAGCATCGAGCAGCACAAGAATCCCGACAGGTGGCGCCGTTCAATCAGAATTTCGCACACTGGGTCCGTCAACCAATCGGTGAGCTCCAACCCGATAAGGCAGACCGATTTTGTGACCTTCAGGGTATTCTGATCCACGTGGAATCGAATGAACGTTGGCGAAGAGTTCGTTATCAGCCCGCATCGTGGCATCTCGTCATAATCGGGGAAAAAAGCGTCGCCAAAATCTAAATCGCTCACCCAATCGCTGTAGTGCGGAAATCATAACATAAAACTCTACTCTCACATCTCTGCACTACATTAATATAAACAATACAGAACACTACATAATAGCACAATTCATCCCAAACATTCTCTCAATGGAACCAGTCATCATTTCGTGGATGCTACTCCATTTAGAGTACCGTATTGCTGATCAGCTAAAAGAAGCCTTCACATTCCATACACCAATTCACAGCACTGAATCAGTTGATTCATTATTGTCACATCACAAAAGGGTCTTTAGATTTATCAAGTGCATAATCATCTCACGAATCCAACCACATCCATAATCAGTTTGTTCCCCATTGAGCCCTCTTTACAAGAGAAGCTTTGCCCCAAACTAAGGCTCCCTAAATGAAGCTGCAGCTCAATCAGTACATAGGTGTACTCCCAAACCAGCAATCTCCCCATACCCCCTACAGTCCAGATCCATCCATCCATCCACGCCCAACGTACAAAATCCTTGTCGAATCAGCTGGTGTCTACAATTCAGACAGGCGAGTTGGTTCCCGCGTCGGTGGATAAAGCACATGCAAGAACGGCTGCTTGAAAATGCAAGCAACTACTCCACATGTTGCCACGGCTTGGTGCATGCATACTGATAAGTGACAGATGTGACTGTGAGTAGAAGCTTGAAAGCTTTGAAGCTAAGGGATGAATGCTGAGTGTCGGCACGGCAAGACTTAGGGGAGAGATCCCTGTAGAGCTGCTAGGTAGAAGTCCCTCTGTCCAGGTGCTACGGGTCTCTGTCAAGACGTGCAAGATCGTACACCTGCCGAATGTTGCCCGATGCTGCAGGCAGGCAGGACAACGGGAAGGGCAGGGGGATAAGGCAGGGTGACAAGGGTGACAAGGTGCGAGGGGTCTCTCTCTCTAACCAGCTGTTGCTAGGGGTCCCTGTCAAGGCGTGCGAGATCATAGACCTGCCGAATGTTGTCCGATGCTGCAGGCAGGCAGGGCACGTGGGGTGGGGAGAGGGGACAGAGGCAGGGTGACTTGGAATGCCACATCTATCTTTAGAAATGTTTCCAGATATGTGCGAACGGGGGGTGCGGGTTGGAGAGTGGTGGGGAGGGCTTTTGAGACGTCTCAAAGGTGGGATAGAGGCAGGGTGACTTGGAATGCTACATCTGTCTTTTGGAATGCTTTCAGATATGTGCAGACGGGGGGTGCGGGAGGTGCGGGGTGGAGGGTGGTGGGGAATGAGGAAAACGGTCAAGGAAAGCTGGCTCGATGATGTGAGTGTAGTGTGAATGAAGTGTGAGGGAAACTAAGAAAAACGGTACATAAATAGAATGGGAACAAGGCAGGATGGTGTGGTGTGAATGAAGTGCGTCTGGATGACGTTTGCAAGGCATTGCTAGGGAGGGAGGAGGCATTTTCAAAGGCGAGGCATAGTCACTAAGAAGAAGTCAAAAATCAAGGGGCAATATGCAGGAAAGAGGCACTGACTGAGCAGCCACTCCTTGAAGTGAGCCTGGATGACGTTCGTCAACTCCCTCTTCCGCCCCTCGTCCAGCACCGCTGTCTTGAGCGTTTGACGAAGACTCTCCACCGTCTTGGTCTGACAAGTACGGCACGGGAAAGAAGGGAAGGGGGAAGGTAAGGACATGGATCATTGATTGCTATTAGGCTAAGATTCCCCTGCTGTCTTGAGCGTCTGCCTTAGACTCTACACTGTCTTGGTCTGAAAAGCACAAGGGGAGGAGAAGTATGGGGGGGGAAGAAAGGCAGAACGTGAGGAGTAATGGAAGGTAAGTGACCTGGTTGATTTGAAACCCCCTCTCCGCCCCTTGTTTAGCACCGCCGTCTTGAGCGACTGCCTCAGACTCTCCACCATCTTCGTCTGAAAGGCACAAGGGGAGGAGACGGGAGGGGAGGTGGGGGGATAAGAGCAACACGAAGATTACAGCTGGGAAGGTGGCAAAACAAAGGGTCACGACTGTGAGCCACAGACAACAGGGCACACCTTGTGCTGCAGCGCAATGAGGTATGTCTTGGGCAGAGCAAATGGGTTGGCCCGCGTGGCCTGCTGCAGCAGCGGACTGGCGCCCCCTCCTCCCGGCTGCTCCTGCTGCGTCCGGAACGGAACCTGACGTGATGGAAGAAGGGACGAGAGGGTGTGAGAGCTTTCATTTTCAAATCGCTGAACAGAGAAGGAGGGGAAGGAGGGCGAGCAATTTGTTAACGAACACAGGAGGGGAATGACTCAGAAGACACCTTGAGCAATCAAGGGAAGCAGCTCACCAAAGTTAACCGAGACAAATTACGACTTACCAAAAATAGGCACAAAGACTCACCACAAACGGCACAAACTTCTCAGGAGGCATCAGAATCGCCGAGTCAAGACTTGTCAATAGAGGACAGGTCAGGACTTGTCAATCAAGACGTGACATGACATGACATGACATGACATGACATGACATGACATGACATGACATGACATGACATGACATGACATGACACTACACTCACCACAAACGGCACAAACTTCTCCGGAGGCATCAGAATCGCCGAATCAACCGCCGCCGCCGCCCCTCCCTCCTTCGCCCCCTCCGCCTCCCCTCCACCCGTCCCACCAGCAGCACCAGCAGCAGTGCCAGCACCGGCAGCACCAGCGGCAGCAGCAGCATCTAACGATCCCAGCGCTAGCGGCATATCCCATTTGTTGACAGCAGGATCCACCCCGACCTTTGCGAGGTGGTAATCGAGGCGGGGGTAGAAGGTGTTGTAAGGGGCGATCTGCAGGGAGTGGTTGTCGCCGAGAATGACGGGGCGGGAGTTGCAGCCGAGGTAGAACACGCACTCGCGGCAGTTGGCTATGCGGATGCGCGCACAGGGAGCGATGAGGGTCAGGCGTTCACAGGCTTCCACCCGCACCACCTGGGGGGAGGAGGGAATTGGGAAGTATTGTGTGGGGGGGGGGGTTGGGAGGAGGAAGCATGCTTGATTGGGGGCATGTATAGTGGTACTTTGAATAAGCCCCTTCTCTCTCTCGCTCTCCTTCAACCCTCGTCCACTTCACCCTCCAATCTCTTCCCTTCACCCCTCCTCTCTCAACCCTTCACCCCTCCACTCTCTACCCTTCACCCCTCCTCTCTCTACCCTTCACCCCTCCTTCCTTTACCATTCACCTTCCTCGCTCTTACCTTTCCCACGGCGCCCAGCATCACAATGGAATCGGAGCACAACACACCCATACGCTATCCATCCACATACTCATCCTTCCTTCATCTCACCTTGGCCACGTCCCACCGTTTTGACCCTATTCCCATTCTTCCCCCTCGCATCTCATCCTCTCTCCCTTTCACCTTGCCAACAGCGCCCAGCACCACAATGAAATCGGAGCAGCCAATGACACATACTTGCAGCACTTGCCCTTGCTGATGCAACAACCAACTGCCCCTACTCCCATCCTTTCCTCTCACCTTGCCAACAGCGCCCAGCACCACAATGGAGTCGGAGCAGCCAATAACGGAGGCGTACTTGAGCGGAGCGAGTACGTAGATCACACTGTCGTGACAGTGCGCCACCTGGAGAACACAGGGGAACGGGGAGGGGGTGGGGTGGGGACGAGGGAGAGAGACGCGTACTTTAAGGGTAATCAAGGGGATCGAGCAGGATCACTTGAGGGTGCGAGCACGTAGATCACACTGTCGTGACATGACAGTGCGCCACCTGGAGAACACAGGGGAAGGGAAGGGAGGGGGGTTGAGGGACGCGAGGGGAAGGCAGGGGGCGGAGGGGGGATGTAGTGGGTAATGATGGGGATGTAGTGGGTAATGATGGGGAGCGAGCACGTAAATCACACTGTCGTGACAGTGCGCCACCTGAGGGAGATGGGGGAAGAAGGGAGTGGGGTAAGAGAGGGGGGCCCGAGGAAGAAGGGGGAGGGGGGCGAGGGGGAGGAAGAGATATTGATATTGTGAGGGGGTAGGCATTAGAGCGTACTTGAGGGGAGCGAGCACGTAGATCACACTGTCGTGACAGTGCGCCACCTGAGAGAGATGGTTGGAGGGGGCGGGGAGGAGGGGAGCGACTTACTCGCACGCATCTGCTGTCCACCTCCGTCTCCCCCTTAAGCGTCTTCGCTCATAGTGGACAGCATCTTTTGAGGCGCCTCAAAACTGCTGTCCACCTCCGTCTCCCCCTTAAGCACTGACATCTTTGCAACCCCATCCACCCACAGGCACCACCTTTTGAGTCGACCAACAGATAAATCCTGACAATTCTTCAAGGACAAAGATTCAGAGAAGGGTCTTACCCGCACGCATCTGCTGTCCACCTCCGTCTCCCCCTTGAGCACCGACATCTTCGCAACCCCATCCACAGGCATCGTTACATTTCTCCAAGAGAAAAGATTCAGAGGGGAATGACTCAAAGGAGTCGGATTGGGGGAGGGGGGGAGAGGAAAGGGGGGGGGGGAACTTACCCGCACGCAGCTACTATCCACCTCCGTCTCCCCCTTGAGAACCGACATCTTTGCAACCCCATCAACGGTCGTCATCCCTGCCGCCGCCCACACACGCCGCGACAGCACGCCACCTGTCATCGCCCCATTGGCCGCGGCCCCTCTAGGCGATACCTGAACCTCCCCCCCTGCGCCTGCCCCGCTTCCCCCCGCTGCTCCCCCTTCCCCCATGGGTGTATCTCCGCTTTTGGTGGGGGACGCGGCGGAATCGCCGCCCCTATCCGCGGGGACCTTGGCGGGGCGGGAGGGGGACTGCGGCCTTAGGTCCGGGCCGTGGTCGGACGTGCAGCAGAGCCTCGGGCCGAGCCAGTCTTGAGCCACGGAGAGAGGTACGGGCGCGGGAGGCATGGCAGCGTCAGCTTCGGCAAAGAAGGGAGCGACTTGGGAGAGGAGGAGGGAGGGGACTCCGGGTCGGTTAACCCGAAGAAAGAGACCGAGCAGTTCAAACTTGTCAATGGAAATGACCTGTGAGGGGAGGAAGACGAAGAGGGATGGACGAACGGAAGGGGATTGGATAGGATGGGAGGGAGGAAAAGGGAGGAGACTACGGGTCGGTTGACCCGAAGAAAGAGACCGAGCAGTTCAAACTTGTCAATGGAAATGACCTGAAATGGAAGGAGAGGGCGGGGGGTGGCGACAGAAGAACGGGGGAGGGAGGTTCGGGGACATACAGGGGAGAATGGGAGGTGGAAAGAGGTCAGGGAAAGCCTGGGAGGAAAAGATGGGACGAAGGAAAGCGATAGGCTTGGAGGAAGGGAAGAATAGGACGGGAGAAAGGGACGAAGAGGAGGAAAGGGAGGGATGGGATGGGATGGGACAGAGGGGAAGGAGAGAACGGGAGGGATGGGTTGGGACGACGAGGGAGGGTGGAGAGGAAGAGAGGGGTAGAGTGGAGAGCCGCACTAATAAGCGGTGACACTAGGGGAAGCGGCGGCGTGTAGGGGAAGGGGCTTGGGGGCACGGGGGAGAGAATGAAAGGGTGAGCGCCCATCTACTCACTCACCTGTGTGCCTGCCAACGGTTTAAAGCTCACCTGTGTGCCTGCCAACGGTTTAAAGCTCACCTGTGTGCCTGCCAACGGTTTAAAGCTCACCTGTGTGCCTGCCAACGGTTTAAAGCTCACCTGTGCGCCTGCCAACGGTTTAAAGCTCACCTGTGCGCCTGCCAACGGTTTAAAGCTCACCTGTGTGCCTGCCAACGGTTTAAAGCTCACCTGTGTGCCAGGTTCCGTGCCGTCGCCACTACCACCAGCAGCGTCAGAGCCGTGTTCCGCCAACAGCTGTAACGCGGCTGGAAGGTTCTACGACATGGCTAGGACCTGGCTGACACTGCTGCTACAAAATGTAAAAAAAGCGCTCACACACTCACCTGTGTGCCGGGTTCCGTGCCGTCGCCACTACCACCAGCAGCGTCAGAGCCATGTTCCGCCAGCAGCTGAAGAATGGCTGGAAGGTTCTTCTGCAGAAACGTCAGCTGCTGCTGCTCCTCCTCCGCATGCCCCGTTTGGAACCGCTGCCGGGTGGCCAGGCTTGTCTTTATCTGTCAGCGCAATGATGACGGGTTCACGCGGAAAAAAAGGGGGAGGCGAGTCAGACGTGCAGTGGAAACGAAAATATGCGTGACAGGTTGGAACAAAGTGACACGTCGTCGAGTGAGACAATGCAATCTCAAAAGTTAACCTGATATGCCGGAACTAGCAACCCTAAAGCGATGGGCGGAGTGGAGCTATGCAGAGGCCGAAACCGCATCGAACGGCGAGGAGCCACAGTGGCATCGCGTGACGAGCGCTTTTAATTGAAAAAAAAAAAAAAAAGATGTTTCGCCAAGACGATTCTTTCCATCTAAAATGCCTCGTAAGAGTCTTTGTAAAAAATTTCCCCTCGGGCCGCAGGTTGAGCTCGGAGAGACAAAATCTAACGGCGACGACGAACCTGTGGCCAGACACCCGCGGGGACAGCAGCATTTTTCGCCTCAATCGAACGTGGAATTTTGCTGACTCGCTTATCAGACACCGGCGCACACAGAAGCATTTCGACGACGGCTCGGTGACAAGAATGTCCGAGGAAAATTCCCCTCTTATTGAAAGTGGGATTTTTACCTACTCATCAGACATCGGCGCGCACAGCAACATTGCGGCGACGACCCCTCGACAATAAGGATAGACACGGATTTTCTCCCCTCTGTTGAACGTTTTCTTTTTCCGACTCACTTATCGGACACCAGTGCGTACAGCAGTATGGTGGCAGCTGCCCTTTTCTTTCTATCAAACGCTAATCAAAGGACCCAGAACGTTACCTGGAGGGAGGAAGTCGCGTGGGAGAGACAGAGTCGAACGGCGACGGTCCCTGCGGCCACACGTCCGCCAGCACAGCAGCGTCGCGGCAACGGCTCTTCGGTAACGCGGATCGCTCTGAATGTCTCTCCTCTCCTCTATCCAGCAGGTAAGCAACGAAAATCCTTGTATTTGTTTCCCCCCGTCAAACACTAGGTGGCGGGGGTCCCTATGACCGCTGCCCCTCTATCAAACGCTACTCGAATGACCCGCACCGGGAGCGAACGTTACGTTACCTGGAGCGCAGAGGTCGCGGTAGGGGAGACCGAGTCGAACGGCGACGGCCCCTGCGGCCACACATCCGCGAGCACAGCAGCGTCGCGCGACGAGCGGTTGGGAACGCGGCGATACCGCTGCAGGAAGAGGAAGAGCAGCAAGAGGTCCACGTCCGTTCCGATCTTCGCCGCATCTGACGGCGACGCGTCGGACAGCGAGTCGATGTCTTCGCTGCCGGTGGGGAGAACGGACGCTAGCGTGTCTAGAACGAGCCGCGCTTGGTCTTTGGAAAGCTTGAGGCACGATTCTATCGCCTCGCATGTGACACGTGGCTCTTGCGAGCCGTCGCGAGTCGGGGAGGTGGTCGAGGCGCCTTCGGAGTTTAAAGACGCTTCGATGAGGCGCTGACGGAGGAGCTTTAGGGTTTCGGTGGACGCTTCCTTGTACGATGCGATCGCGGGGATAGGCAGGAGGCCGAAATCGAACGGTTCTCGTCGCACGTGCAGCCACGGGTTCCCCGGTGCGCGCTCTGATGCCTCCGCCATGGTTCCCCTCCCCAACTCTGCAGTAGGAGGAAATGCGGGATGAAATGTGTTGTTGGTAAATATGTGTACGGAAAATGACACGCTACGGTTTCGGGTTTCGGTTCAACGACCGGGATTGGATCTCAATGTTCGACCTGAAATGGCTAAAACACGGACACTTAGTATAATGTATCTAGGAAATGGCTCAGACGGAGCAGGACTAAGGGAACCCGAGACGAGGAGACTCACAATGTAGAAGAAGGAAAATAGAGTGCTAAGGGCTACTTGACGTTCTTCATGGCTAAGGTAAACATGTCCGGGAGAAGACGGTCGTTAGTGGGTGAGAGTAATTATAATTTTAGGGTATGGCGGTTCAGGCTAAATCAAATGCCAACATACAAATGCGGTGCTTATACTGTAATGCGGTATGATATGACGGCCCTATTCTGCACGACACAAACGCCGTTTGACTAGCTCCTAATCGGACCACGAGCCGAGGTCTAATTAGGTACGGAGCAACAGATCCGCCAAAATTAGGAGAAATAGGCTCGTTCCGCCATAAGTAGTTAGGGAAATGCAAGCGGAAGAAGATAGAATAGTGGAAGGTGCGCGGCAAATCACACCAACCGCGCGCGGAAGCAGGTACGGAAAGAAACGCAACGGGCTCTCCCGCAGGAGGGCGGGGCATTTGCGGAAAAGCGCGGGCTTGCAGCAACCCAGAGCGCCAACCTAGAAAATTGCCGCCGTGCAGGGATGCCCCAGGCTGCGGGTGAGATTTGGTCTTTCCGCCGCGCTAGGGTAAAGGGGGCTGCACTGTGAGTCCTGGGTGTGTGGTGGGGTGAAGTTGGGTGGCCTCCGCTCGGAAGATCGGTGGCCACGTCACGGACAGGCGAAAAGATCTAGGCTTCAATAATGCGGTTATTTTTGCAATTCGTGCAATGAACTACATGTTCAAAACATATTCGCTTCCTAAAACTAAGAAACTCCTAGAGCCTTTGTCTGATACGGTACGGATCATGTGTTGAGCTCAGCGGTAGTAAGATCCCATGAAGAACAAACTGACGCTTGTAAACAAAGTGATAAAAGTTTCCTGCAAGCACCGACATAATCACAATCAATACATGCAAAATCAGCAACAAGTCCCTCACTCACAGGTAACCTGTTTTTGTTGATTAGCAATGAAGTCAAAACGAGGAAGTACGGTACCATCACAGTTTTCAAGACTCACCTGAAAGGTGTAAAGCGCTCGTGGAACATACATCCCAGCGAGGGAATAGGCCTTGATTACGAGCGTGTGAACCTGAAAAGACGAAAGCAAACGTGTGTGTCCCAGTGAGACCATGCAAAAGCTTCAGCCAAAATGCCATTGGATGGGGAACATCACTGAGCGGGAAAATTAAACGGATAGTATAAACAGACATTGGTCCCATTCATACCAAAGAGGCAAGAGCAATGACACCGAAAACGAGGCCCATCGCACGTGTCAGTCGTCGCCCGTTCCTCTGCCATCTCTTCTCCCCCTCCTCCTGCAGCAACAGTTGAGAATCACAAGAGATAATGTGCAACAGAAGGGACGCAGGGAGCATCAGAGTAAAGTTTTGGGCTTAACGGCTGGGAAGTAAAGGATGAACTTTGAACCAGTATGGTATGCTTCAAATTGGGGGTGTAGAAAGGTAATCGCGTACTGTGGCTCGCAGGTGAACTACTTTTGAAGCGTCTCAAACGTGTAGGGGGGTTCAAACTTCAAATCAGGGTGTAAAAGAGTATTCGCATACAGTGTTTTGCGGGTAGAAGGGGTCGAGTTTCATGAAGAGCTGGAAGATGTAGAAGGAGAGGAGGAACTGCAGGATCTTCCAATCCGTGCTCTGCGCCCCCACCATCCACACCGCCTGGAGACAAGTGATGGGGGGAAGAAGGGAGAACCAAGAGTGGGGTGGGGTGGGGTAGGGTGGGGTGGGGGGGAAGGGGGTGGTCCTTCACCATTTCAACTGCAGGATCTTCCAATCCGTGCTCTGCGCCCCCACCATCCACACCGCCTGCAGGGAGAGACGGAGAGGCGAGGTTAGGAAGCAAGGGAGGATGTGGGTGGAGCTTCATGAAGAGCTGGAAGATGTAGAAGGAGAGGAGGAACTGCTGGATCTTCCAGTCCGTGCTCTGTGTTGATGAGGATGCTCTTGCTGTCCGCCTTCTCATAGTGCAGCAGCCACGGGAGAAAGTTGGTCTGGTCGGAAAACTTGATGTTTTTTGACACCTTTGAGCGGCCCGATATTGCCATGTATGGTGTCACAGTGTTACAGTGTTACCATACCATGACAGCAGAGACAGCAGCATTGATGAGGATGCTCTTGCTGTCCGCCTTCTCGTAGCGCGGCAGCCACGAAAGGAAGCTTTAGTCCGCAAACTTGATGTCCTTTGAGACCTTTGAGGGAGCCAAACCTGCCACCGTGTTCCTACCATTTCTATGGTGTTACAGCATTACCATAACAGCAGAGACAGCAGCGTTGATGAGGATGCTCTTGTTCTCCGCCTTCTCGTAGCGCGGCAGCCACGGAAGGAAGTTTGTCTGGTCGGCAAACTTGATGTCTTTCGAGACCTCGAGGGAACCGAATGTGACGCCCTTCTTGCGCATGGTGAGCTGGCGCATCATTATTGCGTCATATGCCCTGTCGATCTGCGGCAGGTATCAAGGGGAAGGGAATGAGGGCAACTTCAGAGTCTTAGGAGTTGGGGCACGCCCTGCTTGCGCATGGTGAGCTGTCCTTGCACATCATTATCGCGTCATATGCCCTGTCGATCTGCATACACAAAAGGGGTGTCGGGCGCGGGGGAGTGGTGGGGGAAGTGGTGAGGGGAGTGATGGGGGGATCGAGCGCCCCCTCCCCCCCTCACCCGCTCTATTTCCGCCTCGTCCCCAATTCCCTCCGCGCCCTGCAGATTCTCCTGTGCCATTCTAAGTCACCATCACCGCACCCCCTCCCTCCTCCCTCCGTCCTTTCCCCCAACACCCCTCCCTCCTTCCCCTCACTTCATTTTTCCGCATCCTCTCTAACTCAGCGCAGTCCCTTTCCCTACCCCCTCCCCTCTTTCTCCGCGTCCCCATTCCCCTCCGCGCCCTGCAGCTTCTCTTATGCCATTCCGAGGCATCACTGCCCCCACTCCCCCCTTCCTCCGCCCTCCCTTTTTCCGCATCTTCTCTAACTCAGCGCAGTCCCTTTCCCTACCCCCTGTCCTCTTTCTCCAACCCCTCTCGCTCCCGCTCCCTGCCCCGCCTTCAAGCATTCCCCCAACCCCAACCACCCCCGCTCACCCGCTCCATCTCCGCCTCGTCCCCCTTGCCCTCTGCGTCCCGCACCTTCTTCCTCTGCGCCACTTTGATGCTTCACCAATCACTCCTCTCATTCCCCTATCCCCCGTACCCCACACCCCCCTACCCCTCCCCCTCCTTCCCCCGCTCGCCCGCTCTATCTCCGCCTCGTCCCCCTTGCCCCCCGCGTCCCGCAGCTGCTTCCGGTGCGCCATTCTGAGGCCTCACAATCCCCACCCCGTCCCCGTATTGCCCAAACCTCTCTCCCCACCCCTCCCCCCTCCCCCCCCCCCCCCCCCCCCCCCCCGCTCACCCGCTCTATCTCCGCCTCGTCCCCCTTGCCCTCCGCGTCCCGCAGCTTCTTCCTCTGCGCCACCTTGATGCTTCACCAGACCTCCCCGTCCCTCCTATCACCCATCCCTCCCCCATGCTCACCCGCTCTATCTCCGCCTCGTCCCCCTTGCCCTCCGCGTCCCGCAGCTTCTTCCTGTGCGCCATCTTGATGGCATCGAATGAGTCCAGGGGACGCACGCCCAGCACCTGGTAGGGGTCTTCCGCGGGCTGCGCGCCTGGCGAAGCCGCGTTGCACGTAATTCGCAGGCGGTTAGAGCCGCTGCAGTGGCGGGAACCGGTAGAGAGGGATCGAGAAGGCGAAAGAAGATGGAAAGGCGAAAGAAGAGGGGAAAGAAATATGCAGTTACGCCACCGTTAAGCCAAGTCGCAACCCCTGCATTGCACGAAAGACGCCTTAAGACGTCGAGGTTCAGATTATTGAGTTTTGAGACGTCTTAAAATGCGGGACTGATTACATGGCATGATAACCGTCTGGCGACGGCGACTTGCCACCGAAGACCCCGTCAAAGTGAAACATTGCGTCTTGACGCATTCGTTCGAACACCCCGTTATTCACGTATAGTTTCAGAAATATTTTCGCGATTCAATGTGAAATACCCGCGCTGTCGACGTTTATGGGTTGCCACGTGGTTGATGCTCACCTTACAGACGACCGGCTTCTGCATTGAAGCGGAACAATTCTCAGCGAGAACAACGAACGGTTTGTCACTGACGACAGTCGACTCGACGTAGTCGCACAGTTTGTCGCTGCTATCGCTGTCCTGATCGCATGCGACGTCGCCGCGGAGGCCATTGATCTAATCGCTCAAACGCGTGCGATCACAAGAGTATCGGAACTTCGTTTCGCGATCGAACGAGTCGCGCTTGAGGCTGACAGTACTAGACACAATGGCTTTGGACCTAGTCGAGTAGTCTAGGAACCACAAGGCTGATAGCGTAATCACTCACACCACACCACCCTCTCAGCTCGACGAAAAAAGACAAGCAGCAACAAACAAGCGTTGGCAGGATTGCTGGTTCCGCTTGTAGTGCTTGAGAGGGACCTTGGGATTGGGCGAAAGGGGATAAACCTCGTCCAAATTCCTACACAGCATGTTTTACAGCGTAACGAAACAGTGACGTTTGCGTCTTCCTATCATTTGACAACTAGCGTTAACGAAACTCTCACTATCAGAGATGCTCATCCTCTACAGTCCCCCCATTCGTGCTTTCCCACATCTCCCCCATAGGCTTTCTCTTTTCCCCAGGCTCGTCATTTGTTCCTCGCTGTTCCGCACAATCCGCTAGCTTCACCGCTTCGTCGCTTGTTACTGCATGATACATCCAGCTTCTAGTTAATAACGATTAAAACCGGGGTCTCAAGTTTCCCGAAGTTGCCTCATCCTTCCTACCTTTGGTTGGGTTACAAGGTCCAACCAAGCTTCCTACCTTTGGTTTTGGCACAAAGTCCAACCAACCTTCCTACCTTTGAAACCTGTGGACCCTGGGTTTTAACGGGCATTTCGTTCTACCTCTGAGCCTGCTAAATTCTTGAGCTCTTTTATTTTCGTACGCTGCCTCTCCACCTCAGGGGTCCGTCTTGTGGTGGTACGAGCAGTTTTGTGACGTTCATACCAGATCACACCAGAAACAAATCAGTTCCATATCTCGTGTTGCTGTTTGCTGCTGCTGAGTTATGGTGGTTCACACGACGCACCGTGCGGATAGACCGGACCCGGATCCTGCGCTTCCCAGCTCGTCATCCGTGACAATACCGGAATCGGACTGTAACGAATCCGTCAAGAGACCCGCTATAGCAGGAGCGCGTCGCCTTCTTCAGAGACGGCTCCGGATCGGCATAACGGACGGCCGAGTGTTTGTAGGCCGGTTCAATTGCCTGGACAAGGAAGGGAATGTTATCCTTCACGACACTGTCGAGTTTCGTCGCGCGTCTGCCGCCGCTGATCCCGCAGATTCCCGCAGGAACGAGTCGCTGGAAGAGAGAATGGCGCGTGCCACGTCAGCGGATCCGAATCCGCTGGTTGAGCAGCGGCGGCTGGGGCTGGTGCTGATTATGGCTAAGGATCGGGTGTGGTGTGACGTGGAATGTGGACTAGAGGAGAAGCTGGAAGGCATAAGCCTTAGTTGAGTTGCTAAGTCTGCGTTCATCTTTCGTGACAGGCTACCCGACACAAGGTCCTTGACAATCTAGGATATGTAACCCATCAGCAAGGCTGCTGCTGAGTGCTGACGTGACAAGATCCCAGAATTGCAGACTGAAACACAGGATGTATGGAAGTATAGCCACTAGCAGTACTCTGAAATGAGCTGTAGGTTGTCTGTGCCTCTCACTCAACAATATTACTGTTCTTGCAGGGCATTGACAAGGCAACTCTCTCTCACGGCCTACTGGGGTGCGTGCATTGAAGTAAAACTCAAACAGAAGCACCTAACTCCGCCATCTAAACGTGGTATGCGTATGCCTTTCATCACCTGTCAAGCAGGTAGGGTACCCTGCTGAATGGACTTTTGAATAGCCCACCACGTCTGTGTGCTTGCTAAACAAGGAATCAAGTTGCAGGGCGGGCACAGGCTGACACCATATACAAAGCTCTCTTTCATGGCAAGGAGTGGACCTCCACAAAAAAAAACCACACTCGCAAAAGGATCCCGCCAACCGGATTCGAACCAGTGACCTAAGGATTGCTCATCTACAGTCCTCCGCTCTACCAACTGAGCTATAGCAGGATGTCTGTGCGACGCATGAAAACTATTTACCATATGTTACACGGGCCCTTTCTCTGCAGACCAAAATTTCCTGTATTTATGGCGTCAAAATGGCGCCTTGCGTCGTTCTTGTCTCTCGCCGTGTGGTGCGCGCATCTTCAACCGCACGGAGCGGCCTCTGATGCCCTGCTGGACGGATGGGAACCCCTCGGTCCTGAACCCAAGGACCAGCCCACTCTAGCTCTATATCGCGTACGCGCCTCCGTCGTTCCCATCCACCCGCCCGTTAGCGTGACTGTCCAATTTTCGAACTGCTCATTTCCACCGTTTCTCACAACTCGCCCTGCCCTTCCCTCTCCCGCCGCCGACCCCGCGCTCCCGCATCCCGTCCCCCTGCAGGCGTGAAAGAGCGCATATGGCCTGCAGGGGGGCTGACTATTGAGTCGACTCAAAAAGTCAACTCGCCCCCGCGCTCCCCCATCCCTTCCCCACGCGCTGCCCCATGCCGTCCCCCTGCAGGGGTGGGAGAGCGCCTATGGCCTGCAGCGGGGCTCCCTCCTTCCGCCGTCCCCGCTCCCCCTTCCTCCCGACCTTCCCCCTCCCACCCATCTCGCTGACTGCGCCGCGCGTACTCTTGCGCGAGAGGCGGCGGAAGGGGGACCGTGGCGAGGCACGGGTGGGGGAGGAGGAGGAGGGGAGGGGATCCGCTGGCAGGACACGTGGCAGCAGCAGACTGGTGGTCAAGAGGAAAGGGCATCCGAATGCTGCGATTGGTTGCCGCCGCGAACTCCTTGGGTATGTTCAAACTCCTCAGGTTCCTTAGGAAAATATTTAGAAGGTTTATTTGTAACTCCGAGTGCTGTGATTAGTAAATCGGTACTACTATGTAGCTTAAACAAGTAAAGGTTGATTTGAAGCAACCCCTTTTCCTTCCAAACTCTCTCCCCTTCACCCCCTGCTCCCCTACTCCTCCCCTACTCCTCCCCTACTCCTCCCCTACTCCTCCCCTACTCCTCCCCTACTCCTCCCCTACTCCTCCCCTACTCCTCCCCTACTCCTCCCCTACTCCTCCCCTACTCCTCCCCTACTCCTCCCCTACTCCTCCCCTACTCCTCCCCTACTCCTCCCCTACTCCTCCCCTACTCCTCCCCTACTCCTCCCCTACTCCTCCCCTACTCCTCCCCTACTCCTCCCCTACTCCTCCCCTACTCCTCCCCTACTCCTCCCCTACTCCTCCCCTACTCCTCCCCTACTCCTCCCCTACTCCTCCCCTACTCCTCCCCTACTCCTCCCCTACTCCTCCCCTACTCCTCCCCTACTCCTCCCCTACTCCTCCCCTACTCCTCCCCTACTCCTCCCCTACTCCTCCCCTACTCCTCCCCTACTCCTCCCCTACTCCTCCCCTACTCCTCCCCTACTCCTCCCCTACTCCTCCCCTACTCCTCCCCTACTCCTCCCCTACTCCTCCCCTACTCCTCCCCTACTCCTCCCCTACTCCTCCCCTACTCCTCCCCTACTCCTCCCCTACTCCTCCCCTACTCCTCCCCTACTCCTCCCCTACTCCTCCCCTACTCCTCCCCTACTCCTCCCCTACTCCTCCCCTACTCCTCCCCTACTCCTCCCCTACTCCTCCCCTACTCCTCCCCTACTCCTCCCCTACTCCTCCCCTACTCCTCCCCTACTCCTCCCCTACTCCTCCCCTACTCCTCCCCTACTCCTCCCCTACTCCTCCCCTACTCCTCCCCTACTCCTCCCCTACTCCTCCCCTACTCCTCCCCTACTCCTCCCCTACTCCTCCCCTACTCCTCCCCTACTCCTCCCCTACTCCTCCCCTACTCCTCCCCTACTCCTCCCCTACTCCTCCCCTACTCCTCCCCTACTCCTCCCCTACTCCTCCCCTACTCCTCCCCTACTCCTCCCCTACTCCTCCCCTACTCCTCCCCTACTCCTCCCCTACTCCTCCCCTACTCCTCCCCTACTCCTCCCCTACTCCTCCCCTACTCCTCCCCTACTCCTCCCCTACTCCTCCCCTACTCCTCCCCTACTCCTCCCCTACTCCTCCCCTACTCCTCCCCTACTCCTCCCCTACTCCTCCCCTACTCCTCCCCTACTCCTCCCCTACTCCTCCCCTACTCCTCCCCTACTCCTCCCCTACTCCTCCCCTACTCCTCCCCTACTCCTCCCCTACTCCTCCCCTACTCCTCCCCTACTCCTCCCCTACTCCTCCCCTACTCCTCCCCTACTCCTCCCCTACTCCTCCCCTACTCCTCCCCTACTCCTCCCCTACTCCTCCCCTACTCCTCCCCTACTCCTCCCCTACTCTATTCCCCCTTTCCCAGCTTCCCCTTCCCTTCGCTTGCTCCCCCTCCCCCCTGTAACCTTCCCCCCTCTCCTCCCCCTCCTCGTCCCTCCACATCCATTCCTCAGCACACAATCTCGTCAACACCTGCTCCCTTTCCCCCAATTCCCCTTTCCCCAACTCCCCTTCATCCCCAACTTCCTTTCCCTCCAACTTTCTTTCCCCCAACTCCCCTTCCCCCAATCCCCCTTCCCCCGACTCCCCTTCGCCAAAATTCCCATCCCAGGTGCTAGGCACGGTTGCAGCCAATCTCGCGCTGACACGTGTCGCACAACGGGACATCTGGGCTCACCAGATGCTGACGTCATCAGCAACAGGGGCAGGAGGAGAAACGTGTGAGGGGAGGCGGTTGCTGGTGGTTTCGTGGATGCCCACCGACCGCCACGTCAGCGCGGACCCATTCCACGTCATCGCGAGTCAGATCCACGTCATGGCGGATTTCCTGGGCCTGGCGATGCAGCACAACCGCACGCTGGTCGCCCTGCCTGGTTCCTACGGGCCCGCTCTCAATAGTGATTGCAGAGGTGGGTGATTGTAGGAGTGAATGAGGGTGGGTGTTCCAATGCATGCAGCACAACCGCACGCTGGTCGCCCTGCCTGGCAGCTATGGCCCCGCTCTCAACAGTGATTGTAGAGGTGGGTGATTCTGGTGGTGGGTGGTTTTAGCGATTGTGGGGTCTGCACCAATGCAGCGCAACCGCACGCTGGTCGCCCTTCCTGGCAGCTATACTCAACAGTGATTGCGGGGGTGCGTGGTGGTATAGTAGTATAGCCTATACAGGGGGGATGGGTGCGCCAATGCAGCACAACCGCACGCTGGTCGCCCTGCCTGGCATCTATAGGCCCGAGTGTGCCTCTGTGCTTCTCTGTGCGCGCCGTATGTGTGTGTCATCACCAACATGCAGAGCTGGACCAAACGGGCGAGTGGGGCTGCTTCTTCTTCCCCTTCGCCCACCTCGCTTGCTCCTCTCACTCACCCTGCCTGCTCCTCCCTGTGTGTGCCCCTGTATGCGTTTCTCATGCAGAGCTGAACCAAACGGGCGAGTGGACCTGCTTCTTCTTCCCCCTCACCCACCCCGCCTGCTCCTCCCTCGTCTCCCACCTACAAGCCAACAATCACATGCCCACCTGCCTCTCCTTACACTCACAGTCCTCATTACTGTCACAGTCGCAGATATTGTCACAGCTGCAGCAGCACCTGGCGTCCCCTCAGGAGGTTGTATGCATCGATTCTACCTTTCCAACAGAACCCATGGCTGCTAGTGCACCAGTGCGTGGCAGTTCCCCGGTTGCTGCTGAAACGGCTCCTGCTGCTGCCTCCTCCGCAGCACCAGCACCGGCAGCAGCAGGATCAGAATCATCAGCGTCGGCAGTCTCAGACGCAGCAGCAGCAGCAGCAGCAGCTGCAGCTGCAGCGGCAGCACGGGCAGCAGCAGCATCAGCAGAGGCAGCAGGGGCAGCAGCGTCACTGGCATCAACCATCCAAGCAGCAGCGGCAGCTGTTGTGGGGCGGTGGGGCCATCCCCATAAGGAGCGACCCGTTATGGTGGATAGGCAGGGCGAACTGTACACCATGTCAGCGGAAAGAGCTCAGGTACAATGGATTCCGGATGATGATGGTCAGAATCATCTTCCATAAGAAGTAAATGGGACCTTCAATATTTTCTCAAATGAAAATCCTAGAGGTTGGCTAAGGAGAAACCTCACCCTCTCCCACCTCCCCCTCCCTCCTCCCTGCAGCTCCACTGGTGGAGATCCCAAGCCGTCCGCTTCCTCCTCCGCTGGCCCTCCCTGCACCTCTGCCACGTCATCAACCGCGAGCGCCACGTCAGCACCGGGCTCCACGTGGCTGCCAGCCTGGCACCCGCCATCGCCGCCCAAGCCTCTCTCCTCCACTCCCTCTCGTCTGGTACTGTTCCCGGCACCACCGCTGCTACCAATACAACGTTTGCGATTCGGTATTCCAAGAATTTACCGAATACAACAGAAGAGGCGGCTGTTTTGACTGAGGCTGGGAAGGCTAGTGCACAGGCGCATGTGCTTTCAACGCGTATTGCTTCCTCCTTTGCTGCTGCTTCCGCTTCTGCTTCCTCTTCCTCCTCTTCTTCTTCCTCTTCCTCCTCTTCTTCCAATTCCTCCTCCTCTTCCTCTCCTGCCTTCTCCTCTCTCCTCCACTCCCCCAACTCCTCCCTACTGGAAACCCATGTGTGGGTGGGGAGGAATGGGCCGAGGCGAGTGAGTGTGCGTGCGGGGGGGAGAGTGAGGACTGAAGGAAAGGGAGGGAGTGAGGGAGCGAGTGAGGGAGCGAGTGGGGGAGAGAGTGAGGGAGGTGGCAGCAGCACCAGCACCATGGGAAGGCTGTGTGGGGCCACAATGATGGCTAACACAACAGTGGATGAGCTTATAGCGAGTACAGGACGGGGTGAGCTGTTGACTCTAGACGCGGTGACTATAGCGCTGGGCAGGGAACCCTACCTGCCTCGTCCAATAGCAGCTGTACACGTCATCAGGGGGGATGAGGCAAGGACTGGAGGGGCAGGAGAAAGGGCAGGAGAAATGGCAGGAGAAACGGCAGGAGAAACAGCAGGGCAGTCGGGAGATCAAGTGACGGCAGCAGTATCGCAAGCACTGCAGCGGCTGCAGTGGCTGAATCTCGACCTCAGGAGAGTGTGGCTATCTGGGGATGCTCGTGAAACGGTGAGTAAACTATTCTTGTAGCTGGCACGTAGCAGTCTCACACTGCAGCGGCTGCAGTGGCTGAATCCCGACCTCAGGAGAGTGTGGCTGGCTGGGGATGCACGTGGAACGGCGGTAAGTAAACTATTCTTGTAGCTGGCACATAGCAGTCTCACAGGCAGTGCAGTGGCTGCAGTGGCTGAATCCCGACCTCAGGAGAGTGTGGCTATCTGGAGATGGTGGTGGTGAAACGGTGAGTGATTGAGTAGTTCTACTCAAAAGACACCTATTTGTCTTGCACGGACTGCAGCGGCTGCAGTGGCTGAATCCTGACCTCAGAAGAGTGTGGCTGTCTGGGGATGCACGTGGAACGGCGGTAAGTAAACTATTCTTGTAGCTGGCACATAGCAGTCTCACAGGCAGTGCAGTGGCTGCAGTGGCTGAATCCCGACCTCAGGAGAGTGTGGCTATCTGGAGATGGTGGTGGTGAAACGGTGAGTGATTGAGTAGTTCTACTCAAAAGACACCTATTTGTCTTGCACGGACTGCAGCGGCTGCAGTGGCTGAATCCTGACCTCAGAAGAGTGTGGCTGTCTGGGGATGCACGTGGAACGGCGGTAAGTAAACTATTCTTGTAGCTGGCACGTAGCAGTCTTGCAGGCAGTGCAGCGGCTGCAACCCTGACTTGAGAAGAGTGTGGCTGGCTGGGGATGCACATCAAGTGGTGGTGAGTGTATTGTTCTTGTTGATGAAGGAGACGTTTGTGCTGATATTTTATGTCGCATATACCATCCCCTATCTGCTCCCATCCCTTACTCTTCCCCCTCCATTCACTCCCCTCCCTTTCTCAGCCCTTCCAGCAGCATCTGGAGGAGCGTGACTGGGCCCTCTTGTACTCGACCCTCACCCGATCCCCACACGCACCGCTGCCTGCTGCTGATGCTGTAGCCAATGCAGCAAGAACAGGAAGAGTAGGGGGAGAAGAAGGAGATGGATTGGGTAATCTGTCCTCCTCAGCAGCAGCAGCAGCTGAGGCAATGCCAGGAGCAGATGTTATTTTTGCTGACCTGCTGACATCATCCCTTGCAGATTTCCTTGTTGCTGACATCAGCACGGAATCAGGCAGCTTGATTCACGAGCTTAGGTGCACCAACGGCCGACTCTTCTCACCGGTGTGTGATTTGACTCTCTGACACTGACCTTCGATAATGACCTGTATAAATATGGGGCCTTCTTCTGAATAATTGCGGCCACAATTTTGCGCATCTTCACAAGGCTGGACTGGAAATTCAGGGGAGGTATGTCACCTATTGACAAGTGACGTGACCTGTGATGTGAGGCAATAAGAAGAACATGGGGCATTCATTGGCAAATGACATTGGCTCGTCTGAAATGACTTGAAAAGAGTGGCATTTGTCGACGTTCTCTCTTTCTTCCTTGCAAAACTTTTCTCGAACTAGAGAATGATACTGTATCCTTTTTTAGAATGCTGATAAACTCGGAACTTATTTGCAGCCCCACATGTTGAACAGAAGGAGATGACGACAAGAATGAACAAATGATATAACATCCCATATGTTACAACCTCCAGCCGCTACAGCATACAGTGGCACTCTGGAGAATGGAAAATTACACAGACAATTGTCACCACATCAAGATAAAATAAATAAACAAACAACAAAAAAATGAAGGTGACTACTAGAAGCGGCGGCGGGTGGTTAACGTGTAACCAGGGGGATCAAAGTAGCACATGAGGATGTACAGAGCGGTGGGGATGGGTGCTTTGGACTCGAGACAGGAAATCTGCAGAAAAAAAAAGGGGTGGGGGGAGGGGAAAGGGGAGGGGAAAGGGGAGGGAAGAGAGCATGAGGTGGAGAGCATCTAGACTAGGGCTGTAGGATGGAGGGAGGAAGGAGAGGAGGAGAAGAGGGGGGGGGGAGAGGGAGGGGGTGTAATGAGATGGGAAGGAGAACTGGAAGGAGAGGAGGGAAGGGGATGGAAGGAGAGGGGAGGGAGATCAGGCAGAATGAGGAGAAGGTGAGGGAACGAAGAGTGGAAAAGGGGGTTTGGATGAAAGGGGTGAGGACGAATGGACAAAAGCAGGGTAGTGGTAAGAATTGAGTGGGAAGTGAGCAAGGAGAAGCAGACAAAACAGGCATGTGAACCATGCCACATCACAAACACGTCATCGCACGCACCGTGCCACATCCGACGGCTGTGGTGGTGATGCCAATGATCTGACGGTAGTTGTCGCACGAGTCAAAAGGGGAGCATGTCTTGGTGGACAGCTGTTGGCGTTGGAGAGAAGGAAGGTGGGCACAGGGGGGAGAGAAGGTGGGCACAGGGGGGAGAGTAACGGGGATGAGACAGGGGGAGAGGGGTAGACCTTTATCAATAGGAGATCATGGGGTGAGAGCAAGGAACAGGTGGAAATGCAGCTCTAACAAAAATTCAGGAAACTCACATCATAGTTCTGTTTCTCGTAGAGCCATGCAGTGATGGCGTCAGAGGGAGTGCTGCCGACAGGTTCAGAAGCAGCCGACTCAAACCCGTACCAGCTCACACCCCGAGCCACGGCTGTAGGTCCAGCGGCAGGCACGGCACCAGGTACGGTGGTAGCGGCTAGAGGGAGGAGTGAGCCAAAGGCGTCTGGAGAGGCTGAGCAGAGGGATGCTGTCTGATTGGCCGCCCACTGCTGCGCTGACGTGGCCAGGGCGTCGCTCCAGGTCAGCGCTGACAGGCTGGCAGACGCCCTGATTGGTCGAGAGCGGTGGTGTGAGGAGAGGCAAGTGACAGTGGGGTTTTGTAAGAAACGGTGGGTGATAAGAGCGGTGAAGAGTGGTGAAGACTGGCGAAGAGCAACGAAAGGTGGTAAAGAGTGGTTAAGTGAGGGTAAGCAGAACAAAAGAAGAAAGATAGTTTACTCCACCATCCACAGGCGTGCACCCACGCTCATGCATCTGTGCACACGTACCCATGCAGCTGCACAAACAGACAAAACACTCCGCCCACCCCACCCACCTCTCTCGGTTTATCAGCGCAAGTAGCTCCGCCCTCCCCCCTACCCCCAGCACAGCAGGACCCCGCACAGGGGGTGGGGACGGGGGGGGAGGGGAAGGGGGGGGCACCACAGGGGGCGGGGGGCGGGGAGGTGGGGAGCGGATGGCAGGGGGAGGAGGGGGAGGGGAGCGGAGAGGAGGAGAAGGAGGAGGTTGACGAGGGGGAGGTGGGGATGGGGGTGGGTTGGGGGAGCGAGGGGGGGAGGGGGGAGGGGAGGGCGGAGAGGGAGGAGGGGGAGGGGAGGCGAGCCAAGGGTGTTTATTGGAGGAGGCTTGGGAGTTGAAGAGGCAGAGAAGGGTGAAGAGGGAGGTGGGGGTGGGTGCCTTGGCCTCTAAACACGTAACCTGAGATGAGAGGGGTGGGGATGGGCAGGGGGAGAGACAGTGGGAGTGACAGGGGGGGACCGTTTAGAGGCTTGGGAGTTGAGAAGGCAGAGGAGGGCGAAGAGGGAGGTGGGGGAGGGTGCCTTGGCCTCTGTACATGTGACCTGAAATGACCCATGGTGGGTATTGGGACAGATGTGGGCGAAGGGAGAGGTAAGGGGAGAGGCAGGGGTAGTGGCGGGGAAAAAGGAGAAGCGAGAGGTGAATAATGTGTTGCCTTAAAAGGCACAGGCAGAGAAACCAGGGACAGGCATAGGCACAGGCACAGGCACAGGCATAGGCACAGGCACAGGCACAGGCACAGGCAGAGGCACAGGCACAGGCAGAGAAACCAGGGACAGGCATAGGCACAGGCACAGGCACAGGCACAGGCACAAACACAGGCACAGGCACAGGCACAGGCAGAGGCACAGGCAGAGGCACCAGGGAGAAACACAGCAGTAAGTGTTGAGAGGGTTAGAAAAGCAGATGAAGAGACTTCTGAGTCAACTCAAAAGTCAACAGGTGTAAAAGCGAGGCAGCATGGAGAAGCACAGCAGTAAGTGTTGAGAGGGTGAGAAAAGCAGATGAAGCGACTTTTGAGTCGACTCAAAAGTCAATAGGTGCAAAAGCAAGGCACTAGGGAGAAACAGAGCAGTAAGTGTTGATTGTTGTACTAGGGCACTAGGGCTATAAAAGCAGATGAAGCGTGGCATGGGTGATTGTTGTAGGTGCTGCTACCCACCATGCCACACCCCACGGCTGTAGCCATTTTCCACACAATCTGACGGTAATTGCTGCAGAGCTCCCCTGGTGCACACGTGTCAGTATCTGACTGGTGAACGGGACATTGGGGGGAGGGGGTAGGACAGCAAGGGAGCAAAGAGATCGGAGCAGAGTTAATTTGCTGACCGGGAGAATGGCGAGGAGGGAGGAGGAAGGGAGGGAGGGATGAGCAAGAGGGAGGAGGGAGGAGGGAAGCTGCTGTCTGCTATTAAGCACCTCGCTGAAAGAACACTAGGCAGTAAATGGTTTCAGATACTTGATTTATTCAAGGTTAAGAGAACCACAGGCAGGCAACTCACGTTGTAATTCTGCTTCTCGTACAGCCATGCACTGAGGGCTTCAGAGGGAGTGCTGCCGGCAGGAGAGGCAGCAGCCGACTCAAACCCGTACCAGCTCACACCATACGCACTGCTGCCGCCGCTGCTCCCGCCACTACTGCCGCCACTTGTGCTGTTGCTTGTGCTGCTGCTGTTGGTGTTGCCACTCGTGCTGCCTTTTGTGCTGCCTTTGCTACCCTTACTGCTGCCCTTCGCCTTGCTGGTCCGTTTCCCCACCAGAGGTGAGGTTGCAGCGGCGAACAGAGAGGGTAGGGTGGCAGCGGGTACAGGCATGGCTGAGGAGAAAGAGAGAGCCGTGCCGAAGGGGTCTAGAGGGGCAGAGCAGAGGGATGCTGTCTGATTGGCTGCCCACTGCTGTGCTGACGTGGCCAAGGCGTCGCTCCAGGTCAGTGGTGACAGGCTGGCAGAGGGGACTGCAAGTCTGTGATTGGTGAGGGGGGGTGGGTGGGTGGGGATGGAGAATGAGAGAGGGAGGTAAGAGAGGGGGATGAGAGAGGGATTACAGGGAGACAATCACACATTAACAGAACGCAAGGCAGAAAAAGCAAGAGGACATAGGCTGTGACAGAACAAACAAGCCTTCCCACTCTCCAACCTTCCACCCACCCTCCCTTGCTTCACCATGCACCATGCTATACCCCCCTTCCTGTCTCCCCCCTTGCTCACCTCGCTCCATTCATCCCCTGCAGCAGCGTCTCCCTCCCCCCTTCCCCCACGCTGGTCACCCCCAAAGGGGAAGAGCGCGGAGGGGGAGGGCTGGGGGAAGCGGCGGGCGGGGGGAGGCGTGAGGGTGGACTCCGCACAGGGGGAGGAGGGGGAGGTGAGGAGGCTTTGGGGGGAGGCGCGCGGAGGGGAGGGGGGGATGGAGTGGGGGCGGAGCGAGGAGCAGGCGGGGGTGGGCGAGGGGGAGGGGTGGCGGGAGGGGGAGGGGGAGAGGAAGGCGGGGAGGGGAGGGAAAGCCAGGGGTGCTGGTTGGGGAGGTTTCCGGGAGGGTCGAAGTAGCAGAGGAGCACGAAGAGAGACGTTGGTATGGGTGCGTTGGCCTCACTGCATGTGACCTGGGAGCGAGAGAGGAGGAGTGGGGGGTGCAAGGAAGAGAGGGGGGAAGTGTGAGGGGGGTTGAAGTAGCAGAGAAGCATGAAGAGAGATGCTGGGATGGGGGTATTGGCCTCAGTGCATGTGACTTGGGGGCGAGAGAAAGCAGGGTGAGGAGGAGGGATCGTGACAGTCTGTAGAAAAGCATGTACCAACTCCAACACCCATCCCGTATGACACACGAGGACACTGCATTGCACCACATCGCACCCCACTACACCACACCGCACTGAACCGCACCACAGCCCATCCCGTGACACTGCACCACACCGCTCTGCATCTCACCATGCCGCAGCCCACAGCAGTGGTGGTTCGCCAGACGATCTGGCGGTAGTCCTCACAGTCGTCCGTGTCGCTGCACTGGTTGCGTGCGGGCTGATTGGAGAGAGGAGGAGGGGAAGAGGGGGAGAGAATGCAAGGTTGTTTCAACACACCATCTGGCGGTAGTCCTCACAGTCGTCCGTGTCACTGCACTGGTTGCGTGCGGGCTGATGGGGGGAGAGAGGGAGAGCGGAGAGGAAGGAAGCAGAGTGGAGCGGGTGAGGTGGGTGCAGTGCGGACGAGGTGTCGCAACACACCATCTGGCGGTAGTCCTCACAATCATCGGTGTCACTGCACTGGTTGCGCGCTGGCTGATGGGGGGAGATGGGAAGACAAAAGGAAGGGTGGGAAAAAGGCTTGTGAGGTGTCTACACACACCATCTGGCGGTAGTCCCCACAGTCGTCCGTGTCACTGCACTGATTGCCGCTGGCTGATTGGAGAGGGGTGGAGGGAAGAGAGTAGAAGGCGATGCGAGGGTGGGGGGAGTGTGAACAGAGAGGCGACGAGGCACACGCAATTCGCACGAACGTTGGGGAATCAAACAAAAAACATATTGGTCTTCTTCTCGAAGGCCCCCTCATAGCACACACACTCACATCATAGAAGGCCTTCTCGTAGAGCCACGCAGTAATGGCGTCAGAGGGAGTGTTGCCGGCAGGAGAGGCCGCAGCCGACTCAAACCCGTACCAGCTCACACCATAGGGACTCCCGGGTTGCTGCGACCAGAGGGACAGAGTGCTGCCAAACGCGTCCACTGGCCCGGCGCATACCGAACCTGCCTCTTCGGCTGCCCAGGCCTGCGCCGAGCCTGCCAGGGTGTCGCTCCAGGTCAGGTTCGGGAGCGCGGCGGATGGGCGTGGGACGGCTGTGGCTGAAACAGACGCTCTGATTGGTGGAGGGGAAAGGGATGGGGAAGAGGAGATAATGGGGAGGGAATGGAAAAAAATTGAGGGAGTGGAGTGGTAAGGAAGTTGTGAGGGTGGGTAAGAATGGGACCAGAGGAGTGAGAGGCGAGGGGAGGGTGTGCTCAGCAGCGTTTCGTCTCAATTGCACTTGTCGTTACATCTCGTTACATCTCTCACCCGTCGCCCCCCGCCTCACCCTCATCCGTCACTATCCCGTTTCGTCTCGTCCCTCCCCCGTTTCATCTCTCACCGCGCATTGTTCATCCGACTCAGCAGCATCGTACGGTCAGCAGCGCTTAAAGTGGACGGCACAGATTTCGGCCGAGTCGTTGTCGCCTTAATCTTCGCCGTTGATTCCAGCTCTACTCTCCTGCTCCCCGCGGACGGGGCGGCGGGCGGAAGCGCAGCTACGCGGGAGAGGGTGACGCGGTTGCGCCACACGGGGGCGGAGGCGGGGAATGGGGGAGAATGCGCGGAGTGGAGGAAACGCGGAAGGTGCTGGGGGAGTGCGGGGGCGGCGGAGACGCGGCGCGTGTTGGCGGCGGCGGAGGCGGAAGGGAGGGTGGATGGGAGAAACGAAGCGGGTGCGCTGTGCGATGATGTCGGGGCGGACTGTAACGAGGATGGGAGGAGCGAGGCGGCGTTAGATAGTCTGTGGCGAGGGAGGCGAGAGTACTGGAACGGTTGACTCGTCCCTGGTTCGAGAATGGGGGAAGGGGGAAGTGGGTGGGGAAGGGGGGAGAGGGGAAGAGGACAGGGGAGACGGGGGAAGAGGAGGGCGGAGAATGAGATTCGCTTACGTGCTCGCAAGCAGCATCCGCCAAACGCGAGGAAGTTTGATATTTCGAGTGATACGTCGGGCGCCGTGTGCCATTGTAACGAGGTGACTTTTGAGTCGACTCAAAAGTCAGTGATACGTCGGGCGCGGCGGCTGGCGTTCGCAGTTCACGAGGCGATTTCAAAGTCGACGCAAAAGCTACCCGCCTGTTGATTTTAGATGTCGGCGCTCACATGAATTCGCAAAGCCGGCGCCGCTCGATGCGCCTTCCAACGGCCGTATCGCGAAGGCCAGCACCGCCAAAGCGACGACTGGCAGACTGTGCGACAGCTGTCGTTCCCTGCGACGGCTGCGACTCGTCGTCGCGCAACGTCGGAAAACCATCGTCGGACCCTTTAGGCGACAAAAGGCGATTTTTTACGCGGCGTCGTCTGGAGTGAGCGAAAGCTCGCGATGTTTTCTCGTGCGGTAATGGATCCTTGACGGACTTTCCGGCGTCGTCAGCGATTACCGACCGCTGACAGGCCGCAAGCGCGCCATATTCTCTTCGTGCTGGAAAACCGCCGCGATTTGCTTCTTTCGTCGAGTGCGGAAAGGCGACGCGTGCGAAGCAATGTCAGGCGAATTACATGCTCAATTCGAACAAAGGTGTGCTGTACATGCGCTCGACCCACGGAACAAATTGGGTGGGACGAAACGAAGCGCGGAGCCTTACGGGCGACGTAAGGACTACGCCTCGAGAAAAAAACGAAAAAATGAAATGAATGAATGGTGAGGGTGGTTGGTGGTGTTATGGTACGGTGGTGGTGAGGTGAGATGGTGGTGAGTGAGTGTTGGTTATCTGGAGGTAGATAGGATGCCTCCTAGACCGGAATCTGGGCCAGACAGCTTCTGTTATGCCATGAAAAACTGAAGCTCACTGAAAAACCTTGAAGAATGAGGCACGTAAGACAAACGAGACGAGACAGTAACGACGACGGTTACCCCTCTTCGTGTGGTGCTAGAATGGAAGAAGGGGCTTGTGACGATTTGACGAACAGTGGTTACGTGTGTTTGCAAAAATCGCTCAATCGGCGGCGGGATCCAGAAAACTGAGCGGCGAAATTGGCACTGTCGCGCGATGCGCTCGTGGATGTGCTTGGCTGACACCAACAACCGCCAGGGATCCGTGAATTTGTCGGATAGCCACCAGTCGTTACGGTTTCGTTACTGCTGCTGACTGGCGGCAGCATACGGCTGCTTGGTAGCGAAACGGCATCCATAGATTGGGGGTGAGTTAAATTTCATTTTCTAGAATGGTGTTTCAAAGTATATCTGAATACATATAATAGACAATATTATACAGCGAACAATATCTTACCGAGTCAGCTAGTATAGCTGCTCCGCTATGTGAAAGTGGCTCACCGTCACTGAACCTAGACTGGTACGGTCAGGAATTGTGGTGCCTGAGCGGTTGTTGCATCGACGGCTGAGAACAATTGGTGCTTGACTGCGCGCCATAATCCATGGACCTGCGTTCGTTCCCTGCTCAGCTGCCCCTGATATAAACAGATTGTCGCACAGCGGCCTTGTGCGAAAAAGGGTCCCGCGGTCGCCCAAACTCCCCTCAGTGGGTGCTGTATCATTTGTCGCAGCCTCCTTGGAACTATGTGCACGACACACCTTGTGGGGGTGATGCCATGGAAAACTACGTGCGATAATGTGGTTCTGTACGTTTTTTCTGGGTTTGAGTGGCGAACCAGCATAATGCTTGGCTGGTTTGAGGCTGAACCGTGTATGCGATGCGACGCGCGGGGAGTGAGGGGCGCGTTTGGTTTGGACGACCGACGTGACGACGGAATTCCGAACCCAAAAATCGCAAATGTTCCGCCGCTCAGCCTCCAGCGCAGCATGTTTCTGCCCCACCGCTCCGAACCACACGCGCCACTCCCTCACTCCATCCATCCCCTCCCCCATCTACTCGCCAGCGCTGCTCGCTTGCTCAGCGCTTCCCCACCGCAAGCCACCTCCCCCGCTTCCGCCCCACCAATTTGCTCCCGCGAGAGGTTTGTACAAATGCCATGGCTTCCATTCTCCCCTTCATTCGAATAGGCAACAAGCCAGAGCCAACCAACCGCCGTTGCTTGTGAATTTGTTAGCCTTTTCTCACAGACAGCAGGCGAAAATCGTCGTCAGCTATCACGTAACCTTTCCCCCGCAACGAACTTAGCGCGCCGAGGCGCGGCAACCGCCACCATGGGCTTCAAAACTTCCACTCTCGCGGTGCTTTTCGCGCTGCTCCTCGCGACGTCGCTCGTGTCCGCGGATGTGTCGTCGGAGCAGCTTATCGACGAGGTGCGCGCGCTCACGAACGCGCTCAAGAGCCGCCCCAACTTCTCACTCATCTACCTCGCCGCGAAATACGTGCTCAAGAAGCAAGGTCCGTGCGCCGCGGCGCTTCGTTCGCAGCGCAATGCCGCTTGTCCCGTGCTGTTGTCCGCGATCGGTCCATAGCCCAATCTCCGCATTTGTTCACCTTCTCTCCGCCTTCCCCCTGCCTTCCCCGCCTCCCCCCCCCCCCCCCCCCCCCCCCGCCCGCCTTCCCCCACCTCCCCCCGCCAGACTCTCTGCTCGCGAAATACGGCGCGGACGTGCTCCCGAACGCGGAGAGGAAAACCCTCCTCATCCCAGACAACGCCGCGGTACTCCGCTATTTCAACGGCAAACTCCCCGACACCCAGGAGGAGGTGGAACAGCACCTCGACACGGTGCTTATGAACGTGCTCGACGGGTCCTTCACGCTCGCGGACCTCCGAAGCGGCTCGTCCTTCCCGACTGTTTACCAGGACCGCGCGCTCGTGCAGATCGATGTGGGGAGGGGGTGGTTGAAGCGCGGAACGGGGGTGGCGCTCGGGCAGGCGGGGTCGGGCAGGAAAACTTGGTCGCGGGTGAGCGACCCGGGAATGTTCAAGGGCGATTTGTTCATCGCGCACGGCGTGACGAACGTGCAGAAGCCGTAGGGGGGAGCACAATCGGCGGCTGCTTGGGAAGCGACCCGGGAATGTTCAAGGGCGATTTGATCATCGCGCATGGCGTAACTAACGTGCAGAAGCCGTAGAGGTGGGGGAGGGTACCTTCCTGCTGGAAAGGCTGGGATGGGAAGATTTGGAGGTTTGATGGTGAAAGAGTGAGTTGTGTTGCTCAGTGTATTGGTTGTTTTGTACAGAAACATTTTCTATTTATGAGATTGCTGGGTGCGTACTACTGGTTCTCTAAAGACTGAACGATGTAAACTAGTACGGCCATGCGAAGCAAATAGAAGCACACTATCATGTCTTGTTCATAGCCTCAGCTTCAGCAGCAGCCATGGGATCAGCTGCACCAGCCCCAGCATCCCCCTCCTCTTCCTCCTCCATGCTTCTATCAGCAGCAGCGCCACCCTTAGGAGCATTCGCAGCAGCTGCAGCAGCGGCTTTTTGCTCCTTGCTTAGCCGCTGAATCTCCTCCTCCTGCTGCTGGCGCTCAAACCACGTGTCTGCGTCCGCCCACACTGGAGTTGGAAAAGTCATGTGAAAGGGAAGGTACACAGGTGGGGAGGGAAGAGAAATGGGGGAAGAGAGGGAGGGAAGGTAGAGAGATGAAGGGGAAGGATGACAAAGGGGAGGAGGGGAAGAGGCGGTGTGAAGGACGAAGAGGAGGCAAAGGAATTTGGTACATGGCAGGGCTGGGGTAAGTGTGCAGCAATTTGCACAGAAAGGCGGGGATAACGGCCGTCACGAAGCGGAAAGGGCAACAGCGAAGCAGGGATGGGGTGCCAGCCTGTGCAGTGGGTTGCAAACCACAGGCTTGGCATGCGGTAGCAACCACCTTCTCCTTAAGTAACGTGCACCGTCAGGCTAACTAGAAGCCACCAAAAGCATTGCGCAAAAGGTGACTGGTTGCAAGTCCCAACCCCCAACTCTGATCATGCAAAGCCCCTTTGCCAGCAGCCACGGTGCCCCTTTGCCAGCTGCCCTTGAAGCCAGCCTTGACCAGCTCGAGAGCCCTCCTCCCTAAAGCCCATCACATCTGGCTGCGACGCCCGAAACGCCACCGCACCTGGTTGCGAGGCCCAGCCCTGCTCGCCGCCCTTGATCTTCTGCGGCTGCGCAATGTTGACGGTGAGCACGCGGCCGTACAGTACCGTACCTTACCGTACCGTACCGTACCTTACCGTACCGTACCGTACCTTACCGTACCGTACCGCACCTGGTTGCGAGGCCCAGCCCTGCTCGCCGCCTTTGATCTTCTGCGGCTGCGCGATGTTGACGGCGAGCACGCGGCCGTACAGCTCGCCGTTGTGCATGTTGTCCATGGCGGCCGCCGCGTCCTCCTTCTCCATGTACGTCAGGAAGCCAAACCCGCGGTGCTTCTGCGTCGTCTGGCGAGGGAAAACGGACGAAGGGCGCGCGGGGTGGGCAAAACGGGGGATTTGGGGGGAGGAGGAGGGAGGGAAGAAGGGGAAGAGGGGAGGAGGAGGGGGGGGAGGGGGGTTCAGACGGGTGACAGCATGTTGGCTGCTCGCCGTTGTGCATGTTGTCCATGGCGGCCGCCGCGTCCTCCTTCTCCATGTACGTCAGGAAGCCGAACCCGCGGTGCTTCTGCGTCGTCTGGTGGGAGGAAGGGAGGGAGGAGGGAGAGGGGAAAGGGCTGGAAGAGGAAGAGAGAGGTGTACGCTCATGGCGGCCGCCGCGTCCTCCTCCTCCATGTACGTCAGGAAGCCGAACCCGCGGTGCTTCTGCGTCGTCTGGTGGAAGCAAGGACGTAGGGTGGAGTGGGGGAGAGAGGGCCGAAGGGAGGGGGGAAATGAGGGAAGGGATGGGGAGGAGGGGGAGGAAGGGGGGAGGGGGGAAAAAGGGGCGAGGAGGGAAAAGGGGGCGAACAGGAAGAGAGAGGTGTGGGGTTGTACCTCAGAAGCAATACGCATCCAGACGGGTGAAAGCTTATTCTGAATTAGAACTCGACGTACTCGCTGTTAATGTGGTCGAATTCACATCAAGAGACAGACTACTCGCAGAGAAAAGGGAATTCGAGTTGAGGAGAAACCAGCCTTGGGTACCTGATCAATGGGGATGTTGATGTCTTTGATGTCGCCGAACGGGATGAAAGCCGCGTGGAGAATTGACTCGGTTACATTCTCCTCCAACCCTCCTGCCAGCAACACACGGGAGCGATAATGAGCATATCGCACTATCGCAGGACTGACGAATTATAGGTAACGGACTGGTGGCGGAAACTTCAAAGTCACTGAAAACTCAATACAAGACGAAATTTCATTGTCTGCGAATACTAAACTCGAAAACCTTGAGCTCACGAAAGCCACCAGCCTCACCAACATACAACGTTGTTTTTGGATTTGGCGTCGCCATAGTCGAGATGTGAAAGTTCAGGAACAATAGGATGACTACGAAACCGCGAGGTTATGACGTTGAGCCCTATTCTGTGATCACTAAAATCTACGTGGCAACTGACTAGCCTCGCTGATGACTGGAAGATGGTGGTGTGATACCAGGTTTGAGCGATACCAGCAACTAAGCTACTGGTGAGGACGAAGCACCATGGACAGGACTAGATCCGAGCCTTGTGCTTCTCTCGGACCCATAAGGGCGTATCTTGGGTTCGGGTCATCCACTGTTTCGGGCATCCGAGATTCTTGGAAGACCAATCAGGCGCATTTTAAGTACACTACTCAAATACCATTGGTCCTCTCATGACCCGAAGTGTACTGATGACCCAAACAGTGCCTTATGACCCGAACCCAAGATATGCCCTGAGGTCACCAATAACAATGAATTCGTAATTTTGTTTTTGTGGAACTGTACGAAGTGGAAGATATATATATATATATATATTTTTTTGGTGGATGTAAATACACTATATGGTATAGCATACAAGGACATCCTCAGTCGTAACTGCTGTGGAGGAGGGTGTATTACCTACACTGGTAGATGCAACCCCCCAGACACACTCTATGGCGGATGGAACGCTACCAATGGGTCCTCCCAGATTGCTCTGAAGTCATCCCTCCACGTCATTGACGCTTCCTCATTGTATAGCCTTTTCATCACTTCCGCTTCGTCCTTTGCCATGTGTTCCCAGTCACCCTTGTCCCCGTGGCCCTTCTGCCGCTTCCTTGCCTTGCTGTAGATCCTGACGTGTCTTGTGAACTGGACGTTGATCCGCCTCAGCACACGTTTGGGTTGAAATCTCACCCCTCTCCAGATCGCGTTACACCTGGCTAGCCATATCTGGTGGGAGATTGTGGCGATCAGCGACGCTTCCGGAAAACCTGACTCCGTGCATGTTTCTTGAAACAGTAGGTCGCCAACTGTCCCTCCTTGTCGTGATGGATTCATCAGCCGGAGTGCCCCCTGAACTACGTCTGTGACCGGTTTCACTCTTGGGCAGTCAAGAATACAGTGGTCGAGCGTTTCGACCCCTCCACAGTGTACGCAATTAGCCCGCGCCCTACTTGTAAGTTTTTGCTGTGTGCCCGTAATACCACTTCTCTTGCTCTGGTTGGTGTAACAAGCGAGTGTCTCGTCTCGATTGCTTTTTTCCAGTCAATCGGCTTCCCCCAGTCCTCTTCCCACTGCTGCTGCTGCTTTGGCTTCGTGAGCTGGGGTTTCAGCGCCCTCCTCGTGACTCTCAGCTCGGCAGGCTCCCCTTTCTCACACAGCTTGACTGTAGCAGCCTCGTCCTTGGTTCACCTAGAGGGCCGCATATTCTGCCTTCCAGCTCCGCCATCGGCGTCGACCTCTCCCAGGATAGCTCTGTCGCACTGGCGTATTTTACTTCTCTGACTTGACCGTCCGCATCTACCGTCACACGTTTCCCGTAGAGTCTGTTTCCTGTTGTGTATAGTAGCCTGTAAAAAAGAAATTCTCCAGGTCGGTAAGAGTTTTGCCTTATCAGCTTCGCCGTTTTGAACACTTCGTCCGCAGTGAGTGTCCTCAGGGCCAGCTCTCTCCAGGCCGTAGGTGCTGCTTCCCATGCTTTCATAGCCCACTTCCTCTGTTCCTCGCCTCCTACTTCTCTTTCCAAGGTCGCCCCGTCTTTCAGTGATCTCCTGCCACCTGCTCCTTTTACGATTAAATCCCCTAGTGTGATTCCCTGCAGGCAGCCCGAACCTTTCTGCCTCCCGAAAGGTGATGTTCCTCTGAAGAAGATCGCGCGGTTGAAAAGCAGATGCTCTCCTTCTGCCTCCCACCGATTCGATGTTTCCTGAATCACCACCGTTTTTGTTTCCCAGAGGGACTCGATCGTCGCTTTCCATCTCGCCCCGCCTTTCAACCAGTATTTCAGGATTGCCGGGTGCGCATACACCGTCGCAAGACCTTGTGGGAAGCCCGCCGCCTTCTCCCAGAGCCAGTTTCTGAACGGGTCTCTTGACACTGCACTTCTCGCTATGTTGTGGATTGCAATGCTTGCCAATCTCTCCTTCGGGCTGATTACTCCCAGGCCCCCCTCCTTCCGATCCCTGCAGAATAATTCGTAACTCCACAGTATGAAGAACCTGTCGAGAGAGGCTCTCCCCTTTGAGATGAAGTTGTGACATATCCTCTTCACCTTTAACCACAGTTCATGCGGCGGCGCATACACCAGCGCTTGGAACAGCAGTATCGGCATCGCGTAGCTGTTTACAATCGTCACCCTGGCTGAGGTCGACAGGTGCTTCGCGTCCCATTTAACCAGCTCCCCGCACATCCGCTCGTAAGCCTGGTACCAAGATGGCTCCGGCGACCCTCCTGGCGTGACCCAGATGCCGAGCAACCGTTCCGGCTCGTTCCGCGCTCCCCATTGGAACGGTGAGTCCGTGGGCTGCTGTCGCCTCTTGTTCTTCCCCAACGGCATCAGCTTTGTTTTCCCCTGATTTATGTGCAGCCCTGAACACTTTCCAAAGTCGTCCAGCAACAGCTTGGCCGCTACCACTTGCTCCTGACCATGAAGGGCCAGAGTAGTATCATCCGCGTAACCGACGTAAGTCAAGCCGCCAACTCCCCTTTTCCGGATCCCCAATCCCCTCCTCTCTGCTTCTTGACAGAATGGCTCCGTCGCGCAGAGGAAGAGGTAGGGAGCGAGTGGACAGCCTTGCCTTACTCCTTTCTCCATTTCGATTCTGTCGCCAAGCCAACCATTTATCAGTAGCTTCGTTCCTGCCCCCTCGTGTAGTCCCTTTGTCCAAGCCAGGAACTTCTCCGGGAACCCCATCTTCCTCATCGTGCCAAAGAGGAAGTCCCTCGATACCGAGTCATAGGCCTTTTGGAAATCCACGAGGAGCAGCAACCAGTCCTCATCCCCTTCCGCCGCTGCATCAATCACATCCGCTACTGTTGAAACCGCATCCGCCAGACGTCTCCCTGGTAAGAAACCGTACTGCCGTTCCGATATTACCCGCGGCAGCACTTTCTTTATTATGTTCGCCAGCACCTTCGCCACCAATTTGTACACCACACTGAGAAGAGTTATCGGCCGGTAATTCTCTAACTGCTCCCTCGCTCCCTTTTTGTGCAGGAGGATGGTCACTGCCGTCAAGAAGGATTCCGGTAACTTCGCACTCGCTTCGAAATCGTCCATCAGCTTCATCACTTCCTTCCCCAGCAGATCCCAATTCAGCTCAAAGAGCTCTTTTGGTAAACCATCTTGGCCCGGTGCTCTTCCTGACGGCAGCTCTTTGAGAGCTACCTTGACTTCCTCCTCCGTCCATGGCCTGGTGAGCGCTACCTTGTCACTGTCAAGCAGACGCTTATCCTCTGCCACCACCCAGCTCTCATCTGACGCTGCGTGACTCGAGCCTGAGTAAGTGTCGCGGAAGAAGGTCGTCGCTGCCTCAAGTACCTCCCTTGCTCCCGAGATGGTTTGGCCATTCCTTAGCACCTCTTGGATCTCCGTCTTTTCCTTTTTCGACTTGATCAGCCCGGACAGGTAGGCAGTCGGCGCCTCGCTCGCCAGCTCCACCGTCAACCACGTCATCACTTGCAGCCTGACTTTGGCTTTCTCCTGATATTCCTTCAGTGCCGCCTCCGCCTTCACCAGCTCCTCATATAACTTTGGTGCAGTCGGATTTGCCATCAATAGGCCCCTCAGCCGTGCCACCTTGTTCTCCAGATGCAACATCGTAGCCTTTACCCTCTTCCTTTCTTCCGTCGTGTGTGTTCTCAGGCCTGCTCTCAGATTTGTCAGCAAAGCGTCGAAAGGCTGGTCCTGTTGTTTCTGGTAGTCCTCCACAACCGCCGCTATGATCCTTTCCGTCCCAGCTCCTCTCGTTTGCGTAGCCTCCAGTCTCCAGAGCCCCGGTCCCCCCCCTCCAGGAACCGCCGCCTGCACCGTGGTGTGAACCGCAAACCAGTGGTCCGTGATACCAACCGGGACCAACTCGTGTTTCGCCTCCCTTACTTGCCCCACCAGCGACCGCGACATCAGGATCCGGTCAATTCTCGTACTGGTTATAGACGACCTTGAGAAAAAAATGTACTCCTTTCTTGTCGGGTGCAGAGTCCTGAACATATCCTGCAGGTCCCATCTGCTGCAAATCTGTTGGAGTCGCTGGTTCTCCGCCGGCGTTCCCAGCCTGGAGGACTTGTCCAGGTCCGGGTCAGCTACTATGTTCAGGTCCCCCATGAAAAGCGTGTGAGATGCCGTTGGTAAGCTGTGAACGAAGGGTGTAAAAACATCCCTGAAAAACTCCCCTCTGCTTGTGGACTGAGCCGGGAAGTACGCTGCTACAACTATGTATTCCTGCTGCTGCCACGTGAAGGTAACGCTAAGTAGTCTACCCGAGGCATGGTTGGTCACCTCCCTAAATCTGATCCCTGGTGCGAAACCTAGGATGGCTACACCGCTTGCTCTCTGATCCGGTGAAACTGCTGCGACCGCATCAGGTCTGAGTTGGCTCCAGAAATTATGATCCGCTGGTAATCTGGTGTCCGTTAAGACCACTATGTTGGCTGCCTTTCTTATCCAGTATCCGCATCTTTCTCTTTTGCCGTTGCTACCAAGCCCATTAATGTTGAGCTCTAAGAAGGAGAGCTTGTGGTGTTTATCCATTTGACAACCTGCTTGAGCCCCTCAGCATCCACGGGCGTAAAAACTTTACTGATGAGACACACACTGCCACAGCATACGACAAAACCACTGCCAGTATACCTCCTACCACTGCAACACCTCCTACTGTGACTCCAATCAGCACTTCTTCCGGTATGACCACTTGGCCACTGCTGTTGCTCACTTCTCCAGTTTTTTCCCGAAATCCTTCTTGAAATCGCTCAGCTTCTGAGAGCCTTTTGCCGCACGTGTTGCAGAACCTGGCCTGCGTAACCCTCCCCTGTGACGTACAGAGGCGATGTGCGCAGAGGCCTGCTCGAAACGGGTACCCTGTGCCTTCTCGCAGGCAGCCTGAACGCAAATCCACTCTTCCCTCAGCCCTCCCGTTGAAACCAGGACCAAAGCCTAGTCCTTCAGGATTCGCTTCAGCAGATCTGAGACTTGAGAGGCCGCTGCGGGGAGATTCACATACGGTAACGTCAATACTTACACCAGCGACAAAGAAATCGAAGCGGAAATTTGAGGTAAAAACACCGCTCCCTGTACCGTTGAATTTATGAGCCTTAGCTACCGTAAGGTTCCAGCGGCTCATGTTGTCATGACGCGGAGTCACGTAGTCATCATGATAGCGAGTCAGGTGCTGTCCACCACAGAAATCACAGCTGACACTTGGTTAATGGATAAGAAACTTCTTCCCTGGCAGGGACTTGAACTCCACAGCGTGCAACCAGCGGTACTCATCAGCGACATGAGGAATAACCAGCCCCTTGATGCGCTCTGTGTCCATCCCCGAAACAGGATCGATCGTACGATGAAAGCCGAAACCACTCGCGAAGGCACTCTTCCCACGCTTGACCATAACAGCCTCCAGCAGCATACGGCGAACCATCACTGGCGAAATTTCCGCCGGGACCGTTTTGAGCACCACTTCAATGGCCGATGGGTTAATGGAGCGCTCCCTGAGGAACCTTGCATTCTCCGGAAACTGCCAGGTGAACTTCACGAACTTGTCGTCAATGCACTCATGGTCGATGACCTGTTCACGCACGAACTCCGCGTCGCGTGCACTGTTGAAAGTCACTTGTAGACGTCCAAACTTTTGCTTCGAGAAAAAAGCCGGCTGAAGCTTTTGATACGTCGTGGTCTGTTGCACATCCGGTGACAGGTGATCTTTACAGTCATCCAGCAAGGCAACAATCGTAGCCTTAGTGCGTGGGACTTCCACTATCCTGTTAATAGGCACCAGCAAGGTTAATGAGACTTTCGTCTGAGCAGCAATATCAGCAGCAACAACAGGATCAAACATCTCGTCCGAGTCGTCACTGAGGTAGCCATCCCCTTCCTCCTCATGCTCCAGCTCTTCTGCCGCCGTTTCATTGTCAGAGTCATCCTCCACTGTATTGATGGTCGACTTGTCCACTCCGTATGAGTTTGCCGTAACATTCGCGTTGACTTCAGCTACTCCCTTCCCTTTAACATGCACGTTGTCACCTCCTGCAGGATCCACCAGTGGATCAGGTGGCGGATCAGACGAGGAAGCCGGAAGCGAGTTGTCCGGGTTTTGCTGCACCCCGCCATCCTTCAACGGAGATCGCGGTGGGGTGAGAGAGACATTATCTCCATCCTGACCGGTGACCTTGGCCATCTTAGCCGCGGTAGCCTTGGTAACACGAGGCATAGTGCGATGATGAGAAACACAAGACAGCCTGGAAGTGGCTGATCCGAAGTGTTGTCTGAGCACAAATGGTCCCTTCTTCTTATGATGATCGCCCTTGCACCGGATCCCTTGGTTTGAGTTGATCTTGTGCTTTCTGAAAACCTCGGTGACAGTAGGTAGCCTTGAAAATGCATTGTGATCTTGAAACTTGTTATCAAATTCGCGTAGAACTCCATGGTAGCCTTGGGAAATGAGAGACCTTTGTGACTGAGCACGAGCTTGTGATAACCGGTGATGCCTGGAACTCCACAATGTCTTAGCAATGTCCCCTTTATGGACATTAAAACCAGACGCTGCTGTAGAGAATAAAGTCCTGCATCTTTCTGTTATACCAAAGTTAAGATCGTGCAAGAAATTGCTTGACATTGGCCTTCCCGAAGAGCCAGGGAGCCGCCATGGCGGAGAGCTTGTCATTGTCATTGTCATTGTCGAAGTGGAAGATAAGTGTTATGTTCAGTGTAACAAAACTCAGCATGAGCGGCGTTCTGGGTAACATGGCCTCGCCATACCCATCATTTCCTCATCCATCTTCGGATTGTTTCGCAGCTGACGCATTTGGTCTGGAGCAAATGATATTCCACGTGGCTCGTCATAACTTGTCGTGGGGATGCTTGTCGCAAACGTGTAGGGACCCAGCCTTCTCGCCCACTAGGATGGTGCGCTTTCGTCCAGCACATCGACTCTGCTCCCACGCTATAGGCGAAGCGGAACCCACATCGCCAACTCATCGAGTAGGCTTCTGTGGCGTGAGAATTTCGGGCATTCCTGCGCCTCGAGAACTTCGAATACCGCTCAAAATTTTCCAGTTTCACCAACAGCATAAACACGAGGCCAATGTGAATGCGTGCTTTCAAGCTTGTGTATCCATCACGTTTCCTACTGCTCCTAGCAGATCCCGCTTGAGTTTCTAAAACAAGGCTCAAGTCCTTGTTGATCCGTTCTCGAGCAACAATGGCAGCCACCACAATCGCCGCTAGCCAATTTAAGGTTGTCGCTCTCAGTGGCCTCGTCAGCAGGCAGGAGCAATGCGCTGCTCGCGTGGCGCTCGCTCCGTTGAGTGTGAAGACGCGCACTGCCTCCGTGCAGGCACAGCCTTTGGAGAGGGCTCAAGTCGTCGTCGCCCGGGCTCAGGCGTCTTCAGCTGATGTTGCCAAGAAGCAGGTAAAGTAACACATTATGCGCACTATGGTGTCCGTCGATTGTGATGTCAAGGTTGGTCATGCCAGACAGACCCGGCAATATGAATCCGCTCACGACTCGTACCCTAAATGAACAAGCATTTCTATGATGGTACTCATGTGGACCGATTTCTTTGGCAATGCAGGCTGAGTCTGCCTCAACCACGAGCACGACGTACCACTTCATTGTGGCGAACGCCAAGTTTATGCTGGATGAGGAGGAGCACTTCCAGGAGCAGCTCAAGGAGCGACTCAGGTGGCTGCACGAGCAGGGACGCCCGCAGGACTTCTGGCTCGTGTACGAGCCCGAGTTCCTCGAGAGCTTCCCCGAGATCGCCAAGCGAGTGAACAGGCCGGCAGTGGCTCTTGTCACCACCGACGCTGTTTGGATGACGTAAGTGTTCTTGAACGACAGTTGTTACTTAGCGAGATAGACACTCTGTACGGACGATTTTTTCTGCGTCTTCGACACGGCTAAACATCGCCTGGTGTGAGTGAGGAGATTCATGCATGCTGGTCACGATCTCTCACTCTTTGCGTGGCTTGCATGTCCCCCGTCCCATTCAGATTCATGAAGCTGAGATTGGACCGTGTTCTCAGGGGCGAGTTCGAGTGTGACTCCCTGGACGAGGCCTTGAAATCACTTCCCATTGAGAACAACTACAAGCCTGCCAAGTGGGACGCCCCTTATCCCAAGTATCAGTCGGACTGGTGGACACCGTATGCCGCTCCCTCGGTTTCTGGGAGGTCTTGAAGCACCGAATAAGTGATATACCTATACCTTCTGGCATGGCTTGTACATGGGGACTGCCTGGGGCAACTTGAGATGTTGCACGCGAGCAGTCTCTTGCTGCTGAGCTTTCAGTGGCTATGGCTGGTGTCACAAGGTGACAAGGCAGGGTTATAGCGAAGGTGTTTAACAGCTTGAGCCAGGCAGGCTCGAGGCTCATCCAGCGGGGTGACCGATGCTTACTGGTAGCCCTCTCCCTGTGTACTCTGTATCTTTTCCAAGTGCATATAATGCAATTGCTTTTCTTTCACCCTGGCCGTTGGGTATTATGTACATTGGAATGGGTGAAAAGGACCCAAGCTTTAGACGCCACGTACGATCGAAGCCATGCCAATGCCATTGCTCCTCGCATGCTTCCATTAGCCTAGATGTTCATGTTGGGGTTGCATTTATATGGCAAAAATATGTAAACACAATTCGGTATATTGTCTCTACCCCTAGTGCCCAATATCCATGAAATACTGTTGTACATGGCAACAAGATGAGATTGAGAGCTGCCATAATCATTTCGTCTTACCCAAATACAACCCAATATGTGCTAAAGCCTTGTTCTAGCGTGCGCCTGATTCCCTGCACTATTTCCCAGCGAAGCCATTGCAGCTTCCATGGTCAGCTCAGCCTGAATCTCCTGTTCATCGACTTTTCCATCTTCCACAGCTACGGGCTGACCAACCTGCACTTGAGAGAATGGCCTTTCCAGTGAAATGTGTTGCTCCACCCATGTCTCAATCATGGCTGCTCCAGCTTCAGGTTGGTCAGCAGGCACTTGGTGTCCAGCACCAGTCACGATCACATGCGTCAAGTTCTTCCACTGCCTCCAATATCCTTCCCTCCTCCCAGATACAAGCCACACCACACGCTCGGCATTCCAGAAGCTGTCTGCACCATTCCAGGACAGAGTGCGCATCCATGCTTCAGAGCTGGCAGGGCCATCCTTAGCATCAAACAGGCCCTGAAACAGCAACACAGGGACACCGGCTGCAAGAATTCGCTCCAATGCTGGTTTGCTGCTCTTCATTGTATCCTGCACAAAACATTTATGTGTGCGATGAAAGACAGAAGACATATAATAATATAAACATTGCCTAATGAAGAACGTATACATTCGCATTTTAATATGAATCCGACCAAAACACACACCTGAGCAAGGTGGAGGCGAATAGTTGGTCTGCAACTAGCCCAAACGACACTTGGTTCAGCGTGGAGAGCTTCCTTGACATGAGGTTGATTTAGAAACAAAGAAAGGTACTCCACTCCATCCTGCATTCGGATAAGCAGCACTTTAATAAGGTGCGTGATGAATGACGCAAAATGTGCTGGCTCATGTCACTTATCACAGTACCTGTGTGGCATGGTATTTGGCATGTCGTCGAATATCCAACAGTGTTGGGATTCCCGCTTTGTGCTCTATCCATTCACATAGGGCGGTGCGGGCATAATGTGCCTCCTCCCATTCTTCCCTGCCCATTGGTCCACCACAGCCAGTCATGCACACGTCATGCTGATGGAATTTTGAGAAGAGCGCTACCTGTCAATAAGATGAACCACCCTGTTGGCCTCCTCCTTTACATAGTCTGCCTGCTGGCCAGTAAGCATGCTGAAGGCCCTAGCAACATGCTCATGAACTTGCACCTGAAGCAAAAACGACATTTCCAATCCCATCAATTACACGGAGCAGCCACAAATGAATAGAACGTTGAAGGGGCGGAAAGGAATTGTACCTACCTGTATCCGAGGGTCTGTGAAGCCGTTCCCAATAACAATTCCTGCAAATCTCACTGGGAGGCCCTGGCCTCGCTGCTGTTGTTGCATCACCAAGCAGCTGAGTTCCGGCACATACTTACCAGCATATGACTCCCCCGTAACAAAGAACGGACGGTTACACAAGCTCGGATGCATGTCAAAGAATGTTGAAAGGGCATGAAAGAGGTGCTTTGCCACAGTAGGCTGGTCTTGAGGGATGTCCTCGATGCTTTCAGCGATACTGAACCCTGTGCCGATTGGATTATCAATAAATAGCAGGCCGTATCTGCCATGCACCAAGACACGACGTCAGTTCAGCATCAGGGATACCTTGCACGCGTTGAACCACGACCCACCAGAAACGTACTTTCTGTTCCAAGCCCATGGGTTCTTTTCCAGGCGAAGGCTGTCAATATCGTCATCTGTTATAGCGACTTTCCAAGGACCGATTTCATAGAAATTCCCTATCATGCTTGAACAACCTGGACCGCCGTTCAGCCAAAGAAGAAGCGGAGTCTCTGCAAGCAATCTTGACGGTTCTGTAGCCTCGTAGTATGCATAGAACATACGAGACTCAGGAGCGGACGTGCTGATGGGAAGATAGCCTGAAGCGGATGGTAGTGCCTCCTCTGGCATAGGCACGTTAAGGTGCGATCCCTCTGGATTGGTAGTTGAAGGTGAATTGTTTTGAAGAACATTATTGCTCGCACATGGAGAATAAGTTACAGCCTGCATGGGGAAAAATTAGATAAGCACGTGATATTCAAGTCCAAGCTGAAAATGTTGCAATTGTAAACACCACCTTCGCTGCTGCCACCTTGGTTGAAGAACGCGCCGGATAATCTCTTTTAATCCCTGCTCCGACGAGCATATTAGAATGCGAAAAAAATCCAGAATGAAGTGAAAGGACATGGTGTCTCTTAGTACCGTAAATGGAGTTCAGAGCAGAAAGGCTAGAACTAGGTACAGCTGATGCCATTGCACGGGGACTGAGAACCATTCTTGATGTTACTTGAACGAGCCGAGAGAACGTAGGCATGCACGCGTCAAACTTTGATTGGGCAGAATAATAGTCAGCGTACGCCGATGTGGAGTATGGTGGATCTGTATCTGCTGAATACGATGGAATTTAGCATGTGAAATGCGGACGTTGTGAACGTGTAGATTACGGGGTTCTGGAGAAAGAATGGACGTAGTTGTGTGACAGATGAATCTGTCTGAACCGAGTAGCTGCTTCAGCTGGAGCGGGACTGGGTGCAGAGTCAACTGATTTTCTGGGAGGGGAAGGTCTGTGCTGCTGAGCAGGAGGGAATATGCTTGCAATGTCAGCCGAGCTGTGGAATTTGCGAAAAATCAACAGTAACACATCCCGCGAGAGAGTCGCGGTCTTCGCAAAAGCGATGTGGGTTCACTTTTGCCAGGTCAAGTGCACACCACGTGGGGTACTTTTTTGAACGCACTTTTTACATGATAATTCCACGTGGCCCTTAGGATGTGGTACTTCTTACGTGACCACGCAGCTAAGGGGGTTTGGCGAGGATTTTAACATCTCTGGCTCTGCGTTTGCTTGCGGTTCGTGGCAGCGCATGTCACTCTCGAGTTCGAATTCAGCTGCGATCTAGTTCTTCGTAGTTGGAAGATAGGATATTATGTCAACCTCATGGTGCGTTAGTTGAGCCAAGTAGTGGTAGTAGCGTAACACCCTCTGGTGTCTGCTAACCGTGCAGTCTTCCTCTTTCCACACACCTAGACTATAATTCGCTATCTTTCGCGATGCTTCGCGAACCGTTGTTACCTTTAACGGGGGGTCAGGAATCTAATACCCGTGCCACGTCAGACTCCGCGAGTTCTCATGAGTTTCGCGCGCGCGTGAACCTGACAATACCCCGTGGCGCAGCCACCGCAAGCGGACCCCCGCCAAACAGACGCGCGAGCGTCGACTCAGCGAATGTGACAATATCGGAGGGGAGCGGCCTCTGCGCGGAAGCCGATTCGCGGAAGAGGCGCATTAGCTTTGGGAACGAACGGGGGGAAACGGGAGGCGCGGGGAGGAGGGGGAGATGGGGAAGCGGAGGCGCGGGCGGGGGGGAGGGCGTGCGGAGTCCGCGCAGCCCGGGGCTGTCGAAGCAGGAGGTGCTGAAGGGATTTGATGCGGCGGAGGCGGAGGGGGCGGCGGAGGCGGACTTAAGCGCGCATCTACAGACGGACTTCCAGACCGTCCTAAACACGGTGGGTGGTGAGAAGGACCTGTACTGGTGCAATATCATGCACTTCTTGTGTGCTTGTGTTTTAGTGTCGTGTTGATAAGAATCTGATGTGATTTGAAGCGATTGATTGTTTGAGAGAATCCAACAAGTTCAAGTACTTTGCTGTTCTGCACTTATGGTGCATCCTTGGCCTTGCCCTTGGGCAGATAAATCTTTTCGTTGGGGCAGGTCTGCTCTCCATGGGCTATGCGGTCATGCTGGGCGGCTGGATGAGCCTTGTGAGTTTAATTCTCCCCTTATTTCCTCCATCTCCCTATCTAGCTCATCCCTCGCTCTCCTCCCTCTTTATGCTTTAAGCCGTCCATGCTGCCTGAGACTCTTCAATTCTTCCTACCTTTGCCCTCTCCAACACCCTCTTCTGCACCACGGCTCGCCTGCTCTGCCCTACTTCTAGTCACATCACATGTCCTCTCCCCTCACCCCCCTTCCTTCCCCTCGCCCCTTCTCTCGCCTCCCTCATTCACCACAGCTGGTCCTCGCTCTCTGCACAACTCTCTTCTGCACCACGGCTCGCCTGCTCAGTGGTCCTTCTAATCACATACCCTCATTCCCAATCCCCTTCTTCCTCGCTCCCACCCCCAACCACCACAGCTGGTACTCGCTCTCTGCACCACTCTCTTCTGTACCACGGCTCGACTGCTCTGCCGTGCATTCGATGCCCTCCCGCCCTCCTCCCTGCAATCCTACCCTTCCCTCGCCCGCTTCGCCTTCGGCCCGCCGGGAGAATGGACTGTGAGTATCGCGCCAGTTGCATTAAAATTTGGTTTCTGAGTTGTGCATTTGCCTGCTCTGTTGTGCACTCGCCTGCTCTCTGCCGTGCATTCGATGCCCTCCCGCCCTCCACCCTGCAATCCTACCCTTCCCTCGCCCGCTTCGCCTTCGGCCCGCCGGGAGAATGGACTGTGAGTGCCATGCCGGTTGCTCTACTCCACTTTGGTTTCTGCGTTGTGCAATGCAATATCGCCTGTTCTCTGTCGTGCATTTGACGCCCTCTCGCCCTCCTCCCTTTCGTCCTACCCTGCCCTCGCCTGCTTCGCCTTTGGTCCCCCGCGCGAATGTTCTGTGAGTGCCATGTGTTCGATTCTCCATGTGTTCTACCAGTGATGGCGGTGGTGTTGTTTAAGTTCTGGAATGCGCTTGGCATGTGAATCCTTCCCATTCCCCTTATTCTCACAACAATGACACTTCCCTCCTCCCCCCTCCTCTCACTCCATCCCATGTTGACATGTCTGCACCAGGTGATGGTGGCAGTGCTATTCGAGTTCTGGGGAGCGCTCAGCATGCGTTTGGCACGTGCCCCCCCTGTTCTCTCCCTGTGTGTGTCCCATGCGTTTCGCATGTGTGTGTGCACCAGGTGATGGTGGCAGTGCTATTCGAGTTCTGGGGAGCGCTCGGCATGTGTCTCATCATTGTGTGGCAGTCGGCGCTCATCTTCCTGCCGCCCCTCCCCACGCTCTGCCTCCCCTCCTTCACCACCGCCCCTGCTGCTTCTTCTGCCGCCTCCTCTGCTGCCTCTGCTGTCGCCTCTGTGTCCTCCGCTGCTCCGCTCTGCCTCTTGCCCAGGTATCTTCACGTGCCTTTGCTGCCTTGACTGGTAGTTGCGTGCTCTTATGTTTGATGCATGCGCTCCGTATGTGCTTTAACATCGTGTGCCTCATCTTCCTGCCGCCCCTCTCTTACTCCCCTCACTAGTTACACCCTTCCGTTGCCCACCCTCCCAGCATCGCTTCTATTCGACTCCCCATCCATCCCACACCCCTGCAGGCACCTTGTCATAATGGCCAGTCTAGCGCTCGTCATTCCCACCGTACTAGTGCGCTCCTTTGCTCGCCTCACCAACGTCGCCCTCTCTGGTGTTGCCAGCAGCACACTTCTCTGCTCCGGTACTCCTGATAGTCCTTTAGCACACCGCTACTTTCTGGTAGCTTGTACCTCCCTTCGGTTGCTGGTGCTCGTCATTCCCACCGTGCTAGTGCGCTCCATTGCTCCCTCCTCCAACCTCTTCCTCCCCTCCTCTTTCAGTGATGCTACGCACGTGCGCGAGTGATCCTTCCTCCGCTGCTCTCCCAGACCCCCGGGCTCCTGGTCCCGCCTGCTCACCTCATGACATCTCCTGTTTCCGCCCTCCCCTCCCCCTCTGCTTTCCCCTCTGCCAGTGATGCTAGGCACGTGGGCGAGTGATCCATCCTCTGCTGCTCTCCCTGATCCCCATGCTCACCACCACTCCACTGTCTCCTGGCCCCACCCACCTGCTCACCTCATGTCATCCCTTGTTTCCGCCCTCCCTGCCCACCTCCCTCCTCTGCCAGTGATGCTAGGCACGTGGGCGAGTGATCCATCTTTCGCTGCACTCCCTGACCGTCATGCTCACCTCCACTGCACCGTCTCCTGGTCTCACCTCATCATGTTCCCCTCTTCCTTCCCCACCCTTCCCCCTTCCTCTCCCCACCCCTCTGTCAGTGATGCTAGGCACGTGGGCGAGTGATCTCTCCTTCTCCTCTCTACCTGATCCCCCACCTGCCCATGTCATCCCTTGTTTTCCCCCTCTTCTGCCAGTGATGCTAGGCACGTGGGCGAGTGACCCCTCCTCCGCTGCTCTCCCAGACCCCCGCGCCCACCACCACTCCACCGTCTCGTGGTCCCACCTGCCCATGTTCCCCCCTTCCTCCTTCCTCTCCCCTCTCCTCTGCCAGTGATGCTAGGCACGTGGGCGAGTGACCCGTCCTCCTCCTCTCTACCTGACCCCCGCGCTCACCACCACTGCACCGTCTCATGGTCCCACTAGTCAAAATCTCTTCCGCTCCCCTCTTCCCCCTCCCCTCTTCCCCCTCCCCTCTTCCCCCTTCCCTCTTCCCCCTCCCTCCCGTCTTCCAGTGATGCTAGGCACGTGGGCGAGTGATCCCTCATCCTCCTCTCTACCTGACCCCCGCGCTCACCACCACTCCACTGTCTCCTGGTCTCACCTGCCCATGGCTGCTGGCATCTTCATGGTTTCGCTCTCAGGTGAACCTTCAGGTGTTCAGGTAGTTCTTCAGGTTTTCAGATTCTCCTGCGATTTTAACATGCCATCTGTTTCCATTCCACGCTATACCATTCCATACCATGCCATGCCATACCATACCATACCATGCCATGCCATGCCATGCCATTCCATGCCATGCCATGCCATGCCATGCCATGCCATACCACACCATGTGATCAGGCCATGCGGGTCTGCCATCTCTCCGACGCAGCATGCGGACACCGCAGCACTTTGACCAGTGCATCATCGTCACATTCTCCTCCATGTTCCTCCTGTAAGCCCGCCACTCTAATCTCGGTGTGACTCCATCACTATGCCGTTACATGAAGCACGCAGCATGCGGACACCGCAGCACTTTGACCAATGAATCATCGTCACATTCTCCGCCATGTTCCCTGGACTTGAGGCCATCACTGTGACCACGTGTGTGTGACCACGTGTGTGTGACCACGTGTGTTGACCACGTGTGTGTGACCACGTGTGTGTGACCACGTGTGACCCCCATGTGTGACCATATGTGACCATTTCATGGGTGGATTCGCCTACCTCTATTTCGGAGACTCAGTTCGCGTGCTGGTAACCGCCAGCCTGGACGATGCTGGAGCTGCTGCCTGGTCCCACCTCCCTATGACTGCCGAAATCCTCACTTGCTCCACTCTTGCCCCTCCCACACTTCTCCTTCACTCTTCCCACAAGCTATGCCACCATGGGTGGATTCGCTTACCTCTACTTTGGTGACTCCGTGCGCGTGCTGGTAACCGCCAGCCTGGACGAAGCTGGAGCTGCTGCCGGCATCGTTCTGCTCCAATGGGGTTCCGTCTCCCTCTCCCTCTCCGCCCTCCTCTCTCTCCTCGTCGCTGCCAGTGTGTTTACAACCATACCGGTATGTCAACTCTCTGTTGAGCCACTCGAAATTTGAGGCGCCTCAAAAGCCCTCTCCGCCCTCCTCTCTCTCCTCGTCGCTGCCAGTGTCTTTACAACCATACCGGTATGTCGACATGCCTTCAACTGAACGATGCCTGCAGTCTTGTCACCATTCTCTCTCCTCTCCCTCTCCCTCTCCGCCCTCCTCTCTCTGCTCGTCGCTGCCAGTGTCTTTACAACCATACCGGTATGTCGACTCTCCATGGGCCACTCGATAATAACAACCCAAATTTATTCCCTCCACTCCACCTTGACCTGTATCTCATCTTGGCACCTCAAAACTGAACCGTGGCTGTCTTTCTTGCCATCATGTTCCAAACCACCTCCCACTCCCCTTCCCCCCCATCTCAACCCCTTCCATGTCGAAAGGTTCTCGTGTATGTATGTGATGTCAGAGCTGATTTGGCTTTAGCACCAGCCCAAGCCACTCCCCACCCCACTCTCCCCTTTTTCCTCTTCCCCAGGCTCTGGTCTATGTGATGTCGGAGCTGATTCAGCTTTAGCACCGTCCCTAACCACCCCTCACCCCGCTCGTCCCCCCTTCCGTTTCCATGCAAAGGCTCTGGTGTATGTGATGCGGAAGCTGATTCAGCTCAGCACCAGCCAAGTTACCTTCCATCACGTGCTCCCCTCCTCTTCCCACCCCTTCTCAAAGGCTCTGGTGTATGTGACGTCGGAGATAATTCAGCTCCAGTACCGGTCCAAACCACCTTGCACTCACCTCTCCACTCCTTCTTCCCCTCCAGGCCCTGGTGTATGTGATGTCGGAGCTGATTCTCGATCTCTCTGCGCGCCTCGGCCTGCCTGTCTCCTCACACAAGCCCTCTCCGAGTGCTGCGGATCCTGCTGCCTCTGCTGCGGAGACTGCCTGTGCTGCTGACGGTGAACCGCCACCACGATGCAGCGCACAGCCAGTGCCACACCGCCACTCCGGTACCTCCCTGTCCCCCTGGTCCCACTGCTGCTCTCGACTGCCTGCATTTGATTTGGGCCGCTGTACTGCAAATTATGATTGAACCCGCTAGTCTCCATCTCCGTTCAGCGTTTCTGTTTGCATTCTTCCTCCCTGGCGCATTCCTGCAGCCATAGCAGAGGGCATCACTCGCCTGGCGGTCACCTTTGTTGGTTACATCACCGCATACCTCACGTGAGTTTAGCCCTCCAACTGCTTCTGTACCAATGCTGCTACTATGCTTCAGTACACGTGCGGCCTTTGCAATGTGTTGTCAATTTGTATCGGTTGGGTGGGTGTGCTGGGGCCTTTCTGTGTCAATTTCTTGCAGGTATGATGTGCTGGACAGAGTGGAGTCAGTGGTGGGAGGTGTGTGTTCTGTGGGAGTGTCCATGGTGCTGCCAGCTGTGATTTTTGACCGCCTCTACTCCAACCAGCTTTCTCTTATCAGGCTGATCCTGTTGCGTGGGCTTATTACGTTCGGGGTAGTTGCAGCATGTGGAATTGCATACATAAACATTTTCAAGTGAATGCCAGGTCCCTCGCATTGCCCAACGAAGTTATTAGAGTTAACCATGCGGTATGCCCCACAAGTAAATCATTTGACGATCTGACTAGAGCATTCACATGGACAGCTCACCACTGTCAGCAATGGTGACAGTGGCCTTGGGGGTGCCGCTCTGTGTGCCCTCGGCCTCCACCTTGTACACCACGTCCATTCCCTCCAGCACCTTGCCAAACACCACATGGCGACCATCCAACCTGCACACACAAGAGCAAAGCTCCAAGCGGATCTCAGCCCCAGAACAAAATCCTGCACCTGTTTTCAAAACAGTGGGAATCAGGTGGGCTGAAAACTCACCAGCTGGTCTTGACAGTGCAAATGAAGAACTGGGAGCCGTTGGTGTTGGGACCAGCATTGGCCATGCTCACAATGCCTGGTAGCAGATGGGGAAGAGAGTGAAAGAGGGAAAAGGGAACAATGTTACTAGGATTAAGGCACCCGGCATCTGTTTGTTCAGAAGCGAAACAGTAGTAACTCTCTTAATAGTTAAGTTTTTCATTCTTTACTTAATGTCTGACCTTTTTACAAACCTTCATTGACCCAATTGCGGTTATGGAGATCGTGAACAGGTGGACGCGCGCATCCCAAATTCAAGAACGAGAACTAAGAATGAGCTGTGTTGATGCGTGACGAGGGACATACCAGGGCCAGTGTGCTTCAGCTTGAAGTTCTCGTCAGCGAATTTCTCGCCGTAGATGGACTCGCCACCACGGCCATCCCCAAGAGTAAAGTCACCGCCCTGCAAAGCGAGACGTGATTCAGCAAATCGATGCGAGAGATCACGAATTTGAAGGGAGGAAGCACTCTGATATATGATACGTGCCTGCAGCATGAACTGAGGGATGATCCGGTGGAACTTGGAACCCTTGTAGTGAAGGGGCTTTCCGCTCTTTCCAATGCCCTTCTCACCTGCAGCGAAATGAGAAAGCTTTAGAATAAGCTCGACAACCAAAAGATAGCCTATATACCGTAGCGCAACTGCTTACCAGTGCAAAGAGCGCGGAAGTTCTCTGCAGGTGGGGATAGAATGGAGATCGCAAGATGTGAATGGCGGATCCGGTCAGTACTTTGGTAAAGCATCGACGCGAAAAGAATCCCATGAATATGGTGACTTACCGACAGTTTTAGGGACGGCGTTGCCGAAAAGGCCAATCACAATACGGCCTGCAGCAGTAAAGCACATCAAGCATCAGAACCAATGTCTCAATACCCCTAATCTCGTCAAGATGGCGTGGGAAGTGTGGAAGCTCTGACCTGCTTTTTGACCGTTGATCTCCACTTCGAAGAATACCTTGTGAGTGACCTCCTCCTTGGCTGCCGTCTTAACCTTAGCCTGAAGTAGCAAGCACACTGTTTTAGAAACGGATAATTTGAGCTGATTCGTTGAAGAATTGAGACATAGCTTACCTCAACGTTTACGGCAAGGAGGACGACAGCAAGAATCAAAACGGAAACGACGCCTGCCTTCGCCATCGCGGCGTAGCTACAGGGAAAGAGCCTCGAGATCCACGAAGGATGTGACCGCGATTGGCGGCTGGTAGATGAACTAGGCGAGACCAATCCTTCAGCTTCAACGTCCATGACAAGTGGAGAATGAAATGCCAGAATACATTTTGATTGCATCCGCATCTCCCACCTCTCAGAGCGCGGGGGGAGGGGAAGGGAGGGGCAGCGGCGGAATTTCGTGGGGAAGAAGGGGAATTTGTGCGGGTTCGGGGGGGATGGTCTTTTCTCGATTCTACGCCCACATTGGGCGCGCAACAAAAAAGATCCCCAACTGTTCGCGATGCAAGATGGCGAGCCAGTTTGCCTTTAGGCGACGGCTAAAGAGTGTAACCATCACGTTCGCGACAGTGGAATGGGAGGGACCGAAGGACAAAATGATTGGACAGATGACCAAGCATTTTGAAGTGTCACAGATCTACACTTCTGCATCAGTTTTGCCTTCACGCACCGTTCCCCTGCTTGCTGACAGCTGTTTCTACCTGTCCTCACGAGATGTCTTTAGGGAGAGGTACTGCCACTATGCCCGTCTGCCAAATGCACGGCTGACGTGGCACTTGGTCTTTCTGCATCTACTTTAGCTTCCAGCGAGAAAAGTTGCTCGCTAATTTTGACTCATTTTTATTCGAGTTCAGTATCTGAGAGCTTGACTACGTGTTATTTTTCCTGGTCTGTAAAGATTTCAGTAGTGTCCCAACGTCTCCGAGTTTCGCGACTGCCACCTTCTTGATTAGTTTTACGACGACCTTAGTCAGCCTCCTCGATGGCAGCTGACGATGACGGCACGCGTGCGCTACAAGATCTTTCTCTCTCGTCGGTTCCTCCAAAGGACAATTCCAATGTCCCATCCCAAGAGAAGGCATTGCAACATTCTGCTTCAGTCGGTGGGCCAGGTCCTCAAGCATCTAAACCTCCCCGTCATGTCCATTTTGCACCCACAAGCTCCAACATCTTTGGTATCCAAGTTCCACCTCGTGAAGAAGGGGAAACATCAAGATCCTCGCAGATTGCACCTGAGGATACGTGGCGCAACATTCAGGAGCGAGTGAACGAAGCCTTTGGCCATGGCCGCGGTGAACGTGAGGAGGGGGAAGAATGCGAGGACGAGGAGGAATCTTCGGGTAATCAAGGAAGTAGAAGCTTTCTCTTCCGCACTCAAAGTGAATGCACTTGGCAGTCACGTCGGACAGCGGTTTTGGGGGCTACATTGGGTACACCTCGCAACCGCTCCCCGTTGACGAAGGCACACTCACAGCCATCCTCCACTATGGAGGACATCAAGGTGAAGGACCAACCCTGACAGCTCTATGATTGCCCATCTATGCAGCAGTCTAGATTATCAATGTGGTGCAGAATGAGTTGCTGTCTCATAATTTAATGTAACAGTATCTTCCAAAGAAATGGGACAGTATGCGTTTGGTCAAGGGCATAGCAAACGCTTTTTCTGTTTGCAATTGCACATCTGCTTGCTGTTACCACAACAGCGGACTCTGCAATGGTGTGTGGTAAGCATAGTTGGAGAAAAAGAATTCTGTACTACAAAAGAGATTCTTCTGAACAAAGCTGTTAGGAGAGAGGAGGTGCTAACGGTATTCCCTAATACAATACTATGCGCAGAGTCTGCAGGTCAGGGAAAGAGGGGGGCTGTGTATCCTCTAGGAAATGCTAGCAAGAGCCCTTATCCAAGCTTTCAGCACCCTAAATTAAGCTATTAGCAGCTCTCACACGTCTAGCAAAAGGATGCTTCTACTGCAAGCGTCTATCTGTCAGCTCAGCAGCCATCACAAGAATCTAACAGTCGACCATTTAAAAGGAAAGAAAAAAAGAGATTGGTTCATCGACCTCCTGTTTGGTGAAGCATAGCGTCAATCTCGTCCCCATCTTCCATTTCCAGCTGCAAACAAACACAGCATGTGACAAATGAGATTTTGCATATGCACACTATGGTCGGAGCGGAAACGAAGATAAGAGAGAAGCGTACTTCGGACGGAGTCTGATCCGGTCGTAATCGTCTGCCGTCGAAAAGAAATGCTATGGCGTTCATGTCAATCGATTGACGGTCACAATATGTCTGCATCAACTTCTTGAACGTAGAAGTGGACCTGATCTTGAAAAATACCTCGTTTCCATCCTGCAGACCCCAAGGCCATCCGTCAAAACCAGGATCAACGGAAAGGAGAAAGGGACAGCGAACGGTATAAGCTCTACGGACCTGGCTCTTGACTTTGAGATTAATGTGCTGTCCCTCGCTCTTCGGCTTCTCGTCAGGTCCGTGGTTACCTTGACCTTCCATTGAAATGAGCTAATAGTTGAAACCAGAAACACGGAAGGACCTGCGATAACTGTTGATCTGATGAACGTCCAGAAAGTCAGGCTAGAACGTAGTGGAGGAATTTGAGTTAGGGCTTGCAGCAGATTATCAGGTCCTGCTAGGCAATTCAAGCATTCAAAACATACGCGACACAATGCGGACGATTTGGTTGGATATAAGAAGTGCGAAAGTTTTTCGTTTTGGAAGTTATTTTCGATTATCTATCTCAACCATGGGTTTTTCTTTCAATTACGTAGTGCACATTTCCCACGCCCCTTGAGGTGATCGCCGCCACAGGGCAGGAGCCAAATCAGCAGTCGCTTACGTGACGTCATATGTGACCACGTGTGGGACAAGATTGCAGCAAATGACAGGGCTATTGCCGTGTTGGCGTCAATTTTGTCGGTCGTTTGCTTTTCTGATTCTCCCTCGCGACCACATTCGAGTCAGATTGCGGTTCAGTGAGATTCCTTTTTTTCTGGAACTCTAAAAAGGATTTTTAAGGTGGTTAAGTCAGGTTATGTTAGAAATCAAGCACCATAGATCAATCCAACAATCCTCTGTGCTTCTGTGCCTGGAAAGTGGTCCAAGCAGTGCTCAAATTTTATGGGCTAACCGACTTTCCTTCCAGACACAAGCCATTCTCTGGGTTGTTATTCAGGGTCATTGCTCGAACCGCGACCATCTTCTAGCAGCTCGCAGATCCGCGGATCTCGCGACTGTTCTGGAGCAGTCCTTTCTGCTCTGAGCAACGGGAGCAGCGCCTTTTTCATGCTCGCTGTTTCTGGCTGGAACGTTCAAAATAATAGCAAGTATGAGAGGTCTAGGGTCGGTGTCGAGGTTGTTAGCAAGGCAAGCGGCTCGCGGGTCCTGGAGATCTGGAAAGGAAGTACGTCTTGTCTTTCCTTCGACCTTCACCATTTATTTTACCCTTGTTTATTTATTCGTCAGTTCAATGAATGAAACCGTGTATACCAATCCTTAATAAATCCTTAAAATTTTCATCTGACGCCGTCCATGCTTGTCTGTATAAATACTAATTCCAGAAATGTGATCGGGTGTTGTTCTCACAGCTGAGTGTCGCCGTAACCCGGAGTGAAGCCGTCGCCATCTTGACCAGCCGACGTGGACTCACCACGCTTGGAGGTGAGACGCCGCGACGTGTGAGCTGTGATAATTCATTCCATTTGAACCATCCCGCGTGGCATTTCATCCTACGTACAGCCATTCCGGGTGGTAATGGATTCACTCATCTCATTCTCCCGTTATTTTCTGGTTTGCAGGATGTTCGAAAGGCCCGTTCGCTTACAACAGCAACAGGTATGCAGGGTTGTGAATGGGAATCGCACGTTGATCCTTTTGATCCTTGTAGGCTGTGAAATTCTGTCCGCCCGTTACCTTTACAGCGTTAAGCTTCTGACTGGTACGGCCCTTTCCGTCGTTTCCCTGCAGAGCCGCCATGGCTATGGCTGAGTGCGTGGCGTGGCGTACGCTGGACCGTGTACGCTTCATGGCTGCCGATGCAGGTGCTGACGTGGTGCAGAGAGAACGGGGTTGTTATTGAGAGTGTAGCGTATGGGGCCAGGTTTGGGAGCATGGGTGCGCAGTTATATGGTTGCATAGTTGCATGGGTGATTGATGCATATAGTTATCTCGTGAAGCACACGACCATTTCTTGAGAATGGTACCGCAGCACATGACATGGCCACTGGTTATGTGAAAGTTTGTGTGTGATCTGTCATACGGGATGCTGATTGGTCTGCCTTTTTCTGCCATGGTGCCGTTTCACTACCGCCTGCAGGGTTGCCATCAGCAGTACTGGTGCCGACGATGGGCGAGTCGATTAAAGACGGATCCATATCTGCCGTTCTTAAAGGTACTTTAAGATCCATTGAAAGAGAATTGCGTGATTATATTGAGTGGTGTTGGCTTGCCGGATGGCAGTAGTGGTTAACTTTGCATGACTGGTGCTGTTAGTGCCCGTCGACTAGTGTATGTTTGTCTGCTTCCACTGGCTGGGGCTGCTCTGCATGGCACTTGCTGTCGTTTCTCGTTCAAGCATGTGTTCTCGTTTACTGTTGTTTATCCCATTTGCACTGGCTGGCGGCATGTGATCAGCGGCGGGCGAGGCAGTGGAGGAGGACGAGGTTATAGCGCAGATTGAGACGGACAAGGTCACCATTGACGTGCGCAGCCCCAGAGCAGGAATCCTGCAGAAGGTGCGTGTTAGTTCTCCTCCTCTTGACTCTCCTGGATACCCTCTTTAACCCTCTTGGGCAGATTGAGACGGACAAGGTCACCATCGACGTGCGCAGCCCCAGAGCAGGAATCCTGCAGAAGGTGCGTGCTGCTTCTCCTCCTCCTGTTTCACGTTTAAAATTGTGTGCTGCTGCTGCCCCTCCGCCAACCCATCTGAGCTTTCTCCGACATGTCCTGCTCTGACACTTCCTACAGCTCTCGCGCATTTTTTGTACCCTCCAACGTCCTTGATGCACCTCCGTTTCATATTTTTCGATCTCATTTGTGTCCGTCCATCTAATTCCATTTCCGACCGTCCATCTGCCCATGCAGGTAGAAGTGAAGGTGGGAGACACAGTCACCCCAGGCACCACCGTCGCCTTCGTCTCCCCTGCCTCTGCAGCACCACCAGCCAAGTCCC